ATATGTTTGATCCCCTCGATATGTTCACGTCCGAATGTCGCCGCGAAAGGAGAGAGTGCCCGAACAGCAGCACAGATATCTGGTCGAGTTCCCAGAGCGGCATACATTAGTGAGCCAATCGCTTCGAGGTAAGGGTATGAGGAAACCCTAGAGTGGTCTTCCATGGAGGCGGGTTTGTACTGAGCTCTTGTGGGTAGTGGTGTAAGGGCAATGTGGCAGTCGGTCATTTTGAAACGCGCTAAGATGTCCTTGATGTACTGGGACTGGTCAATTGACAGTGTCCCTGCTGCGATGTCCTGGTGGACTCGAATTCCAAGTATCCATGAGGCCTCACTGCAACTAGATACTTTGAAATGCGAGCTTATTGAGTCTTGGATGGATGTCAGGAGGTTTTCGTCATTTCCAGCTAGGAGCTTGTCATCAACGTATACTGGGATAATGATGATTGATCGACCTCGTTTGAAGACGAAGACAGAATGGTCAGCATGTGTCCATTGGAAACCCAGTTGGATGAGAAAATCATGTAGCGTGGCGTACCACTCCCTTCCCACTTGCTTTAGACCGTAAAGACCCTTCTTCAACTTGGCCAGCTTGTGTTCCTCCCCCTTTTCCTCATATCCCTTGGGTTGCCGCATGTAGATATCTTCAGATAGGGTGCCATTCAGGTATGCAGACTTGATGTCCATCTGGTGGACTCTCCACCCATGGCGAGCACAAATGGCAAGAAAGACTCATAACGACGCGGATTTGACAACCAGGGCGAAAGTCTCAGAATAGTCAATACCTTCACGTTGGCTAAACCCTTGGGCAACCAACCACGCCTTGAAGCGAGTGACTTCCCCGTTGGCGCCCCGCTTCTTCTGCAGGACAAAACAGCACCCAACGATGTTTCGGATATCAGGCGTTGGTTCAACAAGCTTCCACGTCCCGGCTTCTTTAATCGCTGCCAGTTCCTCCAGAATGGCCTTGTGCCACAGATCACATTCAGGCCCAGCAAGTGCTTCGTGCAAAGATGGGGCACCTGGGATATCTGTATTGTTAGCTAGTACTGTGCTGGTCAGATGGACCTCATCTAGGGCTATGTCCAGGACATCTTCAAGCTTGACAGTTGCTGCCACAGGCATGTCATTCCAGAGATCCTCATAGACATTGGCAATCAGTTCCTTTTGTCGGCCATGTGGTCCATATTCGGATGGTGTTAGAATGCGGGGATTCAGACGACTCCGGAATGGAATCGGAGACTTAGCATGGAAGGACCTCGGCCTCAGCGACTCAGGCGGAGCGCTGTGCCATTGCTGGTTGTCCTAGGGGTCCCTAATTTCGGATCTAGCAGAGGGAAAGTCTCTTGGGGGGGGAATTCCAGTCAATTTCGGACTGAGGTTACAAGTTACTAGGTACATTGTATATAAGGAGGGGTCCGGAATCAAAAGGAACAAGGGTAGGACAAAAGGAGACAAAGGGAGATGGAAAGAGGAACAACACCGAGGGTCAAGAGTTTGACTCAATGGTGTTTCCCAAAGGAGGAATGAAGGGCCAAGGCCCAAGAAGGAAGGAAGGAGGATGGGAGTCGGGAATGGCTAGCTGACTGAATGGAAAGGAAGCAGCAGCCCAAATAGGAATGAGGGAGAATAGCGGAATTGAAATGGACAATGCAATAGTTGCAAGGTCCGGAATAAGTCCGGAAAGTCCGAACTCGGAGGTTAAACTCCGGAATATTGGCAAAGGTAATTAAATGGAATGAGCTAACCAATACAATGGGTATAAGCGGAGGTGGGGTCAAAGTCCGAGGTCGGAGCTAAGACCGGAGGTTCCGGAGACGAGACGTGAACGGGATACCGGAGCGGAGGTCCGGAGTCGGGAGCATAGGTTTTGCATACTCGTCTGGAAGGTGTCGAGGTTGGGGTCGGACCCGGAATGTTCCGGAGTCGGACCGAAGGTGGTGTCCGAGCCGGAGGTGGGATAACCTCTTGGGAGTTGGCAAGGAGAAGGTGATGGAAGGGAAGTAGGGCTCCGGAAGTCGGAGTTCGGAGTTCCGGGAGCCCTGAGCGGAGGTCGGGATTGTATGGATATGACAGATGGATCAAAACGATGTGGTGGATGATGCACCCTGGCTGGTCGATTGTGGTGAGTAGGAGGGACAGGCGGAACATGTGATGCATCAGGTGCTGTGTCAACTGGACCATCGTGACTTGTAGGAGAGTCCTCGGCAGTTGCCAGTGTCGAACGACTCTCAGGACTCACCTCCGCATTGCTGTCCAAGTCACTCTGTGCCAATTCGAAGAACACACGTGCTGCTGCCTTTGCTTCTTCCCGGAAAATTGGTGCACGTACAACCTCAACTTTGTGAGTGATCAGGTCATATGTCCTGTACCCACTACAGCCTTCGGGGTAGCCCAAAAACTTCACCAATTTTCCGCGCTCCCCCAGCTTTAGCGCTCCTAGATCTTTTGGTCTATGGATGAAAACGCATACCAAACCCTCATGTGAGAGACATTGGGTTTCTTTCCATAGAGTCGTTCAAAAGGGGTGATTCTATCAGAGCGACTATCCACCATGCGGTTGATTGCATAGGTAGCAGTCGCGAGGGCATCTGCCCAGAGAAAATCGGGTGCATGTGCATCCTTCATCAGGGTGCGCCCTTTGTCCAGAATCCTCCTGTTTGTCCGTTCCGCGACACCATTCTGTTCAGGGGTATGAGGGACTGTCAACTCCACACCGATTCCTTTCTCTGTGCAATACTTCTCCAGAGCTCCATTCACATATTCTCCCCCTCAGTCAGTCCTCAGTATTTTGACATGTGTCCCAAACTGGTTCGCAAAGAAGGTGTCCATCTTGGCAAACCAAGGGGTAAAGTCTGACTTTAGCGCACAGGGATAAAACCAGGTAAAGTTTGTCCTGTCATAACCAGCATGCAAAAATACTGTTTCTTCCCAAGCGATAGGACTTCCATCGGGCCACAAATATCCGAGTGTACTCGGCCAAAGCATGTGGTCGCAATGTCATGGCCCTTTGCGAAAGAACCCCTCACCATTTTCCCCCTGATGCAGGCTTCACAATCAAAGTCTTCAGACTCATTCCGGGTTCCATCAACACCGAGCACAGCCCCTTCCTTGATCATGGTGCGAAGTGATTCCTTCCCCGGGTGGGCCAGTCGCTTGTGCAAGAGGTCAAAAGAAGGTGCAGTGGTCATTGCGGCTGGTCCATTATCTAGCTGAGAGGCCTTGGGAGATGACAACTGTGGTTGGTTTAGGTAGAACAATGGCCCCAACTCTGTTAGCGACTCGGCGATTGAGGTTCCAGATTTCGAGATTTTGCAGGTGTTGGTTCCCTCATCAAAGGTTACTCGTATTCCACAGCAGATCAAGACCCGGCAGGAGAGAAGACTGTAAGCCAGTTCAGGCACATACTGTACTTCCAAGACTTTGCAATGGACAATCTTTCCGTTTGCGGTGCAGGGGATCAAGACTGTTCCCTGTCCAAGTGAGGGGATTGTACTGGCATTGCCAAGCCAGATGTGTCGCGGGGTAGTGAAAGGTGTGTAATCAAGAAATTCCGTCCTGTTTGGGCAGAAATGGTTGCTGCAGCCAGAATCCACAATCCACACTTTTACAGTATCCATGGGTTTGTCCGCTACCAGGGCAGTGTCAGTGATGTATTCAGCACACATGGAGCTAACACTGTTCTTAGGTCTGGCAGTGGGAGGTTCGTTCCCCAATGCGGTGGCACACATGGCCATCTCAATGCCTGCTGGCGTGGCACTGACAGTACTGACAGTAGTAACATTGGCACTGCCATTTTGTTCTGCAGCTTTCTTTTCCCAGTACACATCCTTTTCCTCTTGCGTTGCGGTACATTTAGAACGAATGTGGCCTGTCTGTCCACACTTCCAGCAAGTCTGCCGGGAGAGCCAGATGGGGTCATTTGGGTCCTTCCTCTTCCCTTTAGGTCGTTCCCCCTCAGCAGCGAGTGCCTTCGGGGTTTGGAGTGAGTCGGATTTGGTCCCCAGGTTCTCTCCCGCTGCGCATGCACGACGTTCATCGGCTTGTACCCTTCTCTTGAAATCATCCAAGTTCCACTTCACACCCTTTGGAAGAGGAGTATCGAGGAGCATTGTTTGTAGTGTACGCATGCAGGGTGGGAGTGTATGGATGAGGTGCATGGCGATCGAACGATTTCCAATGCGGTCCTCATTGTCAGTCACTTCCTTGTTGACCAGGTAGGCAAAATTGATAAGGGCTGTCAGGTATTCTGAAACTGAGTTGTAGTCGCTGAGCTTAGCGTTGTCATAGCTCTGTCTGGCATAGAATTCCGCTGTGGATCCAGAGTCCTCATATTCATCCTTGAGGGCCTTGAACAGGATGGCAGCGGAGCTTTTCCTGTGTGGAAAGGCATTGCGTTGGATTGATTCATCAAGTGAGAGCCAGATCCTTCGACGAGCATTCCGATCCCCAATTACCCAATCTTGGTGTTCAGTTACTTTGGACGCATCAGGAGCTGTGGTGTTGCTGCCTTCAATGAAGTCCCAGGTGTGGTCCATGGCTATGTCGAGGTTCCCAGACCACAGGATCCAGTCATCTCGTCCTTTTAGTTTGGGGATGGTAAGAACGGCCTTGTCAATGGCAGAATCTTTGAGCAGGGCGGTAGTCATGGTTCTTCGGTGTTACAACCAGAATAGAAGTGCAGCGAGTCAGAACTGGGCAGTCGTTTCAGACAAAAAGTTCAGCAGTGCCGGGCGGTGGGTGTGGCGAGTCAGAACTGGGCAGTCGTGTCAGACAACAGTTCAGCGGTGCCGGGCGGTAGGCTTTGCGCAGTGCTGGGGTAGAGTTGTACTGGGCTGATCACCTGAAAATCAGCGGGAGGAAGACTAGAGCGCGGTGTCTAGAGCGCGATGTCAAACGGGGTTTATATGTTAGGCAAGATGTAAACTATGTACAATCTATAAGGTTGAGGACTTACCTAGAGCGCGATGTCAAACGGGGTTGAGCATCGCACTCAGGTAATCCTCGCTCTTTTATGTCTATCTAACTATACAACAAAGCGGATAACAAAGGTGAAACTAGCGCCTCCGGCGCTTTGTGCGACTAAGGGTTTGCCACACGGCAACGCTTTGCCTGCAGCTCCGCCTCCCCTTTGTCCTCGTGTGGCGTCGGGCTGCCACATCAACACTACAGGCCGTCATTAGATGGCTGACTAGGCTGTTCTATCCCCGGTCTCGGTTTGACCAAGTCCGCGAGCGAGACTTCCCAGCCCCCCCTTTTCAGGGAGCATTTCTCCATCACTCCTAACCGACTCTCGTTTCACCTACCTGAGCACCGATACATATCGAACTCTTGATCGCTCTCCGTTCGGGTTTTCGATACGACTCCATAACCTGGGAAATGGACTTCGCTTTTTATTCGACGTCTATATAACACTTTACTGGCTGCGGAAGGCAGTTGATCCATTCTAGACCCCTGTAGGGTCCGAGCCAAGACGGACAAATCTTTTACACGGTCTGAGACACCAACTGGCTCCCTTGGGGGGGGGACTTGGCACACATGGGTGAGGCGTAGCAATACGCCCCGTTCGCATATGAGCACGATGCACCATCCGACGCACGATTGCATGTCTTGCCTCCAGTACCTTGGGTACAGTTTGCAGTGAGTTCAGTCAAGGGGATATAGTACTTGAGCTTGGGCTGATCCACTGAAATGTCAATGCCGCACAACGAGCCGTTGATCAGTCCCCTGGGTGTATCCTGAATAACATTCGCAGTCCAGTGGTTAATTATATCTTCGCAAGCCTCTGTTGGGTAAATATAGGTTGGGAGCAGGAGCAAATTTCATTTTTAGGTTTAGTTCACCCACCTACCGTCGAAGGGTACATAGCCCAACTGTGTTCCGGATACGTCTTATGAACGTCGCAACTGACTGTGGCAGTCAAGAAATCAGCCGCGACAATGGGAAGTATCGCGATTGATGCAAAAGCACTCCAGAATCGCATTGTGACTTTCAGACACTGCTTTCACTAGCGGGCGTGAGCAGCTAGTATGAATGTAACGTGTGGATCACAGAGTACTACTAACCTTAGTCTTGAGCGGATGTGCTTGGAGGACTAGTGAGACCCGATCAGTTATAAACCACGCGCGATCCAACCAATCTGATGAAGTTAAATAATCTTCCCCACAAACGAGAGATCTTTCATTAGAAATGCTGCTGCGATCAGTGCAGCCGATATTGCCTGGTGAATCTCGACCATTTGGCATCATCGGCTCTCACACCACACCATCAAGTGCTAAGTATTAACGCTCATTCGATGGGGCCATGCATATAGTTAGTTTGGAAATTTGACTCCGACCACACGCAACATCCAGAGATCAGAATGTGTTGACTGTTAGGTCTTGTACATCAGAATAGAAGATTTGAGCTGGGAGCGAGAGGAGGTCTTGTTGTAGTAGCAGTCCAACGCCACTGCTGTTGATGGCTAGCCACCGTGACCCAGTCCTGCCAATAGGGCACATGGCGAAGCGAGGCACACATGCACAGAGCTCAGTTCATCGCCGGAGAGCACAATATCTATGTAATACATATATAACAAATCCTTGATATCGTGCTCAGTCGCCATCGCGAGATTATCACACATCTCGAAGCTTCTTTTTGACGGTTGCCGTATATATAAACGATTCCATGATGTTGCAAATAATCTACGCTATATCCTTATTCCACATCTATCTATGTAGTCAAGTTGCCTACATGCCACGGATCCGAATGGTTCTTTGTCAAAATTGATCACTGATCGATTCACAGATCGGAGGTGTAAGTCCCAAATTGAGGTTGTCCAGGTGTGGGATGGGGTGTCGAGGGGCAGACTCGTACCCAGCGGAGGAGCTCCGTGGACGCGCAAAATAATAGCTTTTTTACGCAATGTAAATAAATGTTCTCACACTTGACCTGCTTCCGATTGAAGTCACGTTCTGTACTCAATACAACAGATCACATGGTACGGAGTAGGTGATCGGCTATGTGTTCAACTCCGTACCATGTGATCTGTTGTATTGAGTACAGAACGTGACTTCAATCGGAAGCAGGTCTAGTGTGAGAACATTTATTTACATTGCGTAAAAAAGCTATTATTTTGCGCGTCCACGGAGCTCCTCCGACTGGGTACGAGTCTGGTCGAGGGGAAATGCCAGAGAGATAGATGCGATTTAGAATGTCGAAACACTAGTGTATCCAGGATGGTGAACTCCCCATTTGGGTCCCCCCCCCTCTGCTTCCAATCACGGCTTGAGTTAATTTGACGGTTGGGTTCCTGGTTTGAACCGAACCCTTCGGAGCGGACAATGCTTCAATAACAACTAACAGCGGATTGGCTATGACGAGGTCTGCCTGGTACTAGGCAGGTTACCAGCCTCTATTGGAATAAATAAAGCCTGGTACATGCCTGGATATTCAAGGACATGGAAGAAACGCAGAAATCACAAGCACAACTATTCTGGCCTTTCTTTCCGTCAGTGGATAACAGATGGTTCGACTAAGTCATTGCAGGTATGAGGCTGTCCCATTTTCAACAATTTCTCGGTCCTTGAATAATAGGCGAGATCTTTGTTTCTACTTCCGCCAATCATTTATCAGGTCAACTGTTATCCTCTCCCTTATCGGAGCGCTCGGTCCGCGCACAAGTTGTTTTCCTTATGGTGACAAGCGATGTATGCGCTGATGGAGTGTGCCATCTGGATGTTTAGCCTGCAGACTTCAGGTGGCTCTAGAGGGCTGGACCTCACATGACATGCACTCATGATGTGGGTACGCTCCACTCACCGCACGCCGCTTCTTTCTCATTGGCCGGGAAAGCCCTTTTCCCCGCGTCTTCTTACATTGTTCTCCCCGCCGGGCTTTCGGTCCCTACGCCCCCAACGCCCACGGAGTATTGTAAATCAGCGAGTGGAGCGTGCGCAAGCTATGAGCACAAGGAGAAGTGCTGAAAACCCCCTTCACTGGCCCCCTTTCGCATTAAAGCAAGTTCTTCTACCCCCTCAGCATGGGCATCACGATCGAGCAAGTCAAGGATATCTTTTCCAACTTGGGAAATGGAAATCCCGCAGCTTTCTTTAACTACGTTGAGGAGGATGTGGATTGGACTGTAACCAATCCCGATCCTAACTTCAAGACACACCCGTTGGCAGGCCATTACACTGGCAAAAACGGTTCGTCCGCCCATATATTCGTGACATCGACGTCCGTGCCTAAATATTATCGACAATAAGAATTCCTCGAAGCCACCGATCGCATCAATAATGCATTCCAAGTGCGCACATCTCATTATCCGCATGCTGAGTTTGCACTGACCCTCAGCATAGGAACCTATTAACTTGGTGATAATGCAAGAACCAATAGTTGTAGGCAACCGAGCTGTCGTTGAGATGTGGTGAGCCATTGGGTGCAGCATTAGGGGGCGCTTAGCTCATCCGCCAGCACCCCAGGGCAAGAGATAAGCAAGGTGATGTTCCCGTTGGGAGGAACGGGATTAAATACGATAACAGGTAACATTACGTGCCTGTCACAGCTTCGCTCTCCTGACTCCTGGAACCACCAGATTTGCGTGGTTCGCCACGTTTAATGAGACAGGGAGGATATGCACTGTGCGGTAAGGCAGAAGTTTGTTCTCGGCGAGATCTTGCTTAAGGTTCGATTGCATGCAGGGCGTACTTGGATTCCGCCATGGTCCGAGACCTCCTCCAAAACCCGAGTATTCCCACTGCGAGGCAACTTTAATCGCTTATCTCGGATAGGGTTGCGTATGACAGGGTGCATTACCAAGCATTTCACCAGCAACCGCTCACCAAGCATCTAGCAGTTGTAAACATATACATGTTTTGAGGTAGTTTTAAATAGCAATGACATGAGCGTAGTCGCCACAATCAAGAAGGGGAAAGTGGACGCAGTGGTTTAAGACGTCAAGTTTCGACTCAAGCGATTATTGAGGGCTACTGGAAAGGACCACTTCTCGGTGGCGGGATTGTCACAATACAACGCTGGGATGCCACTGATGTAAATAGTACTGCCACGAGAATGGTGAGGTCCGCGTGATAAGGGAATACGCGTGGAGGGGTGCCGAAGGATCAACCTTCCAGAGCGCGCTCGTTCAGTCCTGTGCCAACCTTCTTCTGCTGACCGGTGCCGATAATCGTGTCTACGTTTCAAGCGTCGGTATTGTGACCCTCAATAAAGGAAAGTGTTGTTCTAAACTGGAACGATAGGGGGAAGTGATATTTGGATATTACCTAAATACCAAACCAACATTTACGAATGTGTGGTGCGTCTAGACGAGCGGCAGAAGTCCATGCTCATTAGGTACGACCTGGACTCGGGACGGGAACATGGAATTAGCAGCCGTCGTTCGGGAACAATAATGTATGAGTTCGGTACGATAAGAACTGGGCATATAAGAGTAAGCGACAAATCGACCAAGGACGCCATTGGCGACAAGTGAGGAATACAGCCATTTAGGAGGCGCGGGCTAAAGAATCGCCATCGAAGATTGCGCCGAGACAAGCAGTGGGCGGGAGTGAATGAAAAGGCTATTTTCCCGGGAAGTAGAGAGCGAAGGCATGCTAGAAGACGAAATGCAGGCAACGCAAGTAATGTCTGTACGTGGAATGTATAAGTACCAGACGGGCCGAGCCGGTTTTCGACCTCGCACCGTGTTGACACCCGCTCCCTCGAACGAGAGGCGCAGGTATCCACACCCCCGAACAGTGTTGAAACCCTCAAAGTCAAAATTTCGAAGAATCAATTCCACATGCCCCTTCTAGACGTCTCCGCCCACAGAGGAGCCCGCCGGAGATAGCTCATTGGACAGAATGCACCGGGAATGGCTCCCAGGCAGGGAGGCAGAGGAAGATCTGTTGGCAAATGAGGTATCTATAGCTGAGTACAGGGTGAGAGCTGTGGGAAGACGCAGTCCAATTGAGATTCCGGCATTTTGGGGCTATTATATGTATCATGTGCCATGAAAGCAGAGAGGAACCCCAGTGTGGCATTTTCACCGGATAATACCATAGCATAACACGACTACCAGGTATGGTTATGCACGCTGGGTTTCGCTCGAGCGTAATGGCAACAATGTTTCCGTTAGTTAAGGCGCCTATTCATTCAACACCAACCTCCATGAACCACATACACCCACCGGGCATGTGGCTCCTAGAGACTGGGTTATATATTCGAGAAAAAAAGCCGACGAGGAACACAGTCGCAAATAAGTCATCAGACCGATTGCGTCGTCCCTCTGCGCATATACAGTACGCGATAACTTGCGTAGAATAACACAGCTTTTATTCCCAACGGGGAACACAATCTATTAATTGATCAATTGTCATGAGGCTGCGTGTTGTTACAGCGACCGGCTTACTCTCCGGACAGACCAGAGCCCTCTGTTAGGCTCTGGAGTAGTATTTTAAGGCGTTGTCACCACACAGCAAAAAGGGGGTACCAAGTCACAGCACCGAGCCGCTTCCAGGTCCTTCCGGAACAGCGATCATCTCTGGCGTTCGGAATAACTGATCCAACCATTTTGAGGACAAGATGATTCCCCCCGGCTAAGCGATCTACGTTGAGGTGGACGACAACAAGCAGCACTTTCATCTCGGCATTTGTGGGCACAACACACACGTGACCGCGGGAATACTGCAAACCTTCGTCGAATCATTCCGGCAAAACCACAAATTACAAAATGGCCACCGTAACATAACCCATCATCACTAATAACGATCCCCATCGTCCGGAATTAGCTCTTTCTCGCCTGCATCGACGCATAAATCACTCAGTAATGGATCGATGCATCTCTGGACGCGCATTGAACTACGCGCTTGGTGTGTCTCAGTCGTCTCTCTGGCCACGTCAGGCCACACGCAATGTTAGTTCCGGAGTTAGGCTCCGTTCCCCTTCATGGTCCTTAAATGCTATTGCTGGAGCCCCTGCTCGTGCCTTGATCCGCCGATGGATGAGTGCTCGACCCATCAATGGTGGCTCGCTCGCTGATCCATGTATGTCCCTAAGGTTTACTCAATTACTAATCGTTGGACTCACATTTTTTCGTCCCCAATTCCTCTTGTTTCTCACGAATCCGACCTACTCCTTGTGACTCTAATCCATGCGTTCTTTGTGCCCATATGGAATGATGACCGGGACCGGTAATCACTACAGGCCGACGAAAGAAAACGACTATATCTAGGCTCAATGCCATGCGTGCTTCCGGGAAACCAATAACGGTGCTTACAGCATATGATTACCCCACTGCGTTGCGCTCTGAGGCTGCCGGCATTGACATGATTCTCGTGGGTGACTCCCTTGCTCAAGTCGCGCTCGGATACGATTCCACCACACGGTTGACGTTAGAAGAAATGATACACCACTCCAAAGCTGTCGTACGCGGGACGAAGAGCGCTTTTCTTGTAGTGGATATGCCCTTTGGGACGTATACCACCGGCGTACGAGATGCCGTCGCGAATGCAGTGAGGCTCGTGAAAGAGGGTGGTGCGGAGGCCGTAAAGATGGAGGGTGGAGAGGAAATCGTCGGACTCGTGAAAGAGATGACAAGGATGGGAATTCCAGTAATGGGTCATATTGGACTTATGCCACAGAGGCATACAATTAGGTGTGTATTTATATCCAAAAATTTCCCCTGTTGGTCCTCATGACTACTGGTTTATGTAGCTCGGGGTACCGCGTTCAAGGGAAATCAGCTGAAGCAGCCCTTTCACTCCTTCAAAGTGCCCATGCCTTGCAGGAAGCAGGTGCTTTCTCGCTGGTTCTCGAGGCCATTCCCTACAAGCTTGCTGCGCACATCACCGACACACTCTCGATCCCTACGATAGGCATCGGTGCAGGCCCACACACGAGCGGGCAGGTTCTAGTCCATGACGATGCGCTTGGTATATGGGGTAGCGCGAACGGAGATGGACAACACATTCCCAAGTTTGTTCGGAGGTTTGGCGAACTGGGCCGCGTTGGATATGAAGGGGCAAAGGCTTATGCCAGCGCAGTAAAGGAAGGGACTTTCCCTTCTGTTGAGAAGGGCGAGGCGTACGATATGGATAATGAGGAATGGAAGCTATGCCTCAGCCAATTCGCGGAGATAGGGATGCCAGTTCAGAATGAGAGGGTCAGTGTAGAAGAAGACGCGAAGGCGGGAGCGCAGCCATCATTCAACGAGAGTCTCACACAGAATCAAGCGACAACTTCACTTACTTCTTCTGAACCACCTCTTAAGTCACACCCCCCCTCCCCCGCCTCGCACCCAACCTCGACTCCTGTCCCGGAAGCACCTTTCCACTATGTTCGTACGCCGTCCCGTGATCGCCACCATCATATCCCCCCCCCTCAAGCCGCTCCCAGCGTGACTAACGTTGGCTTGAGCACATCTATGACTGGACAGCCAAACTCTAATCCGCACGGGATGTTGATAGCCAATTGAAGGCGCGACAGAGAAGCATCTCAGGTCATTAAGGGACAAAGGCGACCTGAGATCGGAAATGGAAGACATTCCTCTTCTTGCCTATGGATGTTGGACCAGACGCTTTTATTTTCTTCGATTTATTCCGATCTAAGCTAGCTCCCCACCCATTTAATTTGCTGTGTGTACAAGATTCACTTCAACGACTCTCGTCTTTATCACCTTCATTTACGCTCGCATAGCAAAACTTTGGAAGGCGGATCGTTAATTGATGAGTGACATCCTACAATGGGTGCTCGAGTGTAGGCTTCCTGTTTGCCGAGGAAGCACAACATCAACTAACGTCAGTTGGCCTCAGCGTACGCTACGATCCCAAGAATTCTAATATTCCGCATATACAGTCGACTCGCTCACCCGTTACGCGGAAGTCAATAAGGAGTATTTGCACCTTGTCTCATCGGAAAACCGGTGTATATTGTACTAAGCTGCCTAGCTACAAATTCTCCCTTTCTGGCTCCTCTTCTTTCCTGCATGTTGAAACACAATTAAACGGATCACATTTCATCTCATTCTCTCCGAATTAATGTTGCATCGTCATGCACCTTCTAGCTATATCATCAATACTAATATGAGCGGCGTGCGCGCTGGGGCGCTTCGAATACTGGTACGAGAGCCGGCGTGTGATGCTGTGCCACTAGTCTTGGAAGGTGATTTTTAGCCCCTCTTTTGAGGCAACGATCCGTTCAAATACGGGAAGCTCCGGTACGAGGGCCCAACAACGATGACATTCTTTGCTTCTCCGCATGTGAACCATTTACCTGACGAGATTTTGGGCGATATCTTCGTAATTGGGCTCTGTAATGTTTACCCTAAATCGAAGCAGCGGTATCGAAGCACCATTTCCTCCGTTTGCAGACGTTGGCGCTTGTTGGCCCTGAACGAGGCCAAGCTCTGGACGGAGATTTCCCTCGAGGTAACAGGCCTGGGAGTATCGCACGTTGGTTCTTCGGCTGCTGTCCGATCTCCCCTTTGGGATGGGATGGATAACGTAGATGAAGCACTGCCCTTGAAATCTTCAGACGCCGCCCAGCTGGAGCGCGCAGCCGTGTGGCTCCGTCGGTCAAAGAATGCACCATTGTGTCTGTCCATGTTATTTCGCGCTACTCCGGCAAGGGTTCAGAAATACTTCAGGCAATTGGTGACGCCCCATTTCCATCGTTGTAAATCCTTGGAACTCCGATTGCTCGAACCAGACCAGACCGTTATCAATTATACCGCACTTTGGCTTCCTCTTCCCGGTACATCACACTCTTGCCTCGATGACGTCCGAATCCACATGGAGCTTGGTCACAGAGGTTATGGGAATGTAATCGATCTGGGCCCTTCTCTCACGTTACGCCGACTCTACATCGAAATGGACGTATTCTGCGGAAGGTTTCGATCTGGTTTTGGGGTTGCGGGCGAGGTCGAACTATGTGGTTTATCCTTGGAAGCCGCTTCCGATATCCTGGGACACTGTCGTGATGTAAAGAAAATTACGATGCGGAATCCTACGAGACGCCTCTCTCCATTGCCTGACTCTCTGTCGTTTCCCAGCCTTGAGGCGCTTCATTTTCCGAGTCTCCCTAATTTTCCCATCCAAAATGCACCAAACCTCAAATCCCTCAGCTCCGACCATTTTTATTCTCCAGGACAATGGCTACATTTAGATCCCGCTACCCGTGATAGTGTTGGCCGTGTCCTCACTGGACTTGAGGTACTGCGTGCGCGTGTTAACGCGGACTCCATAAGCCTGATCGAGCCTTTTGTGTGTTCCGAAAAGCTCAAGATGATACGCGTGCCACCAGTAACTTGGCAGGCAGGTGAAATCTGCTTGTTCATTCAGTTCCTCCGTACCACCATCGATCCGTCGCCCCGTCTCTCCAACCATGAGCGGAGACTGCATTTACCCTTCCCCGGTTTAAAACTGCTTGTAATCCACATCAAACAAAAAGGCCTCGAAAGTTGGGATAGACATCCCGCCTGGTTTGAACCATTACTCAGACTCGTTCGAGCCCGCCCGAACCTAACCTTCGTTAGCGATGCGCCTCCTTTCACTGCAGGCACTCCTCCGGGACTCGACCCTCTGGCGCGGAGAATACACTTCATCCCCTCTCGACTTAAACTGGAGAACGACGAACTCATTAGGCGTTTCCTACACTAACACGAAGTGTACCTAGCGTCCACCTGCCCCAGAATTACCGTTAACCCTCTATTCCCCCCGTTATCTCGTTCGCTATCCTTGAAAATTGGCTTCTGACTCCGGGCCGATCCTCAATCGCACTCGAAACACATAGCACGTTTGCCGTCCTTAAATCGAAGTTTGCTTGTCATTGAAATTAAGGGGCAGAAAAGTGGAGCTGCATCCCTTCCCAGTCCCTTCCGTTCCCCTGGCAAGGGTTCTGCCGCGAATTCGATTTTTCTACTCTGCCAAACTTTTGTATCCTGTCAGCAGCTATTGGGAATTTGACCTAGCGCCCCGATACCGGCTGTGCTCCATTTGGTGCCCTGTTTTTCTGAGCGATTTAGGGCGATAGGAATTACTTGCGCCGTAATACTCCTATTTGATTTCTTCAAGCCCTGAACAGATAATGTGCGTTTTTTTTCCTGCACAGCAGCTCTGTGTGATGGACCGGAATTCGCAGCCCAACTAGATAAAGCATTTTCCGGATTGTTGATGGACATGACCAACTGAGTGATGGCATTCCACAGGACGTCAGCTGGTGTAAACGTACATACACGAGAACGAACCAATCATTTGGTTAACAGGGTAGATTTAGGACAATGACAAACCCGGCCGATATACTACAGAAGAGGGATTTTTAACAAAACATTCCACATCTCGAATCATGATGTTACAAGAAAGTAAGGAGATCAACGGATATCAGGAAAGTAGCTTCGTCCCCCTAGATTCCATTTGGACACTTCAATTCTGGCTGAGCCCCGGCGAAATCTTCACTGCTGTGTCAAGACGATGAACAGGTTACAGCAATTCGTGGAATGTTCAATATGAGTACGAACCTTGCGAGATGCAACGTATGCTTCCCACGACTTATATCCAGCGAGCTGCGCAAGGGTGGCTTTCTCATGGGAAGGAAGGTGCACGCGCTTGAAGATCTGCTTCTGCTTAATCTGGCCATCCTTGTGGGTGGCGAAGGTAATAACGCTGTCAGTGGTGGTAGTGAGAGGACCTAGATGGACCGAGATGATAAAGGCATGATCGATGATGTGTAGGACTTCATTTAGCTTACCGATAATCTCGATAGTAGCACCTTCATCCCAAATCACATAGCCTTCGGCGAGCCAAACTGAATTATCCCCATGATCAAAAGTAACCAACTTGAAAATGGTCCCCGAGATGTTGTAGAAAGATACGTCATCGCTGCTGAAGAACGGAATCTTGAGCTCAGGAATGTCAACCCTCCCACCACTGTAGCGAACATGCAATGTATTTTCTTTGAACACAGATCCTCTCAAGAGCGAAGGGTGTTTCTTCAAGAAAAAAAAAATCATGTGTCAAGGACCCAAACGGATAAGCATGAAACCTCGGTCATACCTTTCCGGGCTCGTCTTCTTCGGTGGCATGTTCTCCTACGAGAGGAGGACCAAATTCGACGTGTGCACCTTCCTTCCCCGTAATGACACCGCTGAGGCCATTATGGCCGAACACTGTAATGCCCATATGTTACCGGCACCGAGCCTGAAAAATAGGAGCACAAACCAGTGAGCGTAAGAGCTTCCTCGGGTCTCGGATTCACAAAATCCTTCGGAGATATGTAGAGTTGTACGATCACTTGAGAGGGTGGTTGGGTGAGTACGATCTTGCTGCATGTTCCCTTGAGGTTGTGAAGGGTCTCGCCTCCCTTAATTCCGACTCCAAGACCCGACAAAATGTACCTAAGCTGAGGTCTAGGGGAATGGGGGAAGGAAAGCGAGTTGTCAATGAACGTGAAGGGTATGGGTCCTTCGGGGTTTTCCTTCTAGAAAGTGGTGAGAAACAGAGGTATGTGAGAAAAAAGAAAAGGAAGTTGGTAAATACCTGAGTATCAGCGATTAAATCAAGATATGTTTTATAGCCCGCCGTCTTCGCAAAACTTTCGTGTTCGCTGGCAGAAAGCTGGGTGCGCCAAAGCGCAGTGAAGTGAACGTGGGCACCCTCGTTCCCAGTAAGAATCAGGCCCTCCTGACCGAAGATTTCTATAGGGGTGTTACGAGTGAGTCCCGATTTTGAACGGACTAACTCCATGGCAAATCACGAACTCTTGATCGTCAGAATCTCCCGTGGTTTTGGTGGAACGATAATATCCACATTGTAATAGTGGTAGACAGGCTTCCCAAGGCCTGAGAAAAACCACCAAACTAGGCCAGGACAAGCTCCCTTAACGTCCTTGACGGTAACATTGAAGGGAATCTCAACGTTGAGACGAATGAGTTTGATGAACGTGCTATGTCCACCAATATAAGTGATGTCATTATCCAAAAACTTGACGGATTCCCAAGGAGGGAGAATGTTGTTTGGCTGAGAGGCTCGAATTTCGTTCGACATGGTGCAAGATGTCCTGTTCACGTTGAGAAAAACAGTGTTGGTAATGTTGAGGAGACGGCAGTGATCATCTAAGTCGAGCACCTTCTTATAGACTGCACTTGGGGTGTATGTACATATTTACTTGAGCCCTTAGTAGATCAGGAGTCCACTGAGGACAAATTGGTTGGGGGCCCCAGACTCCATATGGAAGAGGCCGTCCGACTCAGGGTACCTGCCGTAAGCACCGAACGAGCATTCATGAGTCAGCTGAGTGAGGAGAAGCGCGAAGTGGGGCAGCAGGTGCTTGAGGGCTGTTTTTGAAAGGTTGAAATGGGGCAACTCGATAATTCGACAGGGCAAGCGGCAAGTTGCGCTAGAGTACATGCCAAGTGGATAATACTACGACTAGAGAGTTCTACGCAGCATGAGGGTGCGCTGTGAGAGGGAAACCTGGCTATTAGGTGCTTATTCACCAGAGCAGAAGCTTAATTACCAATCATTGGGGAGGATGCCAGGGGCCGCAACTATTTGAATTTGTACACCAACTTATCTCATGATCGTCCACGGAAGCGGACCATAATCTCCGTTGTGACAGGCATTTCATAATGCGGATATTCATATCCCTCTTCCCAATCTCGACGGCCCAGCGGGTACAGCATATCACAATGAAAGCAATCAAGTTTTCCTTTTGGGCGATGATCACCTGAGTCTTTTGAATGCAAGCTGGATGCATCAAGGGGCTCTCAGTTTTTTGCAATGCTGGAGCCGTTCGATAGGGCCGCGATGATATGGATGACGTTAAGACATTGCGTGGTGAATCATCACGCAACTACCTCGAGCAGGAGAATGAGCTCCCTGGTTATGCTTCACGTTGACGTCGTGATTGATTCTCTGGGAGACCTTCAAGATATTCCTATCGTACTAGGCACCAGAGGCACTTGTGGGCATCGTGAATGAAACAGTCATGGGCCCGAACTTTCGACGACGTGGAACTTGTTCCCTCAGGCAAATACTAATAGGTGCGCCTGTTTCCAAGACAAGGTCACCGAACTGACAACAAAGTTCTTCCTATCTACACTATCTCTTGGTAGTTCTTATGGAATGAATTTCCGATCCCCGCTACACTCGATCTCAAGCACCTTTGTTTTGCGACTGGCCCGTGTAAAGGGGGGATCGATATGCTACGCGTGTCTTTCCTGTACCTGAAGTAGTGTGGATGGTGGGAGAAATGGAACCAATCAGAGACGCGGCCTCGTTATGACGTGGCAGCCCCCAGGCCATCCCAACTTAATACAGTGTGCGTACATGAGGGGATCATGAGTGTGTCTGGGTGGTGTATTCGGGTGAGTCGTCAGGGGGTGGTCAAGAATGCTGCACAGGAACGTTAATGAATCAACTACTGAACTCTGCTCGTCCGTCCCTATCCCTTGCTCCGCCGGGTCTGCTGCTTCTGCTCATCTGCTCCAATGCTCGGTATTTCTTTACCAACTCCGCTAATTCCTGTTGGCTTGCCCATGAGTGTGTTGAGGGCCCGCGACCCAGTATATCTGAACTTCTTGAACTGTGGGTATACCTGACGTCCAACTCGACGCAATCAATAATGGCAAGTACATCCTAAGAGCTTGTTCTCCAACAATTCTGGGCTGGCCTCTATTACTGCCTACGCAACCAATCTCTGAACGTGATAGGATAAGGAGCATGCAAAGACAGGCAGCATTTGCTTTTGAAACTGTTTATCATTAGAGTGTCGGCACACCAGTGTTTGGATGTTTCGGGCAACACAACCCTTTCGGTTTCCATTCGCGATGGGCTACAAGACATGGCCGGGGGCTTACTTCAAGCAGCTTGCAGGGCTTCTGCCATCGGGAGGTGGACCCCAGGAATCAACGAGCTCATCAACCGGTACCTTGACGATTAGTCTCGTTCACATTGTGATGAAATACCAGCGGGTCCTGATTCCAAGTTACTTTCATTGCCTGGTTCTCATCCTGCTCTGGTGGTTCATCAATCAACAATGCAAGCTGGGCTTCACGCCAAACACAAATGGCCTCAGTTCATTAGACACATTGATACGGGTTTCGACATCCCAGTTTTCTTGACCTAGCCCATCACCCCGACCTCTAACGTGTGGCTGGTGGGATGGTTATTTGAAAGTTCGACCCCAAAGCTCTCATCGGTTCCATAAATTACTTGTCCCCTGCTGGCACGCGTTTCCGATGAATGATGCATGAATGCGAGGACTAAACCTGGGACATCATCTAGATCCCAGAGACGTAGACAATGATCGCTATGCTTGGAATGGGGTCCGAGTATATGCCTCCCGGCCGATGTCCCCATCCTTGTGCTCATTACGAAAATTGGCGAAGAACCTTGCACATAAAAACCACTTCGTCCAATCTCAAGTTGGAATTTACTACCCGTAGGCTGGGAAAGTTTCAAAGGGCTGACAGCAACCCCGAGAACTAGTGTGTCCCACGCAACCTTCCCAGGTGTCCGAGCCCTAATATATTTCTACCTTCTCATATAGAAGATTTGTTCAATTCTGGTTAGCTTGAATGTCTTAATGACCCACGCAAAGACCTCAACTACCAAGGAGATGGTAATTCCCGAAAATCACAGAATAAACTAAGCGTCCACACTATTTCACCTCGCCGGTCACTGCTGGGATATCCGCGAGGCCGCATTGTGCTCCATCTGATACAACCAACCTGTCCAACAGTATTTACCATCCCTGTTATCGAATTCTAGGGTCGGTGGCTACTAGTACACAGGTGCCAGGTAGGATTCCGGCCTCCGCAGTACGGTTGCAGTACTACCCAATATCAGCAACGTTTCTCAACCTTGGGCGAAGTTCTTTCTACTGGTTTCTGGCCCAATCACCAAAACCTTATATATTATTGCTGGACGGCCATACGATCTGAATCATCATGATCATCAGACCGATCCATGACATCGACAAAAGCACCTCCGTCCATGGCAACTCTGCGTTTCCCACCCAAATATCCACGCAACACGACTGGTCGGGGACATGTGTCACTTCGCTACCCGTTAATGTTGCAAGTAACGATGGTGGTACGGAGATGGTGTAGTTCCCCGGAGTAGGCAGTGATGGAGGGGTTGAGGCGTGAGGATAACCGGGAAGAGATAAAGAGTTGCGCCGCCTAGCGGGGGAAGGGGGGTGGGAACGACTGGTAGAACGGGGGATTGGGGGAAGCACAATACCATGCCCCCCTGGCTCGATCAAATCCTCAGCGCCATGCACGGAGATCGCCACTTTGATCACAATGTCACTTGGGCGGCAGGAAACATCACTTCCCCGCACATCTGACTGGTTCACAGAAGGGTATATAAGGATCTCCTCGCTCGTTTTGCCCCCATAATCGTTTGTTGCATCTGCAAGCTTACTGGAAAGACCTTCATCCAATACGCGATAATCGACCGCGCATTCCACCCTACCCGAATCAGGTGTGAACCTCACCCAACCCAGACTCTCTAAATTGTGCATTCCGGACTTCCCCGCCTGGGAGTTACGTAACCTGTGAAGGACGGCCAGTTCACGTTCTTGAATGGCGCTGTATGCCCAGTCCCGTCCCTGCCGGAAGCTTTCTCTGTGTGTGACGGTTATGGGGAGTCGGCGGACATCAATCGCATCAAATTCCTTCGGCGTGATGAGGTTGACGGGAAGGTGCAGATGCGTCAGGTTTGTGAGTGTGCAAAGGCCCTCGAATAGGTCCTGCAGGTGGAGATTTACGAAGGTTGGTGGGGCAGAGATTGGATAGCCTTACCTTTTCTTCGATTGAAAATGAAACGAATGATATCCCATAACCGAACCAACACGTACGCAGCGACAAGCTTTTTAAATTAGGCAGCGTGTTCCCAATCGCCGTCAAAAGGCCAAGAGGGCCAGCGGGAAACTCCTCACCACCGGTGGTCTCTTCTGCACGAAGAGTCAAGCCCTCCGGCATGAACTCCAGAACCTCGACACTTCTCACATACTCCAAACCTTTCACGAAGCGTCGCGTGCAATGTATGTCAAATCCACCAGAGTTGCGGACACGAAGCTCCTTCAAATTCGGAGTGAGCTTCAACAAAGCGTCAACGCCTTCGAAACTGTCAAGATGGAGCCTAGTGACATTCGGGAGGAGGAGCGTGTTTGGAAGACCCAGGAGCGGCATGGACAGAGCCGCGTGTAGGTGAGGATCTAATGTCAGTGGTGAGGGAGTAATGGGGGTTAGTCCCGTATTGGGTAAAAGATGACTCGTGAGCGAAAATTTCCGCCAGGCTGATCCTGGACCGGTGCTTTCCGCCATTTTAAATGAGAGGCTTTGGATAAGCGGTGCATTGGCAATGATGCGAGCAAGAGGGATATAGATAAGTGGATATATTGGGGGGCCCGGAGGAGGAAATGATGCTTCTGAGATGAAATTCCTAGTGTCTTTCCATGCCGCAACGAATGGGGGATCCAAGAATATTACGAGAGCTCTTGATTGAAGGTCAGCGTGAGTGACATGGAAAAACTCGGGTTTGCGCGCCTTAGTTGGGAGAGTAATCTACGTGGGATTCTAGAAACACTAAGCAGATCTCTTTCCTCAAACACGGAGATTTCTCTGAACAACACAGGCTCCGTCAGGAGCCTGATGTCCTTGCATGTTGAAGAGAAGCTTGCCAAGTCGAAAGCCTCTACAACATGCCCATGAACCTCCACAAGTAACTGAAACGAGATTTTCTGCATAAGCTCAACAGGGAGCCTCAGCAACGGAGGCCGATTTGACGTTGCTGGTGCTGTGGACGCGGGCATTGGGTCATGTGGCGCCAGAACGGAAGAGCTTTGCATCACCGCAGATAGCGCCTCTCCTGGAGGATACAGAAGGGGGAGACCTCTCTTAAACGTCGCCCAGTGAGGCCGGAGCCAGGAGGATTCCATTCCTTCCGCAGCGGACAGGCTGTGATGCGTGGGCGTCGGACTTGTCACGTGCGCCGATTCTTCAGATTCATATCAAATCAACAATTTACGCAGCTCTCTTGCGTCTTCATTTCCTTCTTCAGCCCAGGAGGACATCCACTTATCCACATCCTTGGGTTGCGATGTGTCTGGATCCCAGGCAAATCTCATCTCCACTTCGTCGAACACCTCAACGTATTTGCTCGTTGAGAACCCGAGCTTGCGGAAAAGAGCGATAGATGGCTCGTTCGAGGCCCCAACACGGGCCAGAAGGGATTTAGGGTCTATAGGAAGATGTGGGGAAGATTGCCTGGACATTTCCGATCCTTTCATATCCGAAGTGACGTAACGTAGAAGGAGCCTGAGCGCTTCCAGCGCGCACCCTTTCCGACGGTACTCGCGCTCTCAAGTGTGAGAGGAGGGATACTTTGAGCTTCGTGAGATTAGACTGGAGGCTGACTTGTGACTCACCCGCAATCATTATCTCACATTCTACTTCACGCTCATCCTTGAAGAACATGTTCACGTCGCCAATCATTTTCATTCTTAATGTGTCTTCTGCCGTGAGTGCATCGGAACCGATCTGAAGGGAAGATCGAGCGAGAACGATGAAGGTGAGTTCTACATATATGAATAAGTCGTTAGCCATTGAATGATCGCCAACTGTTCACTAACTATCTTCGTCCAGATGCCAGCTGCCTAAATGAGAAATTAGGAATCAGGACATCTTATGTTGACGCTGGAATTCAGAAGCGCATACGTTGCATATCATACTCTTGCTCCAGCGTGAGCGGCATGGATGCTGTCAAGTTTAAAAGATCCGGATCCTTCATCCATTCATGGTAGGTCTTGCCGCGGATCTCAGTGTATATTCATTTCACAGGGTTAAAGCAATTGCGAACCTGTACATGTTCCTGTCTTCCTATGATTGTGTTAAGCATCCCATGCTCAGGCGAACACTTTCGCTCCCACTTACCTATACGGAACGAGGACTACGGTCTTCCCAACCAGAGCAGTGTTCTCATTCACCCTCATCGCGATGGCGATCTGGTCACGTTTACATTTGCTTATATCAGCATGCCTTGAAGAGAGCTCAGGTTGCATGACATGTCTTCCCGTTAAAGAGAGGCTAGTCACCTGCCTACATGACATGCCTCTCGCCCATCCTCCTGCAGTCGAGCTTTCTAAATGAGGTTCTTCAGAATGAATTTACAAGTCTTCCTTGCTTCAGCACCGCTTGTGGCTAACGTCAGAAGATGCGACGCACTCGGAAATTGGGCACACGAAGTTCCTACTCACTGAATATGTCATTCGTAAACGTCATGACCCTCGTTCCAGTTGTCACCCCTAGAATCGTCCATGCCTTTGTTGAGACAACTGGCAACATGAGCGGCTTTTATCACAAATTTGTTCTGTGAGCAGCTGAAGCTCGTTGGGATGTACCCTCAAGCCAAAGACCTCTAACTCTGCACTGGCAATTTCTCATCACCCGACACTGATCATTCAGCAGTATCACTCCTACAGGATGGTTTCCGACTCTGATGTCCATCAGCTCTTCCTTTCAGGTACAACGTAATACCCATAACTCAGACTATCTTGATTTCTCTGGTCTTGGCTTGAAACTCCTCCGGAATCCGAATCTTGCTTCTGGCAAATCCTTACTTGTCACCGTCAAGATAAGGTCACGGAACTGTTGCGATAGAACTCTTCAGTGTGTCGGATACGAAGAGGATGCTAGTTTCGAGTAGACGCTATGGAACACTTAAAACCACGTGTAGAATATCACTACCCATCAATGAACGACTGCCAGGAGACGCGGGCACCGTTTCAAACGCTAAGGTGCGCAGATGTTGTATTCTGGTTCGTCTACGATACTTCGTGACCCCTGATTTCTACACACATAAAATCAGTAGCAGCAATGGCCCTTGAACCTTCTTGACTCCATCCCTCCGTCGCCTGATCTTGGATAGCATGCATCATAATTTGGTTTTCGCTCCCCTTAGGGTCATCGGGATATCGTTCCCGGTGTTTCTTTGACTTTCGCCTTAGGCCAGAATCAGTGTTCCATGCTGGATCAGGGTACCTGCAGGATATTCTTGTCAGACATGGCGTGGAATCGATGCACTCGCTCACATGCTACTAAAATGATTCAGATATAGCCTTCTCGCCCGGATTTGTTTGGCAAACTCGCCAGCCATTTCTGCTGTGGAATGCCCCCGCGAAATCGCCTTCGCGCGAAGCTTCTCCTTCTCGTTCTCATCCCATTGAGAGCTCTTTAGCTTGCGGGGTGAGATGTACGCATTCGTCGCCTCATGAACTAACAGACTAGCATCATCTGCCAAACCAATGAAAGAGCTGGCATCGGAAGTATCCCCTAAAATAACAAGTTTTCGACCAGGGGCCGATATGGCTGGAGGCTCAAGGAGGAAACCATCCGGTAGCAGAATTGATTCACGGGTAGAGCGAAGCTTGTCGAGTAGAGAGCGAGGGACTCGGATACCCGAGGCGATGAGTGCATCACGATTACGGTCAATTGGATCCAGGTGGGCTTCACGGGAGAATGGTTCTGATTTGTCAAATTCATGGAATACATACCCAACACAAGGAACTGGCAATCGATTCAGAGCCTGATCCTGGTATTTCGGAATCCAGTTTGTCACTTGCCTCGATGCTCAAGCGGAGCAGCAGATATAGTTATTCCAGATGCTTCCTGGAAATTTTTCCACTTTCCGTCGCTATCACATTGGATATCCCTCCCGTGACCCTCATTGGGGCGCGTATCTGATATAGGCGCCGGACATGACGCGACAGGTGTCTGAACAGCCAGGAATTCGTGCACAGAGAATGTACCAGCAAGTGTGGCTCCTGTGAGCTGTAGTGTTATACGAACTAATTGCCGCAATCCGACGGGGCCATAAAGATCTATAGAGCGCTGACCAGACTAATCAACACAAGGCGCCTTCGGGGTCAATTTCATTTTCAACTTACCTTTGAATTGCTAGGCTCAAGACCAAACATGATGGTAGTAAGCAAAGGAACTAGGCCCATAACATGATCAACTAAAATTATTGTTGAGAGCGATATGATCATATGACTCGCCATGCTGGAATGTGAGGCGTACCATGAAGATGCGTAATGAAAATCTTGGTCACCCTTGCTGGGGATATGTCAGCCTGAACCAATCGAAGCTGCGTTCCTTCCGCGCAATCGACCACTTCGAACGATACACCACATGGGGAGAGGGTATTTGAGGAGGCGGAAAGTCAGTTGAACACCCCCACATAAGTTTTCACGGGCTTACACCAAATCTCGCCGTCGAGATTCAGAGCCAGAGAGGAGCAGTGTCGACTTAAAGTAGGACCACTGCCCGAGGAGGTGCCCAAAAAAGTAATGCTAATCCGATTAGGCATTTGGTTCTACGTGGTCTTCAATGGAAACGATGTATGGTCGCGCCAAAACTTTGGGGAGCCGCTCAGCGCTGACGGTGCAGTAGATATGCAGCAGAGGACGATTAGTTCATTCCCACGGTCTCTTGCCGGGATGCCCCCAACTAATTCACTTTCAATTCAATCCGTGTGACATGTGACGAACTTATGGTGGTCAAGAACTGGGCGCACGCCACTTAATGAAGAGAAAGCTGGGGTAAGGTCTGTAAGACAGAAGCCGAGCTCGTACGAATTCAATTTTTTTACTCACGCATCGCCACAATTGGGCCAGCCCTTCTCTTTGTTTGTTTTATTCTGGATATTTAACCTGCAAAACTTCAGCGAGCCGCCGGCAGGGGTCTCGAGAAAAATACACGCAAATAAAGTAAAAATAACAGAGAAGTCCGATCTGGGAACACTCGTCCTCCCTTGTTAGGCAGGTTACCAGCCTCTATTAGTATAGACTCCCTCATCCAATCGAGGCCCAAACCATATTTCCCTGGCGAGTCGTCACTTACAGATGTTCGGATATTGTGTTGCCAATGCCAAAAATGGGAGGGGGTTGCGCTTCACAAGCGGACGTTATCTCTCGGGTTTTCCTCCGTTGTCTCCTAAGCAGCGTTTTTCTTTTCTCTCATTTAAGAGTTCTGCCACTCGCTTGATCGCCTCTTCCTTCCCCGGGAGATCCGCAAAGTTCAGAATCCCATCTTTGTCTCATCGGTGGTCGCCGCAGCCCGCTCCTGGTACGCGACGCCATGTAAAGGCGTAACATCATCAAGACACGATAAAAAAGTCGCCATTGTCCTATCGAAAGGCTCGCAACTCCGTAGGCGAGTACCCCACTGCGTAATCCAACTTCTCTGATACGATGTTATACTTGCGTGATTCAGGCTAACTGAACTGCCAAGACTCGGCTCTTTGCCGCAAAACACCCTGGCATAATCCTGCTGCTGACGGGAACTCAGCAAACTGTTACTGTTATATGTTGTTGCGGATGTGAATGATGTGGGGCAGAGCCCAGAACAATGCCGATTGACAATGCGACCAGCTAATTACTGCTCTGGACGATGCACGGGTGCGACAGGCCATGATCGCGTCGGGAATTGTCCTGCTTTCTGCGAAACCAATGTGTGGACGGCAGAACTAGCTGCACTACCCCCAACCCTCAACGACACCATTGGTCACTCAAGGTGAACAAACCGCTACCAGTGCGCTGGGGCGCCGCAATTCCACGTCGTCTTTGGGCCTGTCGGCAACCTCACTCCAATCACTTATGTCACTGACCACTGCCTTAGAGCTTGACACAGACACAACTTTTTTGGCAGCAACGCGATTCCCAGGCGACAATTGTAGGTGCCTAGAGATATAATAAACACCGGCAAGGTTGCAATTGTATTCAACTGGTTTAGTAAGTATGTGTGCACGCCATGAGCTCGGAAGTCAACATACCTGGACATTTCACCCAATCGGGGCCATTGCTCCGCCGCCTGGCTTGAGGGAACGATCTTCTGTCATTTGGCTTGCTCCTTTCCACAATAGTTCCCGTGTTTCAATCCAACAACTTATTCCGTGTGGGATGCTCGAAAATCGTCATACTAGTTTGTCGCATATCGCACGATGATTTTGGATTGAATTGAAAATGAAATTTGCGATGGTAGTCATCCTACATACGTCGAATGGGCTAAGTTCAATGCATGGCTGAGCCAGGGACGGCTTCCCCTCGCTGCTTGCTAAACCTTTTGAAGACATGTAGTACCTATCATTTGATGAGCAACAGCGAACACGGTTTAAACGCGGTTAACTTCAGCTAAACGATGAGCTCGGCGGCTTGCTCATGCGTTTGTTCCTTGGCATACAAACATTCGTCGTGTTAGCTCACTTGATCTTTCGGCATGTCCTTTGTTCAATGAGCACATAAAAACTTCAAGAGTTATCTCTTGTTTTGTCTTCTACTTCCTGCTTGGTGCACTCCTTGGGGTCTCTTGGAAACCTCTTCAGCTGGGGCCCGTAATCGTAATTAGTTGCCTTCCTCCTGTCCATCCCCTAGTTGGTGTCCGTAGTGTGTTATCCCTCGCCCTCGTTTCGCACCCAGTCGGTGATTATCCATCCCTACCATGAACTCCCGATGCTTTCTCGCTTTAGCTCTAGTGCACCGGATGTGTGTGGGCGTCGTTTCGTTGCACATGTCAACCCCAGCCCCTTTCATCTGGTAATAGTCACGACGTATGCACATCAATCCATTTTCTACTAAGAGACTGGTGCCAACGCCTGGATCAGACACTCTATTCCAATAGAGGCTGGTAACCTGCCTACTGTGAGATGCGCCCTGACTCTATCAGATTGTGACTTCATGATGTCATTCCCAAACCGCCGAAAGAAAGGAAAGACTTTTTCGTTTTTACTTAAATAGCTCAAAATATCGCAGACATCCTCTCAAATTGAACGCTTGTGGGATGCCACAATGGCCGTAATCGTTCAATATTGATCTTGTCGGTAAAACCACGAATCTTCCCGATAAATCCAGGAATACAAAGTGCATTCGACATCGGCCTGTAATTTGTTCCCCATTCTTTACAATCCTACGCTTCAGCGCTGACCCCAAGTGCCACCATCCCAGTGACCCTGTCTTCCCCCATTTATATCCGTCCAAGCAGCCGTGCTGCGCTGTTCATCGAGGCATGAATATGTTGCTTTCTCCGTAGTGGTGGGATCTCATGCCACGGGAGCATTAAACAGGAGGCAACGAGATAGGCAGCCACCAAGATAGTGGGATAGGTGCTGGCGAAACACGATGAACGTGATGACCTCATTTGGCAGGTTAAGGGGCAGACTGATGGAAATGGGCTTCTGCCTCCACTGATTACTCCCAAGATTTCGGGGCTTGTTCAGCGGCATTTACACTTGTAGATCCCATCTACGGGCTCAGATACTTTGCAACGTTTGTCAGTTCCGCGATACTCTCTATCCGAGCCTGCCGAAATCATTTTTGGGAGCTCGGCGGTGTCCCTAGTTGTTACACTTAGTGGAAATTTTGCCCCCGAGCGCATCGACAAGCTCGATGTGATGGCTGCAGGCATCAGTGATGGTTGGATGCACCAACCCCAAATCGGATGTCAGAGTTTGCAGTCCATGATACATGATGCTCAATGAATGGCAAACAGCAAGCGCCGATCTCGAAATCCAACGATCATTTGATGTCGGCGTCGCTGCATGTTGCGATCGCTTTATAGGCCGCTGACCCACGATCAAGAGATAGGACTGGAAACCTTGGGCAGTGAAGGCGAGTGCATTCGCGACATCATACTTCGAACCGTTGGCCGCCCAGAGTCTCCGAACTAACTTATGACCACCCTAATGAGCGCGCAAGAACTCACCCAGAGTCTGCGGAGATACGGGTCTTGGGTGTCCCATTGGATGCCGTCAAATCGAATCTTGGCAGCTGATATTGCTGATAGACGATAATTTCCAAGATAACTGAAAACACTGATGTCGCGTGGTGATGGTAGCCTAGTGATCGGGCTCGAGTAATCTCGCCATCTCGCCATCACATTGACGAGGAGGCGCCCAGTCTCTGGAGCAGGCTGGGTTCGGACATTAGAGCCCAAAAAATCAGTGACTACGGGTCCCCCGGGTTCATCGCAGCGGATTCCCTACCCCCACACGGAGCGAGAGTAGCATTCAAAGTACTGATGGCTGCGGACCCGCAGCCGTCACCATCCGGAGAGAACGGGCGAGACGTATGATTAATGATTCCATTTACACGCTTCACGAATCCCACATGCATATTGTTGTTGGATTATCAATCGCAAGTATTAGCCATGTTTACCAGGGGGTTACATCCGGCGGATGACAACGGCAAGCGGGAAGCTTCGAAATGGCTGAATGACATACTATCTTATCGACGAACGATGCGGCGAGCTGGATTGTGAGTATATTGGATATCCCTGGCCCCACTCCGATATGCTGTGGCGTAACCCCCTACGCCCTCAGGTAGCATACATGCTAGTTGGGGAACGGGAGGAGCCAACACGACGGAATATATGGAGATGGACGAGTATCAATCCCCATTATGGGGCAGCGCGCCCGCAACGCCGTTTAATTTTCAACAGGTGACAAATAACTATCCTGCATCAGAATCAGATCAACACCGAATCAAGGATCGTGTACATATTCTCATGGGAATGAATTATCGGTCGGACGCTGCAAACAATGATCTGTCGGTAATCCAAGGTGATAGCGCAGAACAAGCAACAGGCCCAAACGGGCAAACATGACTAGGGACCCCTTAGGAAGGAGCTAAGTACAAGGCACTCTGAATCCTGAGCAGCCGAATCAGCTTGAGACAGCCAACTGTGTGAGTGCCGGAGTTCGATTGGTGTGAATGACCCCGCCGCCCGTAGGTAGGAATTATACCAGCCAGGGACGTACTCTTCGATGTGATCCGCCGGATGCGGATATATTTCGGGATAGACACCCAGACACTCATTGTTCGGGTCTGTATTAGCATTCGTGCCTTGTGTTCCTGCGCCACCTGAATGCTCAACAGCAAAGAGGCGAGTTATCAGCAGCTCGGCTTGGTAGAATTCCATGAGCTGGGGTTAAAGGTAATGGAATGGTCAAGTTGAGTGCATACCCGTTGTGCTGCGAGCATTTCGACAGGCAATAGCAGCCCGAATCTCTTCTTTACATGCTTTGATGGCTTCACGATACTATTACGATGCGCACAAAGAGCGATCCCCATAAGCATAAGTTGAGACTTGGTTTGCTGGTGGTGAGTCGTACCTTCGAAGCTAGGACGGGGCCAGAGAAAGGAATACACTCGACCCGAAGCCGCTTGCAATCGTTGCAGACATGCGACCCAGGCTCAATTCTACAGCTCTGGCCAGGAACCTTGAGGAAGATGCAAATAGAGCAGACCTCTAATTACTCACTTTCCTTCGCAGGCGGCAAGTTAGACATCCCGTGGAGGAACGTCGATGTGAGGTGTCTTTCACTGGGTAGATGTGAGCCATGGTCACTGCAATGACGTTGAAGGGGATCTCTATGAACCTTTTATGGGAGAAATATGGATGTACCACTGGTAGGCGCGCGCGCTTGAGGCATCATTGAGAAAATTCGAAAATCATGAGCGAGGACTAGTGCGGATCAACTGTGGGCACTTGTACTCTTGCAAGAGCGGATACTTTTGATCGGCGCTTGATTCCCCATGATTAGATCAACACAACCGCAGCGCTTGCGGCATCAGACCATCGGAGGGACAAGCTATTTCAGCATTGGTTTGAACTACATCACCTCAATGTTTAAAGGTGAACCGATCCGTGGTAGCTGACGTAAATACAGAACTTTTAAGGTGATCAGGCACACCTCTGGCGTCTAAGGTCGGATGTCACACATCGGAGGCCCCCCAGCTTGGGTGGTACACGCTGTGCACATCTCCAGTGAAGTGGGGAAGAGTCAGATAGAAGTGCCAAGGCAAGCACTGCATTCTGATATTAATGTTCTGATTTTGAATCCCCGAAGATGGTGCGGAGTATTACTTTGGGAAACCTTAATACTGGGTAAACGTCGAGGCGTCATCATGATCGGACCGTGTAAGCCACTCTTGACGCAAGCGCGTCATTAGCGGTTAAATGTAGTGCCCCTCACGATGATCCCTCACGAGCGCGGATCATGGGGGGAAAGGCTCCGATGCAGATCTTTATGGATTTCGAGCTGTGCAGGCTGATCATGCAGGCATTCCAAGCTTTGGAGCGAGCGCATACTTATTGAACTATAGGTCCGCGGCATTGGACCTATTGTTCTTCCGTGTTCGAGAGAATCCTTTTCGGTTATCGATCCATACTCGCAAAGGGAAGAGATGGGCGTATGTGTATGTGTATGTGAAGACCTTTTCTCACACTCGCCTGCGAAGAGGAAAAGAGTGTCGAAGAAACAGAAACGACACATACCATTATTTGAATTCTTCTTTTGGCATACCTATACATACCATGATCCCTAAAAGGAAATGAGGGTCTTTGTCCTCTCTGCATCTCCATTGCGGTAATGGTGGGGCAAGTTCCCTTTCTTCTCGGTGCACGTTGCCTTTATTCGTTCGATACGGCGTTCCATTGGCCTTTGTTACTGCATATATAAGATACACCATCCCCCCTCGACTGCGTCGAGTTGATCTCGACATATCCGTCCTCCCATACGAGGTCTTACTAGATCCATCAAAAGTCCCCGAGCTCTCTATCGCCTGATCCGAATCCATCATGTCGACTTCAAGCCGTACATCCTCCTCGAGCACCATTGCAACCACTTCATCGGTGAGTTCATTTTTTCATTCGCTTCTGACAGATTTCGCCGTGCTAACCTTTGTCGATAAACTAACCAGGGGGTTTGTGTCATCGGTGGTGGAGATCTCGCTGCCCTGGGGTTTGCAGGCATTTCTGCTCCCCGCCATATACTCGCTCGCAGTCAATCGCAACCATCACTTTTTGTTGCTGAGCCAGAACCTCTCAACGAGCCTCTTCCTCCGCCTCCCCCCTATCGCAAATTCAGTTCCGAGTTTGAACATTTGGGATTCGGTGGTGTAAATTGGAGCTATTCCGAACGTTTACTGGACGATGTGCAAGTAAGTTGATAATGAGTGGCGATGGCTTTGAAAGCTGAGTCCTTATCTTCTAGACGACTACCTACGGCGAAGTCATCAAGGCTAAGTTGCGCTACAAGCTACATAAACTTAGGCGCGGGAAGAACTCGCTGCCTTGGGATGTGTTTTTAAACAAGAATCTTAGGGAGGGGGAAGTGCCTTGGGCACCGAAAGATTCTCCGACATGGAAATTGACGACTTGTGAGGTTGCAACTTGCAGCTAGGGTCAAAAGCGCGGGCAGCTTTCATGAGGGTGTGCAAACTATCTACGTTGGGATTTATCGGTATGTCTTGGGCTCGCGCGGGTTCGTGGACATCTTAATTACCTTGAAGTAACATTTATTGTTGTTGGAGATTAATAATAATTTTGTCCGTCGCTAACAGTGCCAGGTTCAATTGAGGGACTTTGCTGCATATCAGCTAGCATTTTCAAGGAGTCTCATTTCTCAATGGCAAAGAAATCAGATCATTCCCAATGTAGGATGAACCAACGAAGATACTCTATTGTAAGCTTCAATAGGAACATGTTTTGAATGCACGACCACGGGACGGGTGAAGTCACTTCCCGGTGCGCGTCGTGCGGCGACAGTGAAAAACCGGTAACACAATCCTCCAAGAATCCATACACAGGAGGGGATGCAATCGATTACAGACGACGACCACGACGACCACCCTAAAGGAGAGGGTAATGATCAATCATTAGAAGAATACGAATAACAGAATCTTTGTTACCTTTCGTCTTGTGGAGTCAGTGGGGCAAGGAGTCACATCTTCAATGCGACCGATACGCATACCAGCACGAGCAAGAGCACGGAGAGCACTCTGAGCACCAGGGCCGGGGGTCTTGGTGCCTGTACCACCAGTAGCACGAAGCTTGATGTGAAGAGCGGTCACACCAACTTCTTTACACCGAGCAACAACGTCCTGGGCAGCTAACATGGCAGCGTAAGGAGAAGATTCATCACGATCTGCTTTAACTTTTTGGCCACCTGGAGAAAAAAAAAACGGATGAATCAACTTCGAACTACGAATGAGCTTGAAATGTACCAGTGCATCGGGCAATAGTTTCTTGGCCAGTCAAGTCGGTAACATGGACGAAAGTATCGTTGAAGGAAGCATAAATATGGGCGACACCAAACACGAGCTCGCCTTCAGCTACTTGTGGGCCAAGCGAGACAGCAACTTCCTGCTTTACGACTTTCTTGGGAGGCTACGGAAATGAATGCATCCGTCAGCACATTGTTGCATCCATCAAATGTTGACCAGAATTCGGGATCCAAGGCTAGTTACGTGCACCCCAGAGTGCCCCTAGACTCTGATTTGGCTGTTATTGACACTCACCATTGGGTGTCAGTGCTGGGGAGGACTTGGAAAGAGGAAAACGACTTGACTTGGCAACCTCGGGCAAACGGCACGTGCTTTTAGTCTCGATCAGGCGCCACCATTTTTTGCCTGAAGTCTTTGAGCCGTCGGTCGGTTTCACTCTCGATGAATTGTCTCTTGCTGTCCGCATCAGGCAGAGGTATGTCGTCGCTTTATCGACCTACTTGAATTTGTTTCACCAATTAGGGTGCTGCTGGTTTGCTAGGCAAGTTATCAGCCTCTAGACTGGTTTGCGGTTCGCCGTGCATATCTCCCTCTCGCACCGCTTGAGCTACGCCCACAGAATATACTTTCATTAATGCTATTGGGACACATGGCTCCTTACTGAGTGCTGTGCGGTGGCACAAAGCAACCACATTCCCGTTTGCTTTGGTGATTCGATTCCAAGGTGACCTGGCGCGCGAAGCCCGCGGCAAGGATAAGAAACGTTTGACAAAAGCCTTCTTGCTTGTTACGTATCATCTGGAGTCGCGCCACTCTCCCTTGATCTGAAATTAAAGCGAAGGAGTAGCTCTCGCTGCATATTGTTGCGGTTCTATTATGCGTGCAATCAGAGAGGGTCTGATCTTTGCGAATGTTCAGAGCGCTCTGGCACTGCTGAGGTTGGTGCCGTTGTGGTATTCTATATCAATAAGACTGCCGCTGCTCTACATTCTGGTTATCGAACAAGCATTTCGACAAGCGCTGCCGCCTGATTCCTTTGCGAAATGCAAAGGTGATTGAGAACGCCATAGGGATTGGGGCTGGAGGCCCGCAGCACCCTTTCGTTGTTTTACCCATACCACACTCATCTTTCTACATGACCCCAACCATCAAATAGCGCCCCAACAATGCAGTTATCGCGCACCGATCCTCGCCCTGCGCTTTAAAAGTCTTATATCCACCCCCTCTTCCCTTGCCTTTTCAAGTGCCCAGCAGGTTATGTGTGGAAGCTATACCCAACTCCTTGGAGCGGAATGGCCTTTAACTTTGTATCTCGATGCTTGCATCGGCCGTGATCTGGGTCACAACCTGATAAGATAAGTTGGGTGGGCACACGAAGGGCAGACCGGACCGACGGTTATGTTCCGGCAAAACGAATACGTGGAGTTAAGAACAAACATCACAAGAGGTGAGAAAGGCTGACAGTATCTATGAAGAGATTGAAGAAGGAGGGTCAGGAGGCAAGGGGGCGGAAGGTGGGCGCGTGACAATGGAAGGCCGGTGAAGGCGAAGTGGGTGATGGCGAGCCACTCACGAACGGCGCGCGGTGCGTAGTTTCGTAATCATTTTTCTCCTACGCCAAGAAATGATTTCAATTAATTGCACATGCACGTGCGAGTTAAATATACATCTGCAGTATCGATGGATGGATTGCCGTGATTGCTACCATTATTATGTATGTCTCGCCGCTTCGCACCGCTCGTTGCTCATCATTTCCATTTGTCGTTTCACTCATATCTCCAGACTCCTGCCCAGTCGTCTTTCCGAATTGACAAAGTTTATCCGCAATTTCGCGGGTTTCTAATACTGTCTCCTGCCTTTATGTGTACAGTGCATGTGTTGGCACACGCTCATCTGCACAGCGTGGAAGTGCCTTGGCGACGAGTGGTTGGGGTAATTTATGAGACATCACTAGTAATACGGAGGAAGCTTCTTCGACGGGTCACGCGGCTCTACTGCGAGGTTAGCCACGCCGCGTCGCTTGTCAGCCCGAAGGCAGTGTTCTTTTCGACCGGGAAACCACACTCTCACCCCCCAGTTTAAATATCAGAGGATCAATGAATCAATATCTTGATTATGTGTTCAGTATGGAAATGCAGTGGGCGCAGTTACAACTGTTTCCCTGAATATTGTTGCTATTTATACATAATGCTGTGTGATGGACGATAACAGTATAAAGCCAGTTACCCTTTTGCTGGACATGGAGACAACCTACCTCGGCAACATTTCAGTCCTGTCCACTCAGGAATATGGCCACCTATACCGAACCAGCGCCCCCCAGGTATACCGATGAAGATGTAGAGTTGCTTTTTAGATCACCCCCACCTCCTGCAACCCATGCGAAGTCTGTACCGCTACCAGTGCCAGTTGTGCTTCCCCAAGATGGGACATCCTGGGATTCTCCTTTTGCCAGAGGCTACCATCCCGATATGCGTGACTCTGGGATTGAGATGGATGACTGGTTGAAGTTTATAGATGGACTCAACATCGCAATTGTGAGTTGCTTTCATGTCGTGGTTGCGGAGGGATGTTCACGATGGGACAGGGTGCTAGCCCTCCCCTACGAGTTATAGATTTGGCTGGTACGTTCGTTGTTCGTGAAACGCTGGGATCGTTCTTACTAGAGTTTGCCTTTGGCAGGCCTCGTAATTGGTTTTGTGTAAGCATGGCTCGTGCTGCGTCTAAGTGGTGTTCCTCTTTGACGAAGAATGTAAAACAGTCCAAATACGTGGACGCTTATCGCAGGCATTGTGTTACAAACAACTGCTCAAACAGCCGCGCACATCCTTTCCAAGACACTTACCGATCGGTACCTCCTCAAGGCGAATCGGACATATTTCGAGCCTCGTGGTCTCCGAGTTCGTTTGATGAAGACAGAAGCTATGCATCATTTTATCGGAATCGGTCGGGGAAAGGAGGAGACGAGCAAGCTCAAGAACTTTTTCAAGGGCGCTGGACGAACCGCCGAGAAGGCCGTGTTCAAGATACCTCTTCCCATCATTGGGCCAATTGTCGGACGAACCATCATTCATTTTTCAGATCGCCAAGTAAGTGAGACTCCGCAGCGTGTCCACCCCATGGTAGACTTCCTCTTCGCTCTTGCAGGCTCCAAAGGTCGACCCTAATGACCCCAGGGACGCGACCCATCGCCGAATTGCTGCGCTATATCCGCACGTCTTTCCTGTCTCAACTGATGTCCCCCCTCCCCTTCCACCCTCGTCCCTTTTGGATAAGGCGTCTGCATTGCAAATCAAACTCCGTAACAGCAAGCAGATGAGGACCGAAGCCAAGGGCATGAGGGCAAGAAGGCTCTTGGCAGCCGCTAATGGCGAGGCGACGGCGGACTACCAAACACGGAGGGAAAGAAGGCTGGCGAGGAGGGCCGCGAGCGGGCGGAGACGGGCGAGGAGGCGCCTAGAGTATCGAGCTGCTAAAGCAGATAGATTAGAAATGCTCGGAACAGAGGGGTCACTCTGGATTGTGCTGCTTACACTTGAGCAAGGTAAGTATCTATTGAGTTTAAGCATGACAGTAGTGCCCTCCTGATATAGCTTACGCCACAGACAATGAAATCCAAGGGCGCGAACTCGTTGATACCGACAAGGATGAGCAGATCGGTGAGCAATCTTTTTAAACCTTCCTCCGAGAAATCGTCTAATACGAACGTCAGATATCGATGAATGGGAGGATGAGCTCGAATACGAAGATGAGGAAGAGAGAGCTCGACTGGCTATGGATCACCCTAGCATCGAAAATCCCTACGGTCCGCGTTAATGCTTCATTGCTTCATTGTTTCAAAGGCTTCGCTCTGTGTAAATAGTGCCACGATTGTCCTCCTTTCCCCGGTGTAAAGTTTACTTCCTTTCAAGCTGAATCCCTGAGCCTGCTGGGCATGAGTCGTAGATTGGGAATATTTGTGGTTTTGAAGGGGAACCTCAAATATCTAGCTCCTGGACCTGATGCGCGCGGGCCAGTGCATGCGTCGTACCTCAACCCTGTTGAAGCACCATTAATGCGTAACATCGTTTCCCGGAAATATGACACTGAAAGATATCAATACATATTGCCACTGTCCAGAGTCATGCTATTTTGATATTGATATCACATTCAGTCAAAATGGTCGTTAGTGGAACATATATTGAGCCCGAGTGTTGGTCTCGCGTGGACGTCTTCACTTGGTAAGACATCTGTAAGGGCTCTTTCTACAATACAGGGAGTATGCCTCAATAGCTCAGTTGGGAGAGCGCTACACTGAAGCACCTCAATGTATAGGTCCCCCGTTCAAACCGGGGTTGGGGCACTTCTGTTTTGTTTTTGTTTTTTTGTTTTTTGTTTTTTTTATCTCAGATTTTTGAATTCATCTATCATATGTTTATTTTATTTTATTCTTAGCTTGAGAGTGTGTTCCAATCATCCGGGATATGAGAATGCCATCCATTAAAACATTGCTTGGACGCTTTTGTCGCCCACCCATGGTGGCTGGTTCCGCAATATATCTCTGATCTCGCGGGCCGGTCGGGCGACAGATGGCTGATCAGATCCAATGCTAGCTTGCATCTTCTTCACCAACGTGGACATATTCCTCAGGGTGAAAAAGACCTCAGGATGGGATGAAACAGTGTGTAGTCTGGGCGAATGTCAGTACCGAAGATTTCTGCTACATTGTCAGAACGCACAGGATTTGGGACGTGAGTATGTGTGGGGGTGCCGCACCGAGAATATGCTGGCTAGAAGATCTAGCAGTTCGAAAAGTGACACTGGAACAAGTTTCTACACTCACTCAAGGGCAGGACGAACAAGGGCAGCGTCCCGGCTAAGTGCTGCAAAGAGTTCTGCAATTCCAATATAGTATGGTTCTAGGGGAGGCATCAGCATTTTTGTATAGGGAGAATGTTCCAGTCCGACTTGCCGTCGTGCGGGTCACGATATGAATCAATGACAAGTTCTCGGAGATTCTCCAGACTTGTGGGACTAATGTTTATCCATGCGCTATCTACTACACCAGCTAGAGCGGAGGCCAAACTTCCTGCTATGCCATCCTCCCCACTTGAACGTATTGAGCCGATCAGCTCCGCGATGAGGGGATCAGCGCGCGGTTGATTGCGCATCAAAACTGTGAGTGCTGCCACCGCTCGCGAACGTACTGCAAGGCTCGCATCCGTCAGCGATTTGACAAACGTTCGTTGCAACTGTGGGAAGAAAGGTTTGATAAATATCGGAATGCGTTCCAGCATTTTCGCGAGTGCTATTAATATCGCACTCTTGACTCCTGCTGGCAGCGCAGAGGCCTGAGTAATAACTCGGATGAGCGGCCCTGTGATCTGGGTGGTATATGGTCGCAATGCGGCATCATCAGTCCTCTCGACCAGATCTGCAATCGCAAGAGCGGCTTGTTCTCGCTGTTCATTGCTTCCGGTCGTGAGCCCAGCAAATATGACTGGGAGCATGGGACCCACGCCTTTACTGTAGCTGAAGCCGGGAACAACCCGACCTGGCGCACCTGTTCCTTCGATAGTACGCCTTAAGGTGACGACAAGCAATTCCATCTCGGTCTTATCAACAGATTTAATGAACTCATCGAACGCTTGCCAAGCAGCCTCGTGCACAGGGATCTCATGGTCATCCATGAGAGAGACCAACTGTCTGATCCAATCAGCACGATACTCCGAGAAATCAAGGCTGGTATTCTCGCAGAACTTAGCAAACGTTAAGGCTCCACTGACACGACGCCGCGGATTCTCATGTTTTGCCCTCAAAACGGAGTCAACGGATCAACCAAGCAACCGGCATGCAAACTCACCACGAAAGCAATGTCATCATCAAAGAGTGGAGACCTTCGAGGTCTTCGACTGATCCAACAAGGGAGACGATAGCTGCTTCCACAGCGTCTTTGGTTTTTTCATCCGTTTCATTCTCAGCAGCTGCTACCAACGCGCCAAGAACTTGCGTCAGCCTCTGAGTTAACGCAGACCCTGCAACCGTCACTAGCACTGCAAGAGCATCCGCATTAAACGCCGATATTGGTTGGGTAATGAGAGTGGGTATCAAGACTGGGAAGACGGTTGATGCCCGGACCTGCAGAAGAGTTATATATTAAATTCAAGTCATGGAGGCCCCTTTGTGACTGTGACGATGGCCTACCGTCATAATTTCCCGTAATGCTTGAAGCGCAGTATCTGAGGCAGCACCAGGGGATCGTAGGGCTTCCAGCAAAGTAGGAATAGTCTGATCAATGGCACGCGAACCAACGTGCTCCTGCAAGGAATCAAATGCCTGCGCAGCGGCTATTCTAACAGAAGCAGAATTGTCCACAAGACTGATGCGAACAGCGCTAATGAGTTCGTCCTCATGATTCTCTCGTTGGCCCTTCGTCGTGTTCTCCCTGGATATCATCATTGTCAATGAACTTTGTGCGTACCCACGAGGCTTTACTGACAGTACTTCGCTGATGGCAAAGCAAACCCCCTCACGTGTCTTGCTATCGCTAGACTCGGCACCAGCTCGAAGAATCGGAACAGTGTCACTAAGGATCCTTTCTCCTTGCTTCCGACAAAGTTCACCCAGCGTTCTTGCTGCTGTCTGATGATGAACGGGGTCAAGTACATATCTTCAATTCATTTCTACACTTACCTCGCGCTGCTCATCACCCTGGTTTGCGAGCAGTACCACGATCTGCTCCATTAGACAGGGCAAAATTTCCCTGACTGAAGATAATGAGTATCTGAGGGTTGCGAATAACAAGAAACTCACCTGTTCGAGGAGTATTGTGCACCAAAGCCTTCCAGATATGGATTGCTGCCTGTCGGCAGGCATGTACGGGATCCTGCCTGACAATGTACAAAGATCCTAGAATTCGATCCCTACGGTCTTTCCCGAGCACATCGGCCAGTGCCTTGCGGGAACCTTCTGCAACCACAACGTCAGCTTCGCCATCCTCTTCAATCTCAGTCTTCCTGCTGATCCCCGATATCTTGTATAGAGTTTCCCCAACTAGGGCGACGGACGAATGCTGCTGAGAGTGAGCGTGCTACATCACGTAATAGCAAAGAAGCTCACCCGAATCCGCCAACTTGAATCAAACATACCACGCTCCAGTTCCGGAAGTAGAAGATCGATCGCTTTATTGCTATAGTTGTTGATAATCATTCGTCCAGCTTTCATTGACGCTGTCCGTACGAACTCCTCACCATCCGCTAAGCCGTTCAAAATGGGCGGAATGATGCGAGAGAGATGTGGACTGAACCTGTGGCCGAACGTGGTGGGGAGGAACACAAGCAGGGACATGAACCCTTCTCTGACGTGAGAGCGAGCACTTCTCGCATTCGTGACAATTTCAGGGAGGAGGCCCTCCATCCGTTCCACTCCGAGACCTGACAAAACCTCACTCAGGCCTTGGGCGGCGCCTTGGCGGTCGACGGCGGATGTGTCCGTCTTCAGCGTATGAAGAAGGTTCGACACCATGTCTGGGAAGCTAACTTCTCCAAGGCGTTCGATGAGGGTACCCAGAGCTTTGGCTGCAGTGGCTCGAGATTCAGGAACAGGGTCTGTGAGAACTGTGTGGACCAGAGGAACCAGACGGGGCAAATATGGGATGAAGTCCTTCGAATCCGTCAAAGATGCCATATTTCCAACAATTTGGGCGGCTTTACGTTTCGTTTCGGACCCTCGTTCGCGCATGCCCCGCTCCAGGATCGGAATTAACTGTCCTCTAGTTGGGCATTCATTCATCACAAGTGCAATGGGTAACTCACCAAGGCCAGAGAGGCTGAATCAATATAATGCACAAATGACTTTTTGAGAAGTGCGTTGAGAGCTGTTGAAGTTTTCTCTGGGTCTACCAAGGCTTTCAACAGGGTCGGGACTATGGATCGCACTTCGGGATTGGTTATCACTTCACCAAACCGTTTCAAACTTGAGTTGGCTGCCGTCTTCACTTGTGTGTGAGAATCGGTCAGCACGCCAGTAAGCCGAGGAATGACGATTGGGAGTGAAATGGAGAGTTGTCGGGGGGCTAAGAAAGCCATAGATCCCAAAAGCTCTATTGCACCTTTCTTTGTCCTCCATTGCTTTTCTTCTAGAGTTTCCAGGAGGGATGGCAGGACAGATTTGACACCATACCCAGACAAATTTGCCATAATAACTTTGGATGCATCTTGAGCGGCTTCGCGCACATCTACTGTTGTATCGCCGTACGCAGCAAGTAGAAGGGGCAATATTTCCATGACGTACGGCTCAAACAAGCGCCCAAGGAGCGCGGACATGGTCTCGATGGCGAAAAGTGCACCCTGTCGAGCCTCAAAGTTCTTCTTATTCCCCAGGGCAGAACGGAGAGATGCCATCACACGAAACTCTTTAAAGCCAACTACCCCCCAACCTTTCAAGATACCCCCCAGACCATATGCCGCACCTCGACGTTCCGCATATTTCGATGCCGTCGTAAGAGTTTGAAACAATTCGTCCATCAGAAGGCTCGCCTTGTCCTGTAGCGGGGCCGCCAGCGGCGATAAACATTCGGCGACGGCAGCTTGGACAAGTTCAGATGGCGTCCTCAGCGCATCAATGAGCCTCGCCACTATTGACTGCCTACGTGGGTCTCCCATGTCAAGATGTTGAGCTAGTCGCCCGAGTAAAATAACTAAAGCCTCCCGGACCCAATCGGCTATTTCGGTTGACGAGTATGTTGCAGGCAGCTGGTTTTCGAATTCAGCAAGAAGTTCTTGGAGTTTCTCTTGGCCACGCATATCAATAACAGCGACCCCAGCTTCCAACATGCGGCGCCTGACGCTGGCATGCCGGTCACCCAGAGCTTCCTCTCGGATGAGAAACTCAAAGAAGGGAAGCAGTTCGTCACTCGGTAGAACCTGAGCCAATTGCTCGAAAGTCCAGGAAATAGCTTCACGTGTCGGCCATGGATCTGACTGCTCTAGGCTCCGCTCAATAAGCATACCCTGTTGTGCTCTTCATGAGCACTCTTATTCATGGAACGCATGCAGCTGACTTACGTAGGCGTCAAACTCAGGGGCAAGAATCTTTGCCTGAATCAAGATATGCATGAGTAGATTCCACAGAAAAGAGGGGCATTCCGACCATATCACGATATGAACTTTTAAGATCTGCAAGCAAGCTTGGTACGGATGATGGGAAGTGCGAAGCAGCAGAGGCGATCGCACGAGAAGCACTTGCTCGGACATAGCCCTTTCCACTTCCTAGTCCTGAACATCAGTAAATCGAGCCCGCAGGTGGGTCAAAGGCGAACCAAGTAGCGGAAGCAAGTCGGCGCCGTACGGATTCTTTACGTCCATCCCGTTGTCCTCCCAAATGTCGTAAGCAAGTCGGGCGTTCGGCTGATCATCATCGTGGCACGCAACCCATATTTCAGGACACCAATCCTTATCTGTGAGATCAAATGGCTAGCAATTTGATTGGATATTCATTAACTCAAGCAGCGGGGAAAATATGTCAAACACCAAGCACCTGTAAGGCTTGCAGACAAGCGGATCGAACAAAGGATTCTTGAGCTAGGGTGCCTTGTAACAGAAGCTGAGTTTCAGCTTCCGTAGCGCTTTGATTTAGACCGTGGCTGAGAATCACTAGGCATGAGGCCGTGGTATTAGAAACTTTAGGGTAGCGAGCAATGGAATTGAGCAGTAGTTCAAGAGTCTCATATCGAGGATATGTTGGGTCGGCAACTGTAACAGGTTAACAAATGATGCCGCAGTTCCGAAGCTTGCTAACTTACGCTCCACAATGTGACGCTCAATGATTTCTAGAGCAAGAGTAATTTGCTCGGCGCCAGCTTCCTCTTCGGGTTGGCCTACGCCACCGTGCTCGAGAACGCATAAAAGGAGTGGGAACAAGTATGCGAAGTCGAAGGCATTAAGCGGGGAATCCGACGACACCGAGTGCATGTGGTAGAGGACTCGAAGGGTGAGTTCTACGAAGTGCGGCCTGAGCCATTATCGATGAAGGTTAGAATCCAACTTACCTGCCAAAGGTTCTTCAAGGAAACCCTTGGGGACTGCAGAAACCGAAAAGCTTCGCAGGCAAGATATCCCTGTTAATGTGCGGTATATCCCCAAGTTCCGCGAACAGGAGGAACCAATGGCCTTATCGTCGAGATTAAAATATGCAACCAGGGGTTGAAACCAAGTACGAACCAGGTAAACGTCGAAGGCAGCCGACAATGATAGAGGTGACAGGAGGGCACCATCCAGCAGCAGCTTACACATTGGCCATACGAGAGGCTGAAGATCCTCCGTGCGTGCACGAAGAAGACTTTGAAGTAGGCCCAGGCCACGTTCCGCTTCCGCTTTGATGGTAGCAACCCTCAACCGAACTTCCGCTTCCTTCTGCAATTGCTCCTCCACGAGTTTCCGGTCCTCTCTGGAGAGACTAGGCATCGTATTCGCCTTTTTAGCGGCAATGGCCTTTTTTACTTCCTCTTCCCATTTTTCAATCTCGTGATTTTTGCCCTTTGCAGTTGTGACACGCTTCTTAGCGTTGAGAACTAGGCACGGAAGGCGGATGAGTCAACGAAAGGGTCAATTCCGGGCACTAACCGTCTATAAAAGTAGAACCCTCGGGAGTACTCCACACGCCAAGCTCAAACTCCCCTATTCCCAAAAGGCTCTCGGGATTTAAGTCTTTATTGATCTGTTCCGCAAGTTGGGAGATAATGGAATCAGGGGCTATAAATGCTATTGTCGCCGCAGCATCAAATGCAGCATTACTCAAATATGGGACCTGGATGACAAAGTCAGGCATTTGCAAGGTACGAGACGCAGTGAAAAGCTACGAACTGAGGCAGCTTCCACTACAGCTGAGATTAGGGCCTCCCTCTTTTTGACTACCAAACCCTTGGGATCAACGCCGGAAGCCTGAATCGCTTCGATCCACAGAGCACGCGTAGTGGTTGCTGCATGGGAATCAAATTTTGAATTCCAGTGGGCCAAATTTGACAAGAATCATATTACTCAGCAAGTGATGATGAGAGATGACGAATAATTCGGCCAAACGATCCTGTCGCATATCAACCGAGTAGGTTGGGTTGAAGTCTACCAAAGCCAGCAGGACTGCTGAGAAATAACCCATTTTCAAGTACGTTGATGACTGGGTAATACTATCATCTGCCGCTGCAAAAGGCCTTTGGAATTGCTCAATGAGGGCCTCACGAATCATGCGATGCACAAGCTCTGGAGCTCGGTGATTAAGTTCTCCAATGATTGCGATGCCCAACTTTCTCGTCTCCGAATCTTTGCTGAACACCGTGTGATGGAGCAATTCTTGCCCGCACAACAATCTACGACCCATAGTGAGACAGGTTCATTAGCGCAAGGCGGACTGGTTGCTTACCTTAGATTAGCACTCGTCTCAAGATCGTCTTGAATTTGAAGAATAGTAGTAGAGAGAGATCGGAGACCCCAAATCTCATCTGCAGCCGCTGACAATTTGCCATACACCTTGTCTGACAGCAGAAAAGATGTTTTCGAGCCTCCCAAACCCAGTATCTGCAATATCCTGCTAGTTCCTACGCCATCGTAAGCATCACTTCTCAATGATAAGTTACACTGACTACCTGCTGACAGGGGACTTCCACGTCGCAGGACTACTGCAAGAGCGATATAACCTTCGATGGGCCCAATCGTTGTATTCATAGGGCTTGCCACAGTGGCTTTAAGATTAGATTCCAAGATTGGAAGTAAAGCTGCTCCAAACTTAAGCGTTGGCTCCGGCACGGAGAATTTAGGCTCTTTCTCCAGTTTGTCACCCAGAAGCCAGAAGCATTCCGCAACTGCCAGTAAAAATGACCGCCTTTGTAACATCTTGGAGCTCGCGCATTCCTTCACAATGACTGACGATGCATCCGGTAGCAATCCTGTCCCCCATATCATGCAATGGGTGAGGTGAGTAGCAAGCGATATTCTTAAGAACGCAGCCGCAGTCTCATTAATCTCTTTGGAGAGTAATGATGGCACAGTGTTAACGAGTTCCGCGGATACGGAAGCACTGGGTTTTATGTGTCCAAGAATGGCATAGAGGGTGGCCCTGTGTTCTGCACTTGCAGTCTTACCGTGCTTTGGCAATGTCAAAAGCTCGCTGGCAAAGAAGGAATGGATAGGATGTGTCTGAGGCTGAGAGTTCAATATGATCTTTGCCATTTCTACTGCCCCAGACCGTACAATGCCGTTTCCAGACTTAGCGCAGCCGGCAATGGATGCCTGGAGCCGTTTGAGAATAGTGTCGGACCATTCTCCGGAATAGGAAGAGAGTATAGCATTTGCAACTTTCAGTGGAATATTTAATGCAATCTTCAACTCAGCAGGAAGTGAAGGAGTACCTGAGATTGATATTTCCGGCGAGCGCAACAGAGCTTTTTCGATGGTTGGGAGGTACACAAGTCCCAAGTCTGTCGCAGTTATGGCATGACTTACGAATTCATTAAGAGCGTCCTAACCTCCCTCATTAGGGAATTGCTTCCCAACGAAGCTGACGAAATACCCACCTTTGCGTGGGACGGAAGGATGGACCTAGACATGAGAATCACCTGTGTATGATATGTGATAATGTCCGGCTACGATATCATAAGTCATTAATGGAAGGGATAGTAAGTGTTCACACCTTCAACTTCGAGATCCAGGTATTTGGGAGCTCTGAGTTTTTGGAAGGTTTCGAACGACACAGAATGTCAATTGCGGAGCCAATAAGAGGAACGAATCTCGCTGGAAACATAGACGTCTTGGAGATTTCCAACAATGATGCCACAGTGCCAGGTACCACCGCTTTGTGCTACACAACACCGACATAAGAATGTGCTAATTCACGGGTGGTGATGGCCCTACCTTGCGAAATACTCGCCATACATTTGCATTGGCGCTACGGGATAGAGACCGCCTAGAAGCCGTTCCGCAGACGGAGTCGAAGAGGATGCTTAAGGTTGCAATGACGGAGTGCCATTGACTTGATCGGGCAAAAGACGGAGAAGCATCCAGCGCGGACAAAAGCACACGACAAGCCCATGTTAGCAAAACGAACTTGTCGCCGCAATGTGACGAACTTGAGAAATCTCAATCAGGTTTGCTAGATGCGGAGTATCATTGGTTGCAACTCACTTCATGGATAGTTGCGAGCAGAGTCGCGTCGTTTCCAATTCCAACCATCTCGTAACATAGTCAAGAATTCCAGACACAGAGCTTTGATCCCAGACAATGCGGCGTCACGTTTAACCAGTGAAGAGAGAACCTCCAAAACCGAGTTTCTAGATGCTGCATCAATATAACGTGGGTATGTGACTATCAAGAGATCGAAAATGTCTGAGGCACGCTGACTGTCCAGTTCTATAACAGCTAATTATTCAGAATTTGGCTTCGAACAGAAACCCTCCTACCAGGTTGCTGGGACACCACAGAAATTCTCTGCTTCAGAAACGATATGCGGTTTTTGGTACTGCTCGACATCAAATTGGCCAGAGCCATCTCCATGAAGCCTTCCCATGGTTTGTTACTTGGCGCTGCCAGAACATTTGAGTCATCGAAGTCATCTTCAGAATAACGCGAAGTAGATATCCAATGTTGAATGTCCTGATCACTCATTCGCTGGCTCGAGTCGGAAGCCAATAATTTGGCCAGCACTCTTTTGCTTTTCTGAGGCACCTTGGGAAGTTGAATCGAAGCCTTGATCTTCACGAATCAGTTTTGGATTGCGATGATGAAAATGAAGTTCGGCCAACCCCGCTAGTTTTATGTTTTAATCGGCACAAAGAATGGAAAGCAAAACTAGGACGGCGCGAAACAAAGACCCGACAAAAACAAAAAAAAAACAGAACCAAGAGAACACCCAGGAGGGAGACTGGGTAGAAGGACCTCCAATTCTACTACTTGAAAACAAAGGATCTGGAAGGAGAGCCACATAGAGCGGCATGTTGGATCCATATATCTGACTCATGTGAAGTGGAAATAAGGGATTGCAATTGGAGAAAAAGTGCATCAGTCAAAAGGTTCGAAGCGAGAGATGTCGGACAAGGCGGATTCACGGAAAGATGAGTAAACAGAACAGATACAAAAGAACATCCTGCTATCAATCCTCCGCCTAAGGGAGCAAAGAATGAGGGGAAGTTGACCCGGGGGGAAGGACAGCTGGACGACCGCGGAGTGACCATCATCGGACCTCTCACATAAAAAGGTGGAAGTCGAACGAGATCGGATGAAGAGAACTCAAAGGCGAACCGGAAATTACACAAACAGTGAATCAAGGCGCCAAGCGGGCTCGTACGTACAGAACGGCGCAAAGTCACGTTTATGCCAATCCAACTATCTGCTGTGAGGGATGAAAGGAAGATGAATATTTTTCGGATGATTACCCAATCGTGACGGGCGCAATCTTCATTGCACAGAAGCCTCTATCCACCACGGAAGAGCAATCAGCGAGCGAAGGGGACTAGAATAATCTTTGCTAGCTAAACGAACCATAGCGGTGTTCAAACTTGATGGCAATCCATCGCCCTCTAAATGAGCTTTCATATGGTGTGCATGGAAGAGAGTAAAGGACTACTTGATGAGTGAGTGACAACCAACGATACCAGGGGCAAGCAGGCTTGTAGGACCGAAAATTGGGGGGAAGGTTCGAGCAAAAACGTCTCGTATGAGGCGAAATGATCGCAAGTGGTTGGAATGCACCACTAAAACGCCAGGAGAGGATAAGCGTAATAATTAGTGCAAAAACTTAGGCATGAAAAAACTCGAACTTTGGCATCCAAAAATCCGTATCGGGAGACACCCGGATGGAATTGGAGAAACAAGGATAGGAATTATCCGTAGTCCCGGTATAGATGAATCGGAATCCAAGGGGCAGCCATATAAGCGGGGCAGCTCGAACAGACTATTCGGCAGCGAATCGACGTCCTCATGGTACCGTGAAGGCTAGAAGACGAACTGCAAGTTGCATGAGTAAGGACGACGGCTTCCCTGACGTGTCAAATCCATGTCAACCTTCTCATTCAACCCGTGTCAATAACAGCCCAACCGCTGTGGAAACGGTTCGAATGGGAGGCATGTGCGCATTGAGAGATGTCGACTGCTACGAGACAATGAAATTTAGCCAAATCCGCCATATGTAGCTCAGGTATGACTTGAAAGTCATCCCGGTTAAACTGTTCCAACTGGTTGAAGGCACAAAGACACAAAGAATGGGGCTATTTTCCTTCTGCCGGTGCATCTGTTGTCCCCATGACAAATTATTCAAGGCGGGCTTGAGCGAGGCGCATGAAATGAACGTAATATTCTATTCGTTACATAACCGTCAACTCACCAATGTCTTTCTCTCTTTGTGGCATCATCGCACACCTTTATCTGTCGCGGACTCTCTGGTGTGCTCCATCATTATGTAGCACCGCTTAAGTCCGTCAACTGCATGAACGGAGTTATGAGTGACGGATTTAGCTGCGGTGCTTTGCTGTATCATCACCAACCCACAATCCTGCCACCATCCGAATCTCAAGTTAAGAGATCTTCCATCTCTGTTCCTAGCGCTAAGTGGTGCATGTCAAGTTGAAGATCTCTTGTACCCTCTTCCATTGTTACACCCTGAAAGCAAATCACGAATAAATTTTTTGAGAAAAATGGGAATGGGACGTTTATTATTTCCGAAAAACCTATCAAGTATCCCCACATGGGGCTAGGAACACCCATGTATGCTGGGGAGGATAATGAAAAGTTGTGGAATCACGCTCCGACATTTTGGAAAATCTTGACACCAATTCAGGGTGGCGAAAGGCACGCTTGCGAGTTACTCAAGCTGAAATGGAATTATTCTTAGCTGTATTGCATACCAGTGGGCAGTCATTGTGGCAACTGTAGCTTAGTCATAGAGACTGGAGTCCTGCCTACTTTGGGACCTCGTCTGTGCAACACTGCTGCCAATATCAGACCTGTGCAGAGTCCAGCAAAGCGCGAAGCGCAAGCACTCTAGTTGAAATAGGCCTATCTGAAACGTAAAAAACACCCCTTGATAGGGTGGGATAATTGGCTAACTAGCCTGGACATGTTGGTGTTGTCATGACGTCGCTTTTTAGGCACTCAGCGGTTAGCAAGACTCAGGTAGGGGGCAAAAGCTCTGAGTTATTAGACTAACTACGGGTTCATTTTATAGTACATGCGGGTCATGCTACAGTCCGATCGGTACACAGACGGATCGGGGAGGCGGTGGAATGGGTGTGGGATGTAGCGCCTAAGCGCTGCATATTGCTTAACACGGCCTTTGATCCAATTTTTGACAGCTCCGTATCCGTGATTTTACTATTAGTCTCGTTGGAATGAGGACATTACATAATTGAGCGGAAGCATCATGTTGGACATGTGACTACTATAAACATTTAGCGGAGTTGTCTGAACTGATTTGTCGCACTTGAGGTTTTCCACCATGTCAGAGACGCAGGAATCCTGCCTAGGCCCAACGATGCCTCGGGACGAGGGATGGAAGACGTACGATATCCGTCCGCATCCGAATCGGGTGATAGACGCCCCATACTGCGTAGCGAGCAAATAACCATGGTCTATCAGTTCAGCCGGCCGTCCCATTCATCATTGAGGTATCACCTAAAGGATGCTGAGCTGGAAGACGAGTCAAACCATGATACGTGGACTGAACTCATTCGTAGCGTTCTGTGTTCTCTGTGTTCTGGTCTGAAGGAGGCGGGTGTGAGTGTTGTTTCAGCAAGCGAGCTGGAGTCGATCGCGGAAAACCTCGACAATGTTGAGCGCACAAAGTGTGTGGCTCTGATCACAGATGCTCTCAGACAGAATAAATGGGACCCCTTGATCAGATATGGTGCGTACCAACCTGTATTCTCGGCACGGATTGTTCAGTAATTGATGGTACAGCGGATATGAAGCTGCGACTCGCACCTCCGGAAATCAATTATTATGATTACAATCAGTACGTTTGTTCAACGTTAGCCTCATTCCATACTGACGTATCTCTGTTTACAGGTTTGAGGTTGAAAAAAGTGAGTCTGGGAATTACAATCTTCTCCAGAGTTTTGATTAGTTGTCAGATCTTGCTACCGCATACCATGGGCGTTTTATTGGTAGTGCACCTCGCTCTTTCATCAGGCATCTTGACCAAATCGACCGGGAGGAGGGCAACCTCAACAAACCACGTTATGCTAAATCCATCTCCGTAGTCCAAAGCTCTGGGGCTGGGAAATCACGTATGCTGACGGAGGTGTGTTTGTCCCCTGATCCTGAAAAGAAATATGATCATATTTGCTCTAGGTCGGTGCACGAATCTTTACCCTCCCTATATGTCTTCGTACACCGGGTAGTTCGGGTTATCCGTTAGCGGACGAGCCCGTGTCCGAATATTTCAATGAGCTCAAGACTCAGTGCGGGAACAATGACCTGAGCATCAGCACAGTTGCGGGTATCGCTAGTTTCTTTGCAGCTGCACATGAGACTATGTTAGCCTCGCTCAAAGTCATTCTCGGTGAGGGGAATTGTGCAAGGAAAGACGTTCTCGGCAGTTGGCACCGCAGAATGGAGGGAGAGGGCAGGGGGGCTTTTCGGGTGAAGTTCTTCGAAAGCGTGATGGAACGAACGAAACAAGTAAATTTCCTCTTTTTGTCCTCCGCTAAAGTTGACGATTGGTTTAGCTAAAAAAAAGTTATGGTGTAGGATCAGGGAATAGTCCCAAGCTCGATGACGGTAATGGATTTAAACGAAATAAGGAGGGCAAAAAGGGTAAAAAGGGCGGCCCGATCACGCTGGCCAGGAGCTATTACGCGAAAGATGCGAAGAAGGCTGTTGAAGACCTGATGGAGTTCATCAAGACTCTTACCAGCGGTTCTGATCCGCTATGCATCACATACTTCGATGAAGCTCACGAGTTGGGGATGTGCTTCTGGATTATGTTACTTTTATTGCAAAATCAAAAAGATTCCGTGAGAATGTGGTATGTCTTTATGGGGACGAAATCAAGCATAACGTATTTTGCACCCCGTCCTCAAGACAGTGAGTGTTCACATAGTTACCTGGCTGGACCTTATTGTTTCGCAGTGGTTTCCGCAAGACTCAGAGAGGAACAACGACGACTAGAGCCCCCCTTTTTTGCTCTTGGTTTTGATCAGTATGCCAGGGAGCAGGCCAAAACTCCCACACTCGTCAAGATGGGCCAATTCGAAACAATGGAGCATATCAGCCAATATGGGCGGCCTTTGTATGTCCTTTCCCAACAATCACAATCACAAGGAGAACCACCCACTCTCTTCTGCTAGGTGGCGCGCAATGCTGCCCATGCCAGGCGACGAACTGATCAACGTTGCAGCTTACAAGCTCACCGCTGCTGAAGTTAGAGGGTTCCATGCCGGGAATAAGCTCCATGTGTTTGCCGTACTTTCACAGCGGCTCTGTCTCGATCTTGTTCTAGCGAGTGCTGAGGCTGCCGAGTTAGCCGATCGGAGCGTCTCCCATCACTTGAGACTTCTCACGGGTCTCTCGGTTAATAATGCAATACTTTACACCCATTCGCCATCGGAACCAATTCTGGCTTTGGGTGCTGCACGAATTTTGTATCATCCCGACGCGCCCAACGGGCTATTACGTTCAGTCCTGGAGACTTTGAGCAAGGGTTTGTGTCATGCAGGTTTGGTCGAAAAGGGACTTATGGGTGAACTTGCCGCCCGCTTCCTTCTCCTCACCGCGCGCGACTTTGCGGCTCCAGTTGATGGCAAACATCGTAACTTCCTGAAACCTGTTCGCCTGCTGGATGTTCTTCAGACTCTTTTCGGCGGCAATGGCTGGTGTGATCGGAGCGTCAAAACCGCTTTCTGTGATGCATTTGTCAATTTCACACACTGGACCATTACAAAAAACTTCTTACCCCAAATGCCTTCTCGGTAATTATTCTTTCCATGCCCCTTCATGTGGTTGCTAACGAGGCTTCTCAGGAAATTGCTTGCTAACCTCTGGGCTCGGGGGGCCATTTTGCAATGCTGCTTCAATCAAACATCAATCGATTTCCTATGCCCGGTTTATTTTGGCTCTGTGGAACCCGGAGCTATTTTTGATTGCGACCAGCTGTCGGGACTCGTTGTTCAAGTCAAGAACAAAAAGGAAGGGGATACTGGTGCCCAAAGAAATCTGCGACCTGCCGGGATCATCCGTGACTTCAAAGACCCACTTCCTTATCTTGCCCTGCTGATGGAGCTTGGTACCGAGTCCTGCTACCGAGGGGGGGTTTAATCAAGCACACCCCTCCAGAACATTCTCAGCCTCTCCAATATAAACGCTTGCAGGAAGAGTACCGGCATGCTTTGGATGGCCTATCCCAGCATAGAGAACAAAATCCCAAGGAGAAGAAACATTTGAAGCTGCTGGAGGCAGACGTTCAAGCCAAAGAGCTGGAAAAGGACCTATATAATCAGTACCTGATCTCTGCCCGAGGTGCGGGGTCTAAGACCTATGGCATACTTAAGACGGCAGGAATCGAGGAGGAATTTAACACCTTCCTCAGCATTGTCATACCTCAGGAATCACCCTATGATGATGAAATTGCTCAAATGTGGCCGGATCACGTTGGGGATGATGGCTGGTTGGCTGATTATGTGATAGACAATGAAGGATAATCCCTTGTCCAAAGCCAGAGCATGTGTGATGAAATGTAAATTAGTTGTAAATCTGAAGACTTGTGCTTTTTGGGACACTCATTACTATGCCGGGGTTTGCCGGGTGTGGCAGTGAGCACTTTTCACAGTCAGGTGACGTTCCTCAGCACTGCCATCAGCTCCTCCCTGAAAACCCGTATCATGCTTCAATGGCAATTCATCGCTCTGACGCTGCTACATATCTTCTACGCGATCTTCTCCACCCTGTGGGCCTTAGTATGCGCAGTATTGACCTCTAAGGCCCAGACACCCAAAGCACTGCTCCACCCAAGAGCGCAGAAACCCCAGCATCTAGCCATAGCATTCCTTGCCGGGAACAACACGAACAGGCTCGATGATGACGCCCTCTTGAACTGTATACTGGAATCGGCAAAAAGTTCCATCCAATGGTCCGCCAGCATTGGTGTCCGGACCCTCACACTGTACGACCGTCATAGTAGGTTGAGACGTGAATACGAGTAGATTGAAGCTGAAGGATCCATATATAGATATGCTAAAAGAATACGCATCGGAGCTTGAGCACGAGCTCAGTCTTTCTACCTTGCTACGATCCGAGGCCATATACCCGCCAGCCAGGCATTCCCTACGTCGACGAGGCAAAAGCCAGGCTACATCATTTTATCCTACGCCCCCTACGACGGATGACTACGTTAGCTCTACACCGTGCACTGAAGATGACACATTTTCAGAGGTGGATTCCAACTCAACCGCACCAAAAAGAATTTCCATCCTTTCGTTTAATTTCCTTGCGCCACCGTTTCAGCACATCCCATCAGAAGAGTCTTCGGACGACGAGTCCGTACCGAGTAGGCTGGATCCCAAAAGTTCATCCTCGAACAGCATGAAGATCTATATTGTTTCATATTCTGACGGCACACCTGCTATTGCAAAAGCTGCGCAAGCACTCACTTCTCGTCCCTGTGCTCTGATTAGCGAACGGCATGCGCGGGGTATACCTTTCTCTGTAGCTGATCTAGACCAACTCTTGAGCGGTGAGCTCGCTCCACAAATTGGGATATTCGATGGTTGATGTCTCCACCGACAGCTGAACTTCCTTCTCCACAATTCCTCATAACACATGATATGGAACCACCATGTCTCCTTCCATCTTCAGAACGTCCGCTCCAGCTAGACGCCTTTCCGCCATGGCATTTACGTTTAACTGAGTTCCAGTGAGTAACAGAATTTTGCTCATGAACCAATGTTCATTCGCACGTCAGCCGAACATCGAGGAAGTGGGGAGTATCTTCCATATGGGGTCTAGCCTCCGCCGAGCATCGGCGATACAACATTCTTTCTCAGGTGGCATTTAGGCAAGCCTTAGACGATTATGAAAAAGCGGAAATGCGAGAGGGGAAGTAATGCAAACAGCGCACCACTCCGCTGTTGTATTTTCGTGTACCATGACTCGCTTTAACTCTGACACATATGGCGGCCGGACGGTTATTGTGTGCCATTAATCGTAATTAATATACATTGCGTCATTAAATTCATGTCAGGTTGTCCTCCTCATTCTGAATGCTTCTCTTGATCTTCAAAAGTATGTTAGTTTTCCAATTGTCCAATTTTGAAATCTGGTCATATTCCACAATCGCGGCAGTAAAAGCCTCTTCATCTCCGTTGTCGATGGTATTGATAAGGACATTGAGGAACTTGGCTTCTCGCGTTGACGGAAATGTGACATCTTGTGTACCATATTTATTGAGGTTCCGCTGAGCCGTGACAGTATCCTTGGGCGAGGTTCCGATCAGTATCCAGTGAAAAATAAAGGGATCCCAGACTTCTTACATGATTGGCTAAAGCGCAAAGACCCGCTCGGAGCCAGTACTCCTTCACGCTGTACTTCGTCAACGAAGAAGTGAGAGAGTGATTTGCGACTTGTTCGTATCTGGCGATGGCAGCAGGGAACTCATTTAGCTCCGCGTGCAAATCAGCTGCATCCTTGAAGCATCCATTTGCAGTCCTAGACCGATATTCACTAAGAGTTAAAAGACCGACCGATGCATTGCTTACGCTTTCGCATCTTCTTGTGAATACCACTCTCCAGCACGTTCAAGACTCTCGCATGCTTTGCCGAGGTCTTTCAGCTCTTGAAGATATAGCTGCGCTACCTCTTTCTCGCGATCAGCAGCCTGTCGGAAGCGTCCAAGGTGTGTCAATAATGTGACAGTCGATGAGAGTGCGGTTATGGCCACTTGAAGCTAGGTAAGTGGATGACAATATGACGCAACTTCGTTCCTCACGGTCCAGATGGCCCTGCTTGTACTGTGTGAAAATAAAATGTCATCGGTCCTCACGAGGGATATTAGCCTAGAAGGAGCAGGTCACGTACAGCCTTAGCCGCATTCCACCATGCATTCGCAGCTTCGTCTCGTTCCCCTTGCTTATCACGACAGTCGGCCTCTTTGGCGAAAGCATCGCCACTCTCTTTGAACAATTTTTCCAGTTTGAAGGCATTGGCGGCCTGTCTGAACGAATCGAAGGCATCAGGGACATGGATCGAGCACCCATACACGTAACGCATACTGGTAGAGATCACCGGCTTCTTCGTATTTGGAAGCAGATGATGAAAACCATCCAGTGCTAGAGTTGTACTTCTTGTCCGCCTTGGCTAGTAAAACTTGTGCCGGCGAGGGCTTGGACATCGTTCTGACGGCGTGTCGCTTGCGAGCAACTGTATTGACGGGGAAACCCGCCACATCTCGAAGGTAATAGTAATAATATAATTACAACACATCTCGGAGTTTGTAATCTTAAATCTACGCCGTCTACTTCCTGCTGCTGGATGCCCGTAGAACCAGTTCATCTAACATGACCGGCTCGTATGTATCGTCGTCCGACCCACCAACTGGCAGCGCCCAAACAACATCGTCGGAAATGTAGACAGGAACCCCACCTCTCCCATCGACACTCTGTGAGATGCGGTAGAGTGGCAGACGTGCCTTTGGGTGGGCCTTGCCCATCGGGACAAAAAACAGATTGTGCTCCGCCACAAATTCTTCAACGATGGAACGGAATGTGACTTCCTCTGGGACTGGGCGGTTTTCCTTTAGAGGAATCGTCTTCTCGGCAGGAAGTTTCGCGGAGAGATTGGAAATGTCAGGTTTCGGTAATGAGGCTCGTGCTTGTGGTGATAAACCAGTGGCTTGATTCATCAATTGAAGCCCCCTTGCAAATCCCTCCGAAACACGAGGCAAATCAAGGACTTCTTGGGAGAACGAGCCCTTCCAGAAACGATACCTGGAAGAAGTTTAAGGACTCGACGAGGCCTAGTTGGACAAGCACATACCACTCGTTCACTTCGTTATAGTCTGATCCAGGTTGTGTCAACCACATGTGTAAGACGGAAAGCCACTTCGGGAAAAACTCCATTTCCAACAACTGCGAGAATGTAGCAGGTCTGAGGATTGTGATCCACGCAGAAATACGCAACAGGGGTTCCATGTCTTGCTGAGCGGGGTTCACAGTAAATTTCTCCCGCAAATGAGCCCCGAGCTTGGGTACGATGTACTTGAGAAGTGAATCTTCCCACTCTCTGGCTTTCAGCACCTGTTGTATGTCCGTTCTTACTGAATGTTTGTCTCGAGGAAGATGGTGACTCCCTTGACTTACCTCTTTCCACACCACAAAGTCACTCGGGACGCCTTGCTCCACCTTCCACGATTTCAAGAAAGAGCGAAGCTTCCTTCGAGTATCGTCCAATAGAAATTCCATCCGAAGACCGATGTGAGGAAGCCATGGAAGTACCAAGCTTTGAAGTGCGACTTCACCCGTCCAACTCCAGTCGGAAAGCGCCTTCTGCACCTTAGGAAGGACGAGCTGATCCAAGATATTATCCAACATGAATGGAGGCAATAAATCGGACCAGGCTTCGAGAACTCGGATTAGTGGAGACGGATTTGAAACGTTCCAATCATTGCTGTTGGGAAAAATCCTCAATTCGAGACGCCCTTGATTGGGTAGAAGCTTGCTTACTTAATGGTCGATCGCAATCGAGGCAGCCAAACATTCCATAGCAAGCTTTCGTAATGCGTCATGCTTGCATTTCCATTCCTGGGAAAAGTCAATAAGGAGATGATAATACAGAGAATTCTCCTACTTGGATGAAGCGCGCGCAGGAGATAAATACCCTACTGAGCTTAACGGGGCGTGATCGCATTTGGAGTGGGACATCCTAAAGAGTTTGCGCCACCGACGAAAATCGTCTGCTAACACGGAAGGGGCTTCCAATGGTTTCCACTGAGAAGTATACCTTTTCACCTACCAAGATTTTGAATAAGCACCTAACTCAATCATGTGTGTGGCAATATGACCCACGTAAGGGGCAATCGCGCCCACTACCACTTCATCCAACTCATACTTATCATAGTCTGGACTGTAGTCAATCGCTAGCTTGTCAAATTCCTCCGCCAGAACGTCTAAATTGGCCTCATAGGAGGCAATCCCTTGCGATTTCAGATTGATGCGTTCGACTATTTGGCTGATCTCTCGCAAACGCGATAGAGCTGCCGAGCGATGCAAATTAGGCTACTAATCTGATGCCACACGACGCACTAACCTATGTCCTCAGCAACCATGACTTTCCGCAACCTAGTTTCCTCGTCCTTAAGCCACTTCTTGCGCTCCTCGAGCGCTTTTGCCTCCTTGACTAGACCTTCGAATTCGCTCTTTGCAGATGACCACAGAATTCGAAGATTGTGTCGGACTTCCGGAATGCGCTCCGCTTCCACCGATGGGATCCACGAGGCAGAGGAGACGTCTGCTATTGATGAGATTTCGCGAGGCTGCAGGGGTATCAGTAACATGTCGCCCGAAGCAAAAGAAAGGAAGACACACAGTTGCGCCTGTTGCATCGATGATTACCCCCAGTGATGATGTGGGCACTGTTTCGTCGCTTTCGGCTATAATTTCCTCGTAGGTCATATGTTTAATTCTAGTTATCGTCTTCTTTGGCTTCTTCCATGCATTGGAACGGTCCTTCTCTCCCCCACGGCCCTTCGACTTTCCTTTACCTTTGCTGCCTCCAGTATCAATCTCTTCATCTGAAACGGCCTCACCTCTCCTACCAAGAGTGGTGAACTTGAGATAGATATAATAAGGGAAAGCACAAACCTTCTTGCCTCACGGATTGATTGATCCGTTCGCTCCCTGAACCCCTGAAACGCCAAACCGGCAGACTTTGGACGGAGTTTTACCTCGATCGGGGTTGCTATCCCAACATTGGACAAACCAATGCCCTCACCCTAAAAAACATTATGAGCAGGAAATATTAAATGATGCCTATGGCTAAGACGTACGGGCGTCCATCCCATTTTCTCCATCATCTTCGCGCCAAACGACCCTGAAAGTTTCTGAAGATGTCTTTGATCCTCCGCAGTAAGTTGAGCAGCAGTCTTTGGTGACATCGCCGCATTCGCTGAATCGCGCACAAACGATGTCCGGGCACGATTGGCGAATGATGCGCTAGCAGTATTTGGGGATCCAAAAGACGTTGGTAACGACGTATCTCCAGCACTAAGCGTTCCAGCGAATGATGCGCTAGCACTGCTTAAGCCTTTTTTAGTCGCAGAGGACGAACCTAAGCCGTCTCGGGCACCAATACCTGCTCGGTTCGTCCGGGGAATTGAGTCTGCAGAGCCGTCTCCGTGGGGAGCAGCGGAAGACGTAACAATTGGAGAGGAGAAATGGGATGCTGAGAATGATGACAAACCCAGGCCAGGCCTTTCAGACTCTTCAGGCTCTTCGGGCTCTTCATCACCATCTTCCCCATCCTCCATGTTAACGTCACCTTCGGATTCATCTGAAGTGCCCAAATTATTTGCAGGCTCATGATCAGATTGGACTTCGTCCGGATCGACAGCTTCTGCCGGTCCTGTGGAGCCCGAAACAAAGGACACCGGTCTAGGTGCACATGTAAGTGGCGCTGCACCAGTCACAAACACATTACGGTGCTTACTTAGTATATTTTGGCTTTCTGCCTCCGGAGAGTCTTGAAGGAAGATTATCCTCCTCATCCTCACTTCTAGCAAATATTCCCAGAATACTGTCTTCTTTCCCTCCCTTGCGATATCGCTTCGCACGACGGTATGGGTCCGCAAACAGCTCCTGCTCATCGCGAGCATCCGGGTCGCCCCGATCGGATACACCCCGCCCTTCATCGTTTTCAGAGCTGCCCGAAGAGTTGTCATCTTCCATCAAGTTTCGTTTCCTCCGGCCCATTGTATTACTGGGCGCATTGACTGTGGCGCAACTTTGGCGTCGTTTGTCCCAAGTCAGTTTGTAGTCTCGTGATCACACTCAAGTTTCAATTGCCATTGAGGGAACGGCAAGAGTGCTTCCTCGAAGTGCATTCTTATCGCCGTCTCGTTTGGGTTCCTCCAGTCGGGGGCTACCCATGAAACTCCAAACATTGCTAGGCCACTCTGCCGACTCAAACAACATCTCTTCATGTCTTTCTGAGCTCGGGACGCCAGATTCCGTACCCAACTACGATCTGAAAACCTATTCAGATGTTGTATATTACAACTATCATTCCCTTGGCTTGAGCCTTGTATTCTCACCGATCGAGGGGTACAAACCAAAGACCAGAGCCTCTGCCAGCGAACTCAGCCTTAGCAAGCTGATACTCACTGGTATCGACATTTACAACAGGCTTGAAACTGCCTCAGACCGGAAAGACAGTGCTCCTTACGCGCCAAAAATCGTTAATGCGCAATATTCACCGTATCCCGCGTACCCTATCTCCCTTCTCCTCCCCTCTGCTCCCCCCGATAGGAATCAGCAGCCGTCGTCGTCGCCTCCAAATGTTCTCGCGATCACACCAGATACAACTGGCAAGATATTCGTCGAAGCACTGGGCGAACCATCGCGTAAAGGCGGAGGCACCGGTCCGTCCTCTGGGTCCATCAACATCTGGTGCGAATGGTCTCGGTTAGGTTTGATGATAGAATTTGGCGGTAACGATGCTCGTGGGCCACAAGCTTGGGAGAGGGGCAAAGACGCACGATGGTCCGTCATCAGCATTTTCCGGCCCCCCAAGACACAGGAATAGGAAATACAATCAGCGACACATTCATATGGGATTGAGATCATGGAGAGGAAGAATAACTAAACAATACCCTACAGATAACATAAGATATGAACTGTTCTCATCACACGTTCCTACGACCATACGATGTACTCCCCATACATATTTGGTATTTCCCCCCGAATATACGCTTCAAAAGTCCGCTTCAACACAGTGGCCCATGAAAGATCGCGTGTATCGTCCGTGGCTCTATCTCCAAAATCGCCATCCACATCGACAGGGGGGGTCACGAGCCCAGGGTCACGACTTGCAGCTTTCGCAGCTTTCTTCGCAGCCTCGTAACGTCCCGCACGTTCCGCCTTGATGAATTTTGGTCCGAGTTCAGGCCAATCTCGAGAAGGGTCGAGTGGCTCCCGCCTAGCACAATGACACAATGACTCAGGGTATACCCAAGACGTTAGAACAACTTACCACAATTTATGGAAGTGGTACGAGAACGCGCCCCGATAGAAACCGTCAAACCCAACTATGATGGGACTGGCACTTTTCTCCCTGGGTGGGCTGAAAAAGTGGTAGAAATCCGTGAAGAGAGGGAACACCGGCCGATCCATTTGATATCCATCAGTGTTCAACGATGCGGGATCAAACAGTGCATCTGGGAGTCTCGACAAGATCCCTTCGAGCATTGCCTCCCGCACATACTTGGATACCGCCGTCGGGTGGAAGTCAAAGTTGTTCTTCAGAGCGGTACGGAACAAGAACGAACCCAATGCGGAGCTTCTATGCATCCTCAACACGGCAGTGTTATACTTTTCCCATCGAGACCACTGATATGCGAACGCGCCTCTCCAGCCCCAAAGTTCTTCCCAATCTCGAAGGAAGATAGTGTCCGCATCGAGATAGATCCCACCAAAACGGTGGCATAAAACAAAGCGAGCCATATCGGAATGAATGCGATCAGAACGCTGTGAAGCAGACGAGCTAAGAAATTCATAAATTCCCCCTTTCTTCGTTCTGGGCATTGCATCATTTGTTGAAACAGAGTTCTTTGTGGCATCATGTGCTGAGACAGAAGGCGTTCCCTCTTCCTCATCTCTAGGAACCTCATAGACGTGGCCATCAGGATTGAACAGACTTCCCCCCGATGCCCTCCATTCATCATTGATTTCAGAGACACCGTCAAGCTGTTCCGTGGTGTTCCATAACTTGAATTTTACAACGTCCTCGAACCTCGGATGAAGAAGCGGTAATGACCATGGGTTTTTGGCCAGAGCGTCGTACATATCCCGTTGCGCATGAGGGTTAGGAACGGAGGCGGCAGGTCCGGGATCCATCCAAATCCATAACTGAGGTCGACATATACGGGGACGTGGCAGGGCTCCCAGACGAAGGTGAAGGTCGACATTTTGAGTAAAAAGGAACGATAGGATCGTGATGTAAGGCGTGTCAGTGAATGGCCCAGCCCAGAAGATGTGGAAGATTCGAGGGTGATCCGAATCGCATGCACCCTCAAGCAGTGGGATCGGCGTAGGGAGTGTTGGCGCTCTGAACTCAAAAGGTGGTTCGAGAGGCGCTTGCTTCGAGAACGCTAGACCCACGTTTGGATCTGTTCCCACCGACAGGAGGACATGTCCAGGATCATTGGTCGACGCCGTCATGTTTTCTTTATCCGTTCCCTCGGTGTAGATATGCTTCCACTGGTCGTCGCTGCCGCGCCGCAATGATTTTCCATTGTTTAAACCAGCACCTCGCCGTAAGACCTCGAGACAGTCTCTCACATACTAAAAACCATTATTTAAAACACAGAAAGGTGGGGGAACAAGCGCTACAAACATACCTGACTCTTGCGAAATTCGCAATACTCCTGCACAATGTCCAGGTCTATTACGCTCCCCGGCACCGGGCGAGGTGGATAGGCGGGGCTGGTAACATTATTATGGAAGTAAGATCGTGATACACCGGTTCCCACAGACGTAGCGCCATATTTAGCACCACGGGGATCCTTCTGTGGGGGTGGAATACCGGGGTTGAGTGGTGGCGTCGAAAACTGGAGTTGTGATGGGACTGTAGGATTCAACAGTCATGTCAGACTTTGCTGGAGAGGGAATTCGTAGACGCACTCTGTCTATAACTGGGATAATGTCCACTAGCAATTTCCCAATTCCATATTCGGCGCAGATCTGCACGCTCGTACACCAGTGTAGAAGCGTCACCGAGGAAAGGTGTCTTGGGCCACGACTTCTCCCTCGTCCCAAAACGCTTCGCAAAGGCATATATCACCCATATCGCAATTATATAGACTAGAGCTGATGAGAACCAGCTATGGTTACGCCCAGAACGAGTGCGGCCCAACAGCCAAGGTGGGATGGGGAGTACAAGTCGAATCCGCCTGTACCTGTATCCCGGAATAGGAAACTCGACGCGTGAGTACCACTGAGGATTCCGTTCACGTTCATTACTGGTTAGTCTAGGGCCCCCGTAACCGTCAGTATAGGAGGGCAGTGGGGATTTATGTTTGGGTCTTGACCCAAATATTGACGCCATCTTGCCCCAGCTCCAATCTATTCGTAGAGTGTGAAAGGACTGTCAAGCCAGGCGTCTTTGACAAGCGAACTATATTCAAGTCGGAGCGGAAAAGGGTTCACAAAATGAAGGCGGATTTAAGTTAGGCGGATAGGTGGTCAATTCAGTAGTCCGAACTACCCACGTGAATATAAAAAGAAGTCTTGACATCGCAATGGGGGAATCCCTAGAGGCTACTAGTACTGCAACGTCGGGTCAAGTATACTGATGTATCCTGAAAGCAGTTAGTTAATTAACAATTTCGACCGTTTTAATTTATTTTCCTCATGTCGTCCCCGAGTCACTGCATTACGATAACTTGCACATCTCCGGATGATATGTCCTTGCGCTGCTACGCAGCTCATACTACGCAGACTAATTCATCTGTGATGCCTATCACACTTTTCGATGGGAAGAAATATTCGTTCATTCAGCAATAGCGTCAAATTATCGAGCAACATCGCTCGATGGCTTGTTCCACATCAGAGAGGCAAAATCTGGTTCGTGCGGGATGCGAGCAATCACAAAGAGACGTGGCTCCGGTGAGCCAGATTTTCACTCAGAAGCAACGATGGGAAGCCCCTCCAAATCAGCGGGGTCCGTGGGCTACAAGAAAAGGGTTAAGATATGTGTAAGTGATGGCATGAAGTCTACGCGGGGCCACCATCACATACCACTGTTAGGATGCGAAGGGTATTTGTGTGGCCGAACCCACCCTTCCAACCTTGGACGGCGATAACAGCACTGCCAGGTGTGAGAACCTTCAACTCCAACGCACACCGGAGACCAAAGCTAAGGGGTGTCCTTTGAGCTGACTACACACTTTAAGTTAGAGTGTTGGTATTATTACCGAATACGATTGTCCACATCGCGCTGCCACAGGGTATCCGGAACACCTCTTGGCTCAGGATACCAGAAGGGATAGCAGGCTCGATGAAGGTGCATTTGGCGGGCAGTCTGCTGGTTACGAGTGACTACATAGCATCCTGGTTCAGTGGGGTCCCTTGTAGCCCAGCAGTCATGGACCCACCAGTAATGATTGGGACGGCGGGTCGATACTTGGAGATCAAGCGAGCGGAGTTGCCACTCGTCGAGAGGACCAAGATAGCGGCTGCTTTCTGCTCCACCGCAGCAGCAACAGCAGAAATTGCGACCGTTTCAGCAGTCTCGGTGGGGCGCTTGGCAAGAGCACGAAGCTCGTTAAAGAGCGGAGGATAACAAATCGCAGACTCAGCGAGGTAGCATGTCTCCGCCATCATGAGGACTAAAGTTCAGATCGGGTATCACAACCTTTGAAAGAATTGCTAGCTCATCAGACCTACCGGACTGGATTGGGTACTGGCCCTTGGCTGTCTCTCCAGAAAGCATGACACAATCCGCACCATCAAGGACGGCATTGGCGACGTCGCTTACTTCTGCACGAGTAGGACGAGGGTTGTACTATGTTCAAATTGGTGAACGACACGAGAGCGTCACTACAAATTCGCCTCACAGTCATCGACTGCACGGGAATAAAATGTTAGTACATGCACCAGTTGATGTAGTGGGCGCATACCTCCAGCATCTGAGTAGCACAAATGGCAGGCTTTCCGGCAATATTACACTTTGAAATCATCATTTTCTGTGCCAGGAACACTTGACTGGCTGGTATCTCGATACCAAGGTCACCACGGGCAACCATCACACCATCTGCGGCGGCAAGAATCTCATCGAAATTTGCCACTCCCTGCTCGTTTTCGATTTTTACGATGACCTTGATAGAGGCTCCGTCTGGTCCAAGGACTTCACGAATGTCAATGACGTCCTGAGCGCGGCGGATAAACGAGGCAAAGATCATATCCACGCCGTTCTTGACGCCGAACTTCAGGTCCTTCTTATCCTTTTCACTAAGAGCAGGAAGATCGACGTTCGTCTTGGGCAGGTTGACCCCCTTACGAGAAGAGAACGAACCGCTGTTGACGGCTCGAACTCTGATATTCTTACCCTCGATAGACAAGACCAATAGCGAAAGAATGCCTGGAGATGCGATTAGGGGAGACATATACATGAAGGTCGAGCTTACCATCATCGACAAAGATGAGCTTCCCGGGAGCGGTCACCTTCGTAATGTTGGGCTATGCAACCCATTTATTAGTTTATACCAAGGAATACGGTCATTTGAAGAGCTACCCACATAATCCACATAAAGAATCTTGTCGTCGCAGAGCTCGGCGTATTGAGGGTCCGTGGTGACGATAAATTCGTGCCCACCTTCGATCTTAGCGTCCTGAACGATATTTCATGGATATAAGCCCGCCAATCCGATGCGACGTCAAGGACTCACTTCAAGACCTGGGCGCATCAACCCCGTTCTTATTTCTGGTCCTTTCTAGGTCTAAACGTGAGAAGAGAGGGTGGCGAGACGGAGTAACGATATATACTGACGGTATCAAGGGCAATTGCCAAAGGCCGCCCGCTTTCGCCTACACCACGGACATATCAGCATGCCGCTTCGATGATGGTGTTTTGATTCGAAAATGCCCACTCTCAACCACTTTCCGCGCGTTATCAATGACGGATTGATGATACTCGTAAGAGCCGTGGGAAAAATTCATTCGCACTGACATGAAAAGGTGTATTGTCAGGATTCCTTGCGAGTAGCCATACAAACTTTAAATCGATCGTCACTCACCGATATTCATGCCGGCTCGCCTAAGTTGTGACAGAGACTGGACATTGTTCACCTTGGGGCCTGCGGTATTTTCGAACCGAGTCAGAATGCTAGCGCGTTAAAGATTGTCGATGATAATAAAAGACACGAGACGATGGTCTGATGGTTGGCCATCATAATCTGTGAAAATGTACGCTCACCGATTGTAGCGATGATCGCAGTCTACAGAGTGTTGTTCCCAATGATAAAGAAGAAGGAAGTCAGGGATCAGAAGCGCGATCGTGTGGTAGGTGACGATTATCCGTACCTTGCGCTTGAACTTGGTATCTTCAGATGGATCAGCGCCACTTCGCAACGTCGATAACCATGCCAAACGCGAGCTTTCAATGTCAACCATCTCAGGAAACGATTTATAGGGGGGTTCTGGTGATCGTAGTTCTTGGAGGGGAATCGATCCAAAGAACTGGGGCAGATAAGCATGCACGTGCGAATGAATCCAAATGAAGTGACCATTGTGGGTCAACTTCGCTTCAATGTTTCTTGGAAAGATCGTGAGCCATTATGATTGCTGCTTCGTAATCTACGTAGCAATTCGAGGAATCATGGAAAGTAATAAGGAAAATAGCCACACGAGACACCAGCCTTTCAATCAATAACAAAAAACGAAACAAAGGTGGGAAACCGCTAAACTACCACAAAGGAAATCATGAGATAATACATTATTTATGCTTCCAACAGCTCTGTCATTGCTTTTTCCAGATTATTCGACTATCGCCCAAGACAGAAAAAGCTCTGAAGAAACGGATCACGAGCCGAACTCTGAGGTAGACTAGGCCGCTACAGAGAAACACTCTCAAATAACACGGAAGCCCCACGCGGCGGGTTGACTGGCTTCCGCGCCGGTACCATGCGGCAGAGGACCCGCATAGATACTCTCACAAGCGAGCGAATAGCCTGACATGTACCCAACTCGGTCATAGGGTCGCACAAAAAAGATAGGAAGACTCCTTCCGGACAAAGCGGGAGAGAAAGGCATAGCATCGCTCTCTCGGACAGGGAATGAAGCTGAATGAGTGCCGGGGGCGGGCCTGCTCCCAGACGGCGCTGGACTGGATGAAGAAGGGGAGCCAGAACCTCTTGCCCGAGTTGGACCTGGTATGGTTAAGCCATCCGCATCTCTCTGCATGATCGCATTTAGAACGTCTTGGGGCGTGGGCAAGTCAACCGAAATGGAAGTGAGGTTGGGAGGAACACGATGCATTGCAAGATTTGGGGTCGCTCCTGGATCCTGACCGTGAGAAAGACTAGGACCAGCGTGGGAGTCAACAGGCCCAAGTGAGTGGCCAGTCATGTCGAACTGCGCATTGTACGGTGGCGTACTGGCAGGCTGAATCCGAACCGTTAGAGGACCAACAGTCCCAATCCATACTTCCATGGGTATGGGAGCACCCGTGATCGGATCAGGAGAATAGAAGTTAAATACATCCAATTCCAATCGGTTGACAGAAGGGGGAAGTGCAGGGACGTTCGCAGAGACCGGAAAAGGTGTGATGGGGCGGTGTGGAACAATGGAGGGAGGGTGAGTTGTAGACGCATCGAAAAAAGTGTAGTGATATTCAGCTACGCAAAGATCAGTAAATGAAAATACACTAGCGCTTGGGAAGCATCTTACCGATTCCGACAACTGTCCAACACAGGAAATCATCAACCTCGTCAACACCACCAGCGTTTCCAGTGCTTCTGGGAGCTTGATACGTAAGCGGATGAGCGGATGCAATCGCCTTGCCATCAGGCGTAGCGTGGGAGGTACTCATCGAAATGGAGCTACGGTCCGCTGCATGTACGGGAAGGGGAAGGCGCCCGGCTGAAAGGAATAAACCAGTGGGCGATGGCATGTCCGAATTCGTAGATGCTCGTTGCAACGCCACCTTTTGCATCTGGCTTACGAGACCTCCAGTGTCACTTCGTGAGAGTTTTCCTTTGTCGACTTTTCGAACGATAAGAGGTTCAGAGGAAATGCCGGTCGCCTCATCTGTGAGCACGATGCGCGAACCATAATGAATCGGTCGTTGAGGAGGTGGACCATTTCGCGATGCTCCCGCCAGTGACTGGCTAGGATCGATGGGATTCCCATGCTCATCGTCCAGAATCTGCACCCTGAAAGCCGACCAGGAAGCATTGGAAGCTGCCAATTCAGCCCGGTCGACTGTCATGTATTTAGTGCGGACAGTTTGGGAGTTGATTCGGTTGAAGAGTGAAATAGAACTACCGTCCATAATGCAAGTTGAGACATTGCGTGTTTTTGCCGTTTTCTTTGAAGGTTTTGATATAATCGTGACAGGGGCTGATTCGAAAGACGCCCAAGTTCGGAGTGCAGGTACCGCCGAACTTGGTTCGTGGGAAGGGGCTGGAATTGGACCTGAGATCTCGAGGGAAAGATGGAAACTCTTGGATTTAGTAGATGCGCCGCCCACATGGAGATACTTGAATTGCAGCTGCTCATCAATAGTGCTGCTCTGTTCCGCGAGGCGCGCCCCATCTTCAGTGACAACCGACATTGTCAGGCGCTGCTCCGAAATACTTCGGATCGGAGAATCGATTCGGACGAGGGGCGGAGGACACAGGAAACGTTTCTCGTGCCCATACGACTTTTGGGCAACGGCCGCATGGAGACAAGTCACGGTCGTCATCGCCGTGGGTGGGATGTCTCCGGGTCGTGCGCGCGGGGGATCGGCGATGCGACGACGATTCGCGTCTGCAAACTGCTTGACCTCGTAGTCCTCATTATCACCGCCTTCAGCGTTGCGCTTCCTCTTTCCAGACTAAAAAATGGTTTTCGTGTGGCGACACAGTCAGTAAGCAGTTCAATTCAGGTCAGATCATGAAGCGTACTGTTTCCTTGTTGTACGTGTTGGATTGAAACTCATCATGCGAACCGTTGGAGTGGGCGGAACTGCCGGCCAAGTTTGCAGGACCAACTGCGAGAGAGGCAGCCAGAAGTGAGCGCATGCGGGTATCATCTTGACTGCTTCCGTGATTGTGCCCTCGATTCAAGGGATTTTCGTCCCCCAGGTTGGCCGCCCCCTGCGCTTGAGGCGATCCATCTCCAGGTTTTCTGGAAGTGGTATCACTTTCCGAGATGGCGTTGACGAGGAGGTCCAAATTCGTACGATATGGTATGGACTCAAGGGGAGCATTGGGGGTAGACATGTCGGAGATGAGCGAGGGGTCCAAGTGGAAACCCTTTTGGTAGTCTGACTCTGAAGAAGATAGATGGTGTGTGGGAATATTTGAGGTTGCAGGCTGCGTGAGAATGGTTGTTGTAGCCGGCGTCGAGGAAAGCGGGTGACCACTAGCAGCAAGCGATGGCGATGACATATTTGACGTTGTTAAGTGTGGCGCTGTGACGATCGCTATCTGTCTTTCCTTTCGCTGTAACAGCTCGCAAGGGGGGGCAACCCTTTCAAGAGTCTCAAAAACAACCAACGTGATCTGACGAAAGAATCCGTGTGACACGTCACGTTTCGCGAACAGAGGGGCTGTGCGCGGGAACAGGGTTTCCTTTACGGTCACAGCAATCATGGCCCAGATCTCCTTCCCTTCCCAGCTCAAAAGGCTCACAGAAAGACACCCAAAGCCCGCGAATTACAGGTTCTCATATGGGACGGCGGGGTTTCGCACAAAGTGCGCTTTCATTGCTTTGACGAATTACACCACCCTAATTTCATGTCTGTTGTAGTGGAAGTCTTCTGGATTCCGTCCTATTTCGTGTCGGCGTGCTTGCTGGTCTGAGGAGCAAGCGTCTAGAAGGCAAGACGGTCGGTATTATGATCACGGCTTCCCACAACCCCGAGGAGGTGGGTTTAATGCCTTCCGCCGCATTTCGGCATCGTGCCAACATATCCACATCCAGGACAACGGTGTCAAGATAGTGGATCCTTACGGAGAAATGCTTGAAGCGGATTGGGAAATATATGCCACTGCGCTTGCTAATGCTCCAAACACGGAAATGTTTATCGGGTTTCTTGACACAATCGTGTGTGATCAGAAAATTGATCTTTTTCAGGCGTCAAAAGTCGTATATGCGCGTGATACGAGGCCTTCCGGGCTCCTGCTCGTAAATGCGCTCAGGGATGGCTTGGACGCGATTGGTGCGATTGGTCGTGACGAAGGCATCTGCACAACTCCGATTCTCCATTATATTGTTCGTTGTATCAACACTGCAGGCACCAGGGAGAACTACGGAGAAGCTTCCGCCGAAGGGTATTACAAAAAACTGAGCGATGCGTATCGTGTTCTTGTTGTGGGTTCCGGTCGCACATGTTATTTGGCCTTGAATCTCAGAACAAGTCCCAAATAGGAACATCAACCCACGCCGCCAAAATTAGTAGTTGACTGTGCGAATGGCGTTGGAGCCCTCGCACTTCAACAGTTGGCGCAGCATCTTTTCCCTATACTTGAATTCTCCTCGGTCAACACTGACACAGAAAATTCTTCGCTCCTCAATCATGATTGCGGTGCAGATTATGTGAAGACCCGTCAAATATGGGCGCCGAATGTGGGAAATCTGATTGCTGATGGCGAGCGCGGTTGTGCGTTGGATGGCGATGCCGATCGACTAGTGTATTTCTATCGCGATCGCGGGCACTTCCGCTTGCTGGATGGAGACAAGATCGCGGCACTAGCATCCATTTTCATAACTCAACTTATTGAACAATCTGGCTTGGATACCGAAAAAATCTACGTTGGAGTGGTGCAAACTGCCTATGCAAACGGAAGTTCTACCAAGTTTTACGAGACTCGTAAACTCGCCCTAGAGTGCGTTCCAACGGGTGTAAAACACCTCCATCATGTGGCAGAGCGTTTCCCAATCGGCATCTATTTTGAGGCGAACGGTCATGGAACTGTTTTATTCTCTCAGCCAGTCTTGGATGCCATATACGAGCGCGAACCCATTAGCCCAACTCAGGCAGCCGCTCTTCGTTACCTCAAAGCACTTGCCAACATGATCAACCAGGCTGTCGGAGATGCGCTTTCCGATATGCTTATGGTGGAGGCCATTCTCGCCCACATGAAATTCGGCCCTGTGGAGTGGGACTCGCTATATCTCGAACTACCCAACCGACTCGTCAAAATAATTGTTCCAGATCGTTCAATTTTCCGTACAGAAGATGCCGAGCGCAGACTCGTTTCACCCTCAGAACTGCAGGAGCGAATGGATGACATCACATTCCAATATCCCCAAGGCAGAGCGTTCGTTAGGCCTAGCGGCACTGAGGATTGTGTTAGGTTATATGCTGAGTCTACCCACCGCTACCAAACAGATGGTAAGTGTTATCTTGGTCTCCCGCCGAGTGACCTCAATTTCAATTTCCTAGAAATGGCGTACAGGCTCGCTGGGCTTATATATGATGAGGTGGGCGGCGACCCTGCTACAAGACCTCCCGAGTTCTTGTGAGCGTGTCGGATGCCTAGATACGATGGTTTTGCTGTTGATTGCCGTGGTTCGTACCCATACTCATGGAAAACCCTGGTGTCAAAGTTCCAATTTGTTGTACCACGTCGAATTAACAAAGAGTGAAGATGCATCATTACAAACAGGCGACGAACTCCATCATGGAACCCCACACACACCCTTGCAGGCCAGAACTTGGCGGTGTTTTCGCCAGGGAGCATGTAAAACTGCGAATGATTGGGAAAAGACTCACTGGGAACGGAGCCCGGGCTTCCTCCGGTATCCGAGGATCGGTACGGTCTCACAGTTGTTGAGTGCACAAGCAAAAGCGTTTATGTAATTGGTGGAACAATACTGGGGCTTCCAAGGGCACGGCCCGGACCCCATGGGATGATGCGGAGATGGAATGGAGTAGTTCCTCCCTTGGAAATACTCGATGGCCCCAAATATCGCACATTCAGGCGAGGTGAGATGAACACAAGTCAATTGACGCGTCGCTCCCACACTGCGCCCGAGCTTCCTGACTCTCAAAATGGGAAATTCATCGGTATCTTAATGGAATGACGACTGTCCAGGAAGCACTAGTGAAATGACCTGAATATGTCATCCCGCAGCCGTGAGCCCGTGATCGTCCACGTTTGATGCAGTTCATCGTAGAGGCATCAGCGAAACCGAATACCTACTGACGCATTCCAACGACTTAGCTTATACAAAGGTGCGACACTGGGCATAGAAACTACGATTATTAAGCATACACACCGCTAACCAGCAGCGGCCCGTGTTTTGTGTCAATTCCACGTGTTATCAATACCAGTCGTTCCCTCGTCAAGTCCCCTCTTTAGTGGCAGATTCCGAGAGCAGTTTGCAGAGTATGAGATAGTCGCACGGCTGACGGCTCGATTCATTTTGATTTCCCGAGCTATCTTCAGCGGTAGCGCAAGGGGATGGAAACATGTCATGTTGTTCATTGGGAGAGCTGGCGTCAATGACAAATCTAGTGATTAAAATTAATGACTGCTGGGACACATCCAGATGTTTTTCGTACCCTTGCTTAGCATAATGGTGAAGCGCCGTTGTGTTGGCTAGCGGAAAAATGTAAGAGATGGCAAGGTCTACCGAGGCAGCCTTACCAAGGAGAACCGTCAACATTAGTCTGTTCATCTTCCACTTGCGACCCAATTGTTCGGCCAGTGATAAAAGGAAAGTGCCTATCCCTTTGCGTCGATAATCTTCAGCAACGTGAATCTCATAACTGCAAGTGTAGTAACGTTGTCATGATCGATTGCCCGATCAACGAGGCAGGACACACATATAAAGCACGTCATCCTTCCTCTCCGGGACAACGTAGCTTATCTCGGTCTCAAAGCGAAGAGTTGAGAATCCACACAACGTTGTGTTGCTGGTGGCTGAGCGAACGATAAGGTGCCGTGCCGCTCTATGAAACATTTCCGCCTTCTTTTCTTCAGGGTTCCATCCAAAAGAAGAGGCGCTGGACCTGAACGAGTAGACTAAGCGTATTGGAAGCCCCTCCATTTGGTCGTGACACACACATGTCTTTCATATTAGCAGTGTACAAAGACCACATTTTTTGGCGTAAAAAATTCGACAATTCAGAGGACTTAAAGACGTCCAGTTTAAGTCCGTCAGGCGCAGGCTTCTCATCGAAGCTTCGGAGCAGTTGCACAGCAGAGGCCTGCAAGAAGCAGCTTTAAGGTTGAGCGAACCACCACCGCTACTATAAAGCACTCGAAGATGCAGGCCTGACCTTACTTGCCACCTTGCTAGCCCTTCCTGACGCTGCATTTGCTTTTGGGGCGCTTTTCATAGAGCACGGTGGATCGATGAATGGACTTGGCAGCCTCAATGTGAACGTGACTGAATTGTGCACCGCCACACAGGACCGTTTGGGAACAATTTTGGAACTTGGAGCAGCACCATGAAGCTCGACGCTACGGACCTACGCTACCTAAGTTCGGATGAGTTTCGAGTCCTGACGGCGGCAAGAGTGTTTCCTATTTTATCACTGGGCTTTTATAGGCTGATCGTTACTTGTTTTTTTGTGGCCCAGGCAGAGATGGGATCGAAGAACCACGAAGTGGTTCCTAGTGCGCTGATAGCCCAGATTAGCGGATTAAGGGGAGGTGGCGTGAACAAAAACCTCGGAGAGCTTGCGAAGCGGAATCTAGTGGCGAGGGTACAGAATATGAAATGTAAGGAAAGCGTGCGCCATTTCCGATTTGGACGCTGAGCGGGCTCGCGCATAGATGATGGCTACCGACTTACATATGGAGGATATGACTACTTAGCCCTGAGGGCTCTTTCTAAGCGTGACACTGTGTACTCCGTCGGGAACAAGATTGGCGTCGGGAAAGAATCAGGTGAAGATGAGCCGTTCTTGACTTCCGCGTCGTCGAATCGAGCACGACTAACGTTCCCAAAGATATCTATGTCGTCGCAGACAGGGATGGAAAACAAATGGTGCTCAAGCTCCACAGGCTCGTCGCACTACTTGTTCTTATCATCCTACTCAGTCCTCAAGCCACATTTCAGGCTAGGTCGTGTCTCCTTCCGTGCAATCAAGAACACCCGGGATTACCTGGGAAAGCGCAAGCACGCCTCGTGGATGTACATGTCCCGACTTGCTGCACAGAAAGAATGGGCGTTTATGAAAGTATGTTCTTGAAACACTCTTGGGCTTGGGACGTGTTGTCTGAGGTTTAAGTGCAGGTTCTGCATGAACATGGATTCCCTGTCCCTACACCGATAGATCAATCCAGGCACTGCATACTCATGAGCATTGTTGATGCATATCCTCTGTGGGTTCATCCTAACTGACATTTGCATTTTATCCTCTGACGAGCTCCAAAACAGCCGTCAAATATCGGATCATCCTAACCCAGGGAAATTGTATTCCGCTCTCATGGATCTTATCGTTCGCTTTGCTCGTGCGGGACTGATACACGGGGATTTTAATGAATTCAACATCCTGATCACTCGTGACACTGGAGCAGCCGTCGTTATCGATTTCCCTCAGATGGTTAGCACGTCTCACCCAAATGCGGAATGGTCTGTATCATCCTTTTCGAAGTTTCTGCTCGGGCCTTACTCGTCGTTGATCGCTTAGGTACTTTAACCGCGACGTAGAGTGCATACGCAAATTCTTCAAGAGACGTTTTCGATACGAAAGTGCACTTTACCCTCGCTTCCGTGCGTCCTTGAATGAGGAAGGCGTACCAAGCTTTTCATTAGACGTCGTCGCTGCAAATGGTTGGAGAAATAAAGACCAGCAGGTTTTGGAAGATGTAAGTCCCACAAAGATGCTTTCGTGTCATTAAACTCAGATTGGACATTCACTAAGTACATAACCAACATTGCTGAAAGGGAGAGGGGAGATGGGACCGGGGAGGAGGAAGGGGAGGAGGAAGAAGAGGAAGAGGAAGAGGAAGAGGAAGAGGAAGAAGATGACGATGATGATGGGGATAGCGAGATCATCGGTGAAGGATCTGCTCATGGTCTGGCAATATCAAACGCCCGCCATTCAGTTGAAACAGAGACGATCTCAGGGGAACGCGATTCGTCGTCAAGAGGACCCCTGCAGGATCAAGCCCGACCAGCCACAGGTTGGCCCACCGACGAGGAGCAAACTGATGCGGAAAACGCCGAGACGGAAGAGGCGATCGAAAACCTCTCCGTTGCCGATGACCTTAGGGTCCGCCAACAAACCGGAGGGAGCTTGCGACGCCTGGTTGCCTCCCAGGTGAAAAAGGAAATTGCCAAGGATGAACGAAAATATCATTCAAGGCGAGCACCGGGTCACGCTGGTCGGTCGAAAGGGTCAAAGGCTAAGCAGGACGCACGGGCCAAGATCGAGGGCAGCGCTTCATGGGGCTAAGGATATATGTGTGTGGTCGTTTTATCCTCCGCGTGCCAGTGGCATATGACGGAGTGTACACTACGCAAATCAGAGCATTTATAACCTCCCACTCGACCGCCGGTAGCAGCGTAAACAGAATTGTGTGCAGTGGTTTGAATCCGAATGCAATTGCCTGGGCCAGAGCGCTTAGTGTTAGAATTCTTGGTATTATGGTGTTCGCTATGACCAACTCACGTTTGGTGATGTTGAGTCGTGTGGCGTTTAGATTTACACCTATTGCCTTTCTTGGTGGCGTCCGTGCCAAAGTCAGTGCGCATTCATAGCGTCTGACTATAAAAGAACAATTTTTCACAACCCAACCTTTCCTCAGTTCACGTACAACGGGACTGAGCGACAACATCGCTAGTCCAACATTTCGTCTTATACTTAGTGCACTGGACACCCGCTGAACGGCCAAGTATTCGAGTGTTAGGACCCAAAAACGAAAACCCTGAAGCCAGAGAATGGGGAACAGACTCGAACCCAGCCGTCTTGGACGCGCACTGCACAATGTTAGAAAATAACGAAGTCCCCTTTGTATTACAATTCAAATGTATACATTGAGTTTAATCCAATTCCCTACCATTCAATCCCGATACAATTTTCAATCAAATAATCAGTCGCATGTAACGGGGTTAAGAGGTTCATGTCCGATCAACTACTCCGAAAACCAGCGCCAATCAATTCAATTGTATTAATTTTCAAGACCCGCGTTACCGGTTGTTGGTTGTGTGAAAGTAATATATAAGGCGTTATTTCTCCGCACTTTCAGGTTATTGACGCCGTCATAACCTTTGAGGGTGGTTGGGTACAAATCTTATGTGGGTTAACACTAAAAATGCGTAACAATTTAGTACCGGATGCTGCCAAAAAACACCGCCACTGCCATTTTGTGCCAGTGCGTGTCCACGAAGCGGAGACGGCTGGGTTCGAGTCTGAATGGGGAATAGGTGGTGGAAAGGGATTGAGAAAGGAAAACGTGTCAGACATGCTGCGGTTGCATACTCCGTATCCTGATGAACTGTAGCCCCAGGCAAGATTAAGCGCAAATTGTTTCGACTCCCGGGTGCCTGATGCCAGCTCGGGCATAATTTCCTAAGTCCGGGATCACCGTCATACTTAGTTCGCACCTTTCGCTTTCTTGGTTCTGAACAAACATTCTCTTCACCCTCCCATCATCTCTTTCATCGACTGCTGCTCTCCTTTCGTTCCGCCGTCAAGTCACCTTCAGTCACTCACTATATCATTAGCCATTCAAGTCATGGTTAAGTTGCTCTCAATCGTCTCGGTTTTTGTCCTTTCCTTTTGTGCAGTCAACGCAACCCTTCGCCATGATCGTCATGGCGTTCGTCACCGTCTTGGGCAGGGGGATGCGGTCGTGCGCCATGTCAAGCCGGAAAGAGACCTGGGTCCTATCCATGTTGCGCTCCAGGCTAAGAAGAAGCGAGCATCCGGCATCAATGCTCGTCGCTGCGGGGCTAAGCACACTACTACATCCACCGTATCTGAATCAACTACCACATCTTCGGAAGTGAAGTTACTCGACACTAAGCCCACTACCACCACTACACCCTACGACCCCCCTGCCACCCCCACTCCTACTCCCACTCACACTCACAAACACGATCCTTCGCCTACTTCCAGCGAGGAACCAGCCACAACTTCGAAAGGTGGTGATACGGGCGGTCAGACATTCTCCGGTGATGGTAAGCAATTCATTATGAATGATGCATACACCGTTTTCACTCGAGCACTCCGTCCTTTAGGTACCTTCTACGCTACCGGACTTAATGCTTGTGGTGGCGTTGACCATGATTCTGATATGATCGCTGCAGGTGAGTCCTTGATCTTCTTCATTCCGTCCAGCCCCGATTCACAGCATTGGATGAACAGCCTCTCATTTGTTATGGGCAGACTTTGGCAGTCTAGACAACCCCAACAACAGCCCAATCTGGTACGTCTATCGAACACTTGTAGCATGGTAGTACTTAGGCTCATTGCCCTTTTCCCATCCAGCGGCAGGTATGTCATCGCATCCTACGGCGGCAAAGTATGTCTGTCCTCCCTTCCGCTCATGGCGATATTAACTCTGTCAACTCGCATATAGTCTGTTAGGGTGAAAATCACAGATGAGTGCATGGGGTGCGCCAAGTACTCTCTCGACTTTGTGCGTAAAATTTCACCTCCCTCTTCCCGCTAAATCCGTGACTCATTATGGTTCTGTGCAGTCCCCTGATGCATTTAAGTTAATGGCGAACCCCGATCTTGGGCGTATCAAAATCACGTGGAGATGGGCTTGATCCGTCCAACTCTGGATCCACATTTTGCATCGTGGACGATATCAATCACTTGCCATAACATCATCAAGCCGCTTGCTCCTTCAACTCCAATCTATCGCGTATATCCTTTTGCCCTTTCCTTTCTCAGTTCTCTGGGTGACTTGCCATGTATCTGAAGTCGGCCGGTCTGACTTTCAACTCTAATCGCCTTTTACCTTCTTTTTACGCTACATTTGCTCTTTCATGGCACAATGGCATTCGTAGTTCTAAGTTGAGCCTTTCGCACTAACTATACTGAGGCCTGGTTACGGGTGGCAGTGGTATGGCTGTTGTCAGCTGCGGCTGCGCATAAAAGGATCACCACAAGAACAAAGGCCTCCTAACGAAGTTGAAATTGACATTGTGTGGGAATTGCTCGCGCGTCGTTTAATAATTGACTCGGAGTCACGTGGAATAGTAAATGAAATGCTTTATCACCCATTCATTTTGGCCTAGCCCTTCCGCTCGTGAACGGATATATTGCCTTACGTCCGGAGTGATTTGACCCCTGTCACACCTATCTCCGTTTGGTATGGGCATCGTGGGCCACTCAAATTTCTTTTGGTCCGTGTGGGTGGCCTTGACGATGCACGGTGAATGTGTTCTCTGTGTTCTCTCCGCCACCTACAATTGCAATCAGGATGGGGTTCATCTCAGCAATCCAAAAGGGGCTTGGGCGGCTTCCTGGAATCCCGATCAGGGGAACAGTATCGCCGGATCAATCAAGTTGATGTACAACTCCTTTCTACGCGTATCAATCCTTTTTCCATCATAGCGCCTAACCGCCGCACACGAATGAACCCTCCGTCGGACAAGGCCAAGTCGATGCGACTGAAGAACGGTTGAGTTGTTGGGGATCTGACACGGGCCACCCAGATTCCTGGAAAAGATCAATGAGATAAATGCAGGAGGTTCATCGATTCTCTATACTTACCCAAGCATTGGTATTTGGGCATCATCCCGTTGGGGTGTGAAGAAGGCAACCGCAGTCGGGGTGAATCTGATCTTGTGGACAATGAACACTGTAAAACGATCCTGAGAAGCTTGCTGAATTCAGTCTCGAGCTGGGGTAACTGCCACATCTAAGCGTCATCGTTGCACGTCGGGGCTACGTACGGGGCACCAAAAGTCTGGAACAATCCGCAGAGACCGTCGGTACACTTCGAAGGCGCTCCCTGACAACGGACATTTACCCATCGCCTCTCCCCAATTAGAGTTGCCATGCAAATGCAAAAAGGATTTTCCATCGGGATTGTTCTTTTTGACGATGCGCCCTGGCGGTCGTAAGGAAATGTTGATGCATACAGAATACATATACAGAGGTCCTGTTCACACACCTTGTGAGGTTCCCCTCTCTATCTATAGAGGCCGCTTCAGCCTGGCTGGCTCCCTCGTACCGAACAATCATCTCGTTATCCCATGGAATTTTGGCCGCGCTTACTATCCCCATTCCACTCCCTCCCTCCCTCCCCCCTCTGATAGCAAATGCCTGAGACGCCAGGACTACCTGAGAACAGTACCGCAAATTGCTACAACAAAATTCTTTGCGGGGCGTGGGTCCCACCGCCAAGAATTTTTGACCCTTTGCCAACCATTCCTAGGTGCTGGGGATACAGAGCGGCAGCTGGCTGTTATCCGTGCCCTTTCTAGCCTGATATACTCTCATATTTCATGGATCTAGGCGATGCAACTGAACTCCAACCTTCGGTGCAACAGTGCAATCATGCTCCTCATCTATCCACTGCCTTATGTCATTCCGCATTCCTTCGATCGATATGACATTGGTCAAGGTGATGCCGGACCATCCGAAAATTCAGTCCCAGCTGTCAGGCGCAATCCTGCGTGCCTCCATTTGGAGGTCCGCACCTTTTCGACACGGTATTGAGCAAGCCGATCCGTGAGCAAACCGCCTCGTTGTGCATGCCGCAGCAATAGAACGCGAGTTAGTGATAAGTAGAAACGTCACAAGCCTGAGGACACGTGCAGTGTGGGTGTTTTTAAATTGTTCTTATCTCTTCATAGTTCGCTCTGAGGCTGGGTTTTTCCAATTCTATGGGGCTGGATGTAAACAGGTTGGCCGAATTTGTCAAGCTTCGTTGCGGTGCTTTTTTGGTGTATGCACCCAAAGCAGGGACCAAATTGAACTTAACGCCAGACGCTCAGTGCGACACTACGCTGTCGTCGCCAAGTTAGCCGCCGCAGTTCTCCATATTAGCTTGAAGCTAGTGGCAATGACAACTCCACTTCCGGTTCATCTTCTTTCCGCCCGCAGCAGAAGTTCCAAATCTTCCTCAGACACCGCCCTCCTGCGCCTAAATAAGTGCCACGAAATTTTGGGTTGATGAGCATATTTTGGTTGCCTCGCCTTATCTTCCCCGCCTTCACTCCAAACTGTGACCGATGCCCAAGTTGCACCATGGCGGTTATTACGCTCCTCAACCACCCGCGAGGGCCCACCATCCCCGTAATTACTTGCTTTGAATAGCCTTCGGGCCCCAGGTTTCTTATCTTCCTATCCTTCAGCCCGCGTTCCACGTCATGGCGGGCACCGACAACACTACGGTACCCAGCCTCAGATGATATACGTCCAAGCACCATACCGGCGTCCTCGGCCTGCAGATAGTGGCGCCAGCTGCTGTGCTGTTTGCTGCGGGGCGTGAGTTACAGTGTTTCCTGCTATTCCGAATGACTTGGCTGACCTCAATCAACCATTGTTAGGTTCTGGGGGTGTATAGCAGCGGCCTGCTGCTGTCCGTGCCTTTTCTAGCTTTGACTCCTCACGACGAATGTCCAGATATACCCGTGTTTTCCTTGGGACCGTATATATGTTACTATCGGACTCCAGTGTTTGCTGTATTCACTATACCACTACACTACCTTCTGTTTTGCTCTATCTACTCCACTGCTGAACGTCTCCAAATATATCATGCATTAGCTGCGATGCTCGTCCTGGCTCGTATCATGATTTCAGAGTTAGCAGATGACTGTCCCAATGCTCCTGGATTCGCGCACTACTTTGTGTTTTTAATTTCTAATTGCAGATTCAGGGGCTTATCGTGAAGTCACGAACAGGGTCTTCGTGGAGGAAATATCGATTCATCCTTTGACGTTATCGCATGCCTGGGTCGAACCATAGGAAATTTCACATTTACTGTTAAAGCATCGTTGCTTGCTGGGGGTACACCGCGAAGTTCACCAGACATAGTATCAATGCGTAAAATTTTGTTTTATATGATGAATTACCGAACCCAATAATCATCGTTCCAGCGATGCTGAGCGAGTTTTTTGAACTTATGGGAGGCAAAGATACTACAAGCAAGTCCATCGTTCGTGGAATAAGAGAGCAAATCCTACACTGTTTTGCACCAATGGAATGCGGAGAAGATGGGAAATTAAGGATAGTGGCAGATGGAACGCAAAAGGGACAAAAGAACCAGGGAGTGTGGAATTATGGTTTATAGTGATGAATATTTGTCCATAGAATATCATATAAGAAGCAATGAGAATCGCCCAAGACAGAGAATCCTAGCCTGACAAGAAATTGAGGCGCGAAACTGAATGCATCAATTTGTGTTAATTGTGTGGCTGAGCATCCAAGACCAGAAGAATTTGCTGAGGGCGGACGAATAACCCACGGGTCTCCATATTTGATATATCCGAGACGACAGGCGAGACACTACGCATTCTCTTGAGCCTATCTTGATCAACGTATAGCTGCTGATCCCCTTCGCGTTTCCTCTGATTGAACATGATGCTTCCCTTAGGGCTAAGAAGATTCGAGGAGTCAGAGAGGTGGTTCAGCCGTCTTCGTCTAGCAGCGCGCCCTTCGCTCTCATCGAGAATCGACAATGCTGATCCATTGATCTCGAAGTATCGAACGCCGCCGTGCGTCCCATCGTTCCAATCGCGGCCTTCAAGTTTGTCAGTACCCCAGTTCTCGCCAACTGGGACCTCGACGCCGACCCATGGTCCAGTCTCGCCTTCAACCTCACCAATGTATCGCGCAAATGCCTTGAACCGCGATCTCTTCGACGAGATCATGCAAGGGATTCCTACGTTCAACGTGACACCGCGCGCCTGCGGCGGTTGCTGCGATCTGAGAGGGAGTGGCGGTGACTCTGAGCCAATTGAGGGGGTGGGAGTAGGGAGCTGATTGTTGAGCACGATAGAAGCGCGCGGAGTTGCCATGACTGTCGAAGTACGAGCAGAAGAGCTCCCACCAGACTTCGTGTCTGTGTCTGTTGAGTGCTTGCGCTCTAAGACTAAAGGGGCCTTGATGGTCGACGCTTCACTCGGCATTTGGGCATGCGAAGGTCTTGGAGCATTTTCACGCTTTAGTGATTCTGGAGACTTCAGGATGGAAGGAGCTGGGGCCAAGGCTAACGTTTCTTTCGACGACGAAGCAGATTTCGATGGTATTGGTTTCGGTAGCATCGGAGGGGTCGGGGTATCTTTCGGGAGTGCTGGAGATGGTGGTATTGGCGATTTTTGAGGTGCTTTGCCCTTGGGGGCGGGAGCTTTGCGGGGTCCGGGAGTGGTGGAGGCGGTGGTCCGGACAGAGGTGGTGGACGGTGGTCTTGGGACAGGCTGTGGGCTTGGTGATGGCTTTAACTTGCGAGACGTTGCGTTAATCGAGGATGTGGAAGTCACCGATGTCGCCGAGGTCTTTCTAGTCCTAGTTTGGATCGGGACCGAGAGACCACCGTTGCTAACCAATGGCCTTGCTCTGGCGCTAGTTGCAGAGATGCTGGACAGACCAGATGTCGTGCGGGGTCTGGAGGGTGGTGCAGTGACATAGCCCGAGCTTCCACTGCCTTCAGTCGTGTTAGACGTTGGTCGTGAAAGAGGAGATGGTTGAGAAATTGGTTTGGATTTCGGGCTTGGTGGAACTCGCAACTTGTTGCGCATTGTGGTACTCGTAGAAGCTGTCGCAGTCGTCGCAGTCGTTGCAACCGATCGCACGGAACTGGCTACAGAGCGAACAGAGGCTATAGAAGGAGCAATCGACTTTGGCCGGCCATTAGGGGGTCCTGCAGGTGATGAGGGAATGCCGTTAGAAATCCTCCGAGGTCGAGGTTGTGCCCGAGGAGCAGTCGAACGTGATGATACAGAGGGCGCTACCGAAGCAACGGAACGCGCGTCATCCTGATCATCCCTGCGAGCTGGGGTAGTGGTTGCAGTGCGTGCGGAGATCATGGAGGAGGTGATAGAGCTTTGGCCAGACATAAGGGAATCGCGGGTTGGTGTCACTGGCTCGATCGTGCCGTTTGATCTGGACATGTTATGATTGAGCGTGCTGGCTCGAAGCGAATGTATGCTTCCAGTATCGATGTCCACGGCCGTTCGAGTTGTAGAGGGATGCTGGCTTGTCCGCTTGCTCTGAGGTGGGGCTGCAGCCTCGACAAGATCATCAACTGGGATTTCAATTTCTGAAGAGAACAATTAGCCAACGTGGCTTCCCAAACCGAGAACAGAACGATACACACCGCCACTAATTTCCTTCAACGCCCAAGGCTCCAAACCATCAAATCCTTTCGCAAGACGAACCCCTGACCATTGTTTCTTTAACCACCGTATTATCTCCATCCGAGTTCGCTCAACTTGAGTGCGAACCACTGACGTTGAGGATAGTAGTGCGGATGCGTGAGCACCAGCGGATCCTGGGTGAGGTCGAAGGAGAACCGAGTTGACCAGGGTCTAGAACAAAATGTTAATCCCAGGCAGGAGTGATGGAAATGGTCCGCATACTTGGTACAGCAATCCAGCATTTGTTGAATTGAGACCTCGGCGAATCGAATCCATGACCCAGCGGACTTTGTCCCCATCATTAAACTCGACGCCATCACGCTCTAGAATAGAAAGCCACTCCTCTTGCTCGAAGACTTCTTCAGGGTTCGATACGAACACCTCATCGATCTTCTTGCGCCCTTGTGCGATGATTTCGCGCGTCGCTTCCGTCCAAGGCTGATCATTTGAGCCCAGAGTCTCTAACTTCTCAAGCGCCGTATTGGCGGCAAAGAGAAGCGGAATGACGTTTTGTGGCGTTGTCCGGGCATACACGCCTTTCAGCGCCTTCTCACGCGCTTTACTCGGGAGAGCAGCGAACTCGGGTGTGACCCAGCCTTCTCCGAAGAGGCCGACTAGTGCTCTCCGTGAACCTCGCTCGAGGATGTTGTTCTTAACGTCATCAGCCGTGGCAAATTCGAGAATGCGAGGGGCTCGACGGACGCAATGTTTGCACTTGCAACCGCCAACTCCCCAGCGTCCTCCAGTGACTTTGTCATACTGCGGCATTTCGAGGTATGCATGAAAGAGCCCGTGTGCCATTTCTTCAACTATTCGGGCTTCCACCTCTCTTTGCAATGTTGGGAGCGAGGTATACAAGGCACACCTATAAATTTGGAAGGTGGTTGCTAAGTCGAACGTTCGGTTGGAAAAATTGAGAGTCCCTGAATAAATGAAACCAAGGGTGAAGTGAAGGGATGCAGGGGTGAAGGGAGGGGATGGAAGGGAGATGGTAACAGGGTTGGAGGGTCCGGTAGTCCCCACGGGGGCGGAACCCGATGAAAAGAAACGAGAGTGGAAATATGGTGCTCGTGATGCTAAGATGAACCGATGACTGGAAAAAACTGCAGTGGCCTCGTCAGAATCGGGAGAAAAAGGTCCAGTGAGCGAGATGTGGACGTCTGAGTACAGACGCGAACGCCACATGAACGTTAGATCCTTTCGGAGCTTATCCACCCGGTTCGCTTCAATATCTCCTGACAACTGCTCGCCGTCATGAGAATCAGTAAACAGGAAGTCAAAGGCATCACCGATACCAGAGCCAGTATAGAGATATTCGAGCTGATTGGAAAAGAGCGCAGGAGAGATACTGGCAGTCAAACGCAAAACGGAGCTGGTTTGCGGGGCGGTCGAGGGTGTGTAAGTGCGTGTGCTTCGAGAAGGTGAGCCTCGGTCATCTTGAGTGGCTAAAGAAATTGAGGATTGAGTGGCGTTCGCATTCCCTGACACGTCAGGCGATGACGAGAAAATACGTGAGCCCCCATTTGGCCCCACGTCAAAGTATTGCGATAGAAATGACGGAGGGGCTCGAGCATACACGATTGCTGTAACGCTTTTAAATATCAGAGCATCACACTCCAATAGCGACAAAATACCTTTGTGACCCCAGACACAACTTTCGGGACGATTATCCTCTGTGAACTCCCAAACTACATCCGGAAACCTGTCCTTTGTACGATCGAAAAGGTCTTTAAGATCTCCTTGCCATGACGAGGTCGATGCGGCCTGAGCTGCTGCGAGGGCTGATCTTGGCGTAGCCATTAGTCACCAGCGTTTGTGTTATTTGCTGGGTTGAAATGCGAGAGATCAAGTAGCAAAGCCCGAAAGCAGTGACCGTGAAGAAAGTGCACGCAGGTGAACCTATGTAGACACGAGGCAAACCAACAATAGGCAAAATTCCGAGCCGGCCGCACGGCCACCGCTCAAAATTACGTTCTAAGGACCAAATCAAAACGGGGACGAAGAAAGAGAACAGACGGACGAAGCAGTTCAGAGTGCAGAGGAGCGAGAAAATGGTGTAGGGACGTTCTGGAATGCACACCGACGGAGGATTGGCTTAACTCCGTGAATGCTTAACTCCGATAGCATCCTGGCTGAGAACTTCTTATGTGGCATTCAAGGCTTCACGCACTTTTGCCAAATATGAAGAAACGATGTTACACTATGTACAAATCAATGATGGCAACAATAAACATTTATGATGCATGAGGGTATATCATGAGAATGAGATAATCGAATCGCTATGTTTGGGCGGCGATGGGTGGGAAAGGCTGGATAACTTCTTCGTAAATGAGATCTACCCAGAAATAAAAAGTTGATTAGAATATAGGTGACCGCGTGCAAAGTAGCGATACATTTTAGCTGGGCTTTGCTCAACTGCTCGCCGTTATCAAAGTCGAAAAATCCCGGCGGCAGGGGGGCTGCTGTAGGCTCATCCTGAGGGTCATGATATGGCTACAGTCACATCAGCCGAAAAACCCTCACGTAGAATTTTAACGAACGTGCCTCGAGATACGGATGGGCCAGAGCCTGTTCAACGTCAATACGTCGTCTCGGATTGAACGTTAGGCATCTTTCCATTAGGTCAACTGCAAGTGGGTTTGCATTGGGGTACAGGAGCGCAAGAGGCTTCTTTTTCCGGAATGGTAGGGCTCTATCCAAGAAACCTTGATAAGTAGTTTTGGGTGGCACCAATAGCCATCAGAAACGCCTACCGAATGTACTCTCGTGAACGAGGAGAATGGATGGCATAAAAGTCATCCAACGATGGGGTGCCTAGTTTGAGCGGTGAGCCGACTGAAGCCGCGCGAAAATAACTCATCCTTACCGAGGACATCCAGTATGAGAGACAGTTGATGGTGGTAATCCCGTCCGGGGAATAACGGCTTTCCACTGATCATCTCGGCAAGAATGCATCCTACGGACCACATGTCGATTGCCTTCGTATACATCTTGAAGTTGAGCATGATTTCCGGTGCACGGTACCATCGCGTTGCAACATATTCACTGGGTGATTCACCGAGCGGTGAGGATCCTGAGTCCCTCAAGGAAATAAAGCAGCGTGGCTCACGTCAAGAATGATGATGCCTCTGGTGTAGGCTGCGTTGAGGTTCGTGCGAGTCCAAAGTCGCAAAGTTTTAGATCACAATTTGCATTTAACAGCAAACTATCCCCGCAGTCGACAGATGGCAGATAAGGCAAACGTATGAAATGATAGTAAATTGGATACATACTTGCTGGGCTTGAGGTCCCTATGAAGAACCTCGGCGGAGTGGAGAGCCTTGATGGCCCTTAGCGTCTAACGATTACGTCTTTGATGAACACAAAGCGTTTGATGGAGGAACAAGGAACAATGCATACTTGATAAACGAAGTACTGACAATGATCATCCGAGAGTTCTTGTGTTCGAATAACTCGATGTAAATCTGTTTCCATTAGCTCTTGAATTACTTTCGACGAGCCAAACCTGTCAGCAACATGGCCAGGCTTTATGTCTTCCATTACTCACAATACACTTCCTAAGAGGTAATTCAGTCGGTCAATGCGCGCACCAGAACATAAAATAATAAAGCTCACTTTAAATTCGTCCAAACTTGGGGGGTGCAAGATGTCCAAGATATTGATAATATTCTCATGACGGAAATGTTTCAGTATCTGATCAAAGAGATAGACCATTGAACAGACGCCAATCGGAATGGAGAGATGACCACCCACTTTGACCTCTCTCAACGTCCTCAGCGCAAACAGAGAATGCTCGAAAGGAGTTATGCGTTTTATTGCTACCTTGCGCCCCGTCGGTATATGTACAGCAGAACTGGTTCAATCAGAATAGATCAGATCGGGGGCAATGAGTCCATTAGGCAGAGCGTCGTCGTACTCACCTATGTCGTGAACATGGCACCCGCACAAAACGGGTCGGAAACTAGCGCACATGAATGAATACTATGGGCGTGACTTACCATACGATTCCATACGCGCCCTCGCCTGAGGTGGATGAGATCGATCCCGCTCAATAACTCCCAGTGTAGGTACTGACCTATTGCGTCTAACACTTGGTAATTTTCGTCGACCTTAAAGTTCTCGAGTGACATTATTTGGCAGTCAGAGTATTATCGCCTCTGCGTCCAACTCGATGCAACAAAGCAAGGACACAACTAGAAGAAACCTTCTTGCCGAATTAATTCAAGGCACTGATCCGCACGTGCCCCCAGTTGATGAATTGGCATTGAATCCTGCTCCTGATCTTGTGGTCTCCAACACCTGAAGATGTACCATCCTATCCGTGAAGGAACTCGTGGGGGGCAAGGGCTCTTCTCGTGGGCCCAAGTGAGCGCAGATAAAGATAGAGAGGTTTGTGCGAATTCATTGCTCAGGTATCTAATAGCGGAAATGGCTAAATGCTCAACAACTGCCAGCACTACCTTGGACATTCCGTTAACGCGCCCACGGGAAGATGGCAAAAGAGCCAGGACGTTCATTGGTATAACCGAGAAAAAAAGCAGTCTGATAAAGAAAAGGCAGAGGAGCTTAGGATGATTAAAGAGGCTGAAGCGGACGCAATTGCCGTTGCACTGTGAGCTACCTGGCATTATCGTAATCCTGCTTGAGGCAGCAGAAGACTCAATAAGTTTTGTTAGAGGATTCAAACCAAATCCCAAAAACCCAGATGCTCCTCCCCCCTCCCGTGGCAGCAATCCCAATCCGAACATGATACCACTAGAAGGGGGGCGTTCAAAGCATATCGATAATATTTCAGTAGTGGAGGTAGACAGAAGAGAAAGTAAAGATGAACGAGGAGCCCGAAAAGAAGCCCGTCGTGCCGAGCGGGAAGAACGGAGACTGCGTCATGAGAAGGAGCGTGAAGATCGATACCATCACAGCCGCCACAGGTATCGAGAGCATCGCGAAGACGATGAACCCATCCGTGACCGCCACCATCGAGACCGTCGCAGTGATCTCGAGTACAAGCGTGATCATGATCACGTCCGCGTTCGGGACCCTGGCCGTGACCGCAACCGCATTCATGGTCAACCGGATGACTCTGGACCCGGTGGTTCTAGCCGCCATGACTCCACTGAACTCGCAAGGCGTCGCCATGAGAAATCTACAGACGACAAGCATAACCATCGCGGTCGAGAACGTGATTCCAATATCTCGCCTGAATTCGAGAGACATGTTCGCCAGCGGACCCCCTTAGATGAGCTTCTTCTGCGGGACTCCCGTTCCATCAAAGGGACCGTATCTGGTGATCGCCGACGCTCGCGATCCCGAACCCCGCCTTCCAACTACCACCGAAGAGGACGGCGCAGAAGTGAATCCCCTGCCCCTAGGTATTCTCGGTCTGCAAGTCCACTGCCACGGAAACGATCCTCCCGCAATCGTGAAGATTTTTAGGATATTCTGACTGTTTTGTTTCATTCGCTCGCTTCTTGGATGTAAATGTACGCGCCCTTAGGGTCGGTGCACATTTGCTTCGCCGCTATAGCTCCTGTTTTCTTTTCCCGAAAGTTCAAGTGGGCTGGGCTGGATCGCAGTGGCTTCAGACAATACGTCACGAATCAAATCTTTGACTTACCCCATCCAGTCCAGAAACATATTATTAGTCAAAACATCACAAACCTTCAATAGCTGTCATTGCTATCATCTCGAAATTCGTCGTCATCCCCCATACGTCGCGCAAAACATTTAAGTGGATCTAGCGTCCAGGATTTCTTGCCAGGCCTTGCAGTATTTCTACAAGGCCTCCCGCTTAAATCCCTGTGCCCCCCACCTGAACTCTTCCTGCATGACCGTTCCGACCCCTGAGATAGTTTCGGCGTGCGACACAACTCCAATACACAAAACACATTGCACCGTTCAATATTTCGACGTCACAGCAATAGGATGGCAATGTTATAATGCGGCGATTCTAGTCGATGGTTCTACCAATTCTACATCGAGCGGCTGTGTTGTTCGAGCAGTCACTCCGTGTCGAGTTGAACCAGGAATCGAGAGCCTATGTCGTCAGTTGAAATCGTGGGTTCCCTCGGGCGGAAAATATGAAGGAGGCCGCCTCAGCAGCCTCAAACTTGGACGCCCGGACTGTATTGGACTTGACGTGGCTTCTGTCTGAATGACTGCAACTCACTCCAGTAATGAACCCTGGATATACGGGAAAATTGGTAACCCACAATACTCGCCATTCCGCAGAAGGATTCATCAAGGGCCTATTTCCCCTCGTATGACGTACTCACACAAACTGAGAGAATGTTAAGGCCCTTCCTCGTACCCGTTTGATTCCACTTCTCTTCGAAGTGTGGCGTCTATTCTCTACCAAGGGTGTGCGCCTTGGTGCTACTTGTCCCCTCGTCCCATTGCGTGCTGGGCCTAACGTTGCGTCGACAAAACCCTTCCTCTCAATGGAAAGGTCGAGGATGGATTCAGCTTTCAGCAATTATGTAAAGGGGTTGGAACGATCACATACACCATATTCCGACCCAATCGCGCAGTTGATAAGGTTCTGCAAGTCGACGAATCGACCGCGTTGATATCAGTCTCATCGTATTAGGGTGCTGGCGACGGGAATGGCCTCAGAGAGCCAGCCTCGGTGACTGTTTCCGCTTGATGTGATCTCCTGCCCAGGGTTAGAAATTGGCATATTTATTTCGAGCTCAAAGCTGGGTTGGATCACCCCTAACTTGGTCGCGCAGTTTGCTTCTTGTGCCTCAGATCGCCCCCAGAGTGATACATACCTATTGGGGGAGGTAGGGGTCCTGAGCGTTCCGCGATTATTTGGGGCCAGGAAGCTATTGTGCAGTTAAAACTATGGGACTGGGTGGATTAAGTCTTTCTACATTGGGTCCGTGTTGCGGCTCTGCAGGTCTTTTTGGGGGGTTTGAAAGAAACTTAGGTACTCGGTCCGACATACAAAGCGTTAGCCTGCTACTCGGTTCAGACAATTTTAGATGTTTGCCCTAGTCTCCGGGTTTTCCGGGCGAAATCTGATGCAAGGTCTGCTGATAGTTCTGGATGCCTGATGTATTTTTCCGGGGTTCTACATAAAAAAGGACATTTGTCCTGACATGGTTCTGAGCGAAGCTTCGGGCACCCTCAGATCGAACGCGTCAGCCGCGTGCACGGACCCCACGACGGCCTCTTCACAACAGTTTGAGCGCTTTGCGGTTATCTTACAGTGAACACCCGATCCTGAACGTTCGTTACGCGGCAACATGATACGTTGATATCGTCTACTTGCGAAAACGCAGGAGTAGTGAATTGTGAACCGTGTTGCATCGCCAGTCACAGAGCCAAGCAGTCGGCAAGCTGAATGAGCATCGCACGGAGTTCGTGTTGCTCCCTGTGATAGTGGGGATAATGTTATTCTCGAATCCCTAAACCAACTCGAACCAATCCTTACGGCTCGTACTACGCTCCTAGTCCTCCTACTCTCTTCCAGTCAAATCTTCAGTACAATTGCGCTTAACGGCGTTCCCCGTTCCACAATCAACTCCTCCCTGCCAGTTGATAAGATTTAAGGTGTCAACGTGAGTCTCATTGAATCTAGGTACAGGGCCAGGCGTTAGCAGAGGCTGGGATCCTGCCTAGGTGAGGCGCACGTTTGGGCACATCGAGTCTGGTCGATTTGTGTCCTCATACTACAGATAGGAAATTGGTGCGTCTCGCTTTTGGGCTACATCTGTCGTTAATGCGCCGCCTTCGTGATGCAGGTTGATCTTTGGTCCACGGGTTCCCCCGGCACGGTGGATAGCCATGGCGAAGAAATATGAATGAGTGTTCAAAATGTCGCATGTCAGAGTGGTCCCTTTCAAGCCACCTCGGTCGTGAAAACCAATCAGGTGTCCCAAGAACATTGGACTAAATGGTTGACTCAGGACGATGTGGATGCCATCGTGAATGCGAAGCTGAATACGGTTAGGATCCCAGTACCATTTTGGGTGGTATCGTGGATACCACCAATGTGATACCCGTACTATACCTATAGATCCGAAGTTCGGGGACGTTCAACGGGTCATCTACCACGCTCTTCCTGGTGTTGCCGCTCGTAATCACACTTCCCTACCTCGCTGTTATTGTTACCTCTTCTTATCATATGCAACCTTTCTAGCCACCCAGATAATTGCGTCGAGAAGGTCCCTCTCAAGATGACTGGTGCCCATTGTCATGACATATCTTACTGAGATCCGGCCTCCAAGACCGTTTTCACCATCGAAGCTATCAACGAACCCATCACTTATTACACAAAAACCCCTGGCTTGAGCCGATGTAAGTCACAAGTGTTCCCGACATAGGTTTTCGTTGACCTATTCTTGTTGAACCGTCCGTTGTTAATTTCTCAGATTATCAGGTCGTCCTCAGGGTCCGCCTCGCCGAACTCTCTCTCGGCGCAGTCATCCACAACCGTGCCCTCTCCATAAACGCCCTCACGAATGACATCGCCCGTACCGCATTCTTCAAGACCACCCCAATCATCGACTTTAAAGTGTAATATTAAAAACGTGAGTTTTGACAGCTCAAGGGTGCCTGTGGGCACGAGAGGCGAAGTGAAGCTGAAAGGCTTAAACCATCGAATGAAGAGTGGCTTTATTGGGGGAAAGCACATCGTTCCTTGATTCGTCCAGAGATCAAGGATCTACTGGATAGATTCATGAGCTGTGACTGGCAGAACAGCACTGATTGAACTCCTGTCCCTAGCCCCGCTGATGCAGCTCGCGGGCCCCAAATGTGTTCCCCGACTCTCCCTATATTCAATTTCGGTGGCGTCTCAGAAAATCAAACCGAATGTTCCTACATGATCATCATCTACAACTATACTTACGCCGCCAGGAAATATCCCTCGGAAATTCGCCCTTCTACACAAGCCAATGGTCCAATTGGACGCGAACTGGAACGAGACCGATGAATTTTTGAAAAAGTGGGAGATGCGCAAGATTTGACATATAGTGCAGGATCCGGTTGGATGTTCTAGACATGGAAGGCTGACCCAGATATCTCCAGCCAAAGAGATGTGGTATGTAGTTGACCCGATCGAGATTAATATGCATACTTGAGTGTTCATGTGCACGTCTAGGTCATATCAAGGCGCCCTTCAAAATGAGTTGTTTACGCAGGATCCTTCTGCTGTCTTTGATCTTAACGCCCGTGCCCCATACAAATAAATGCCTCAAGCGATGTACCACTACTTGTCCAATGTGGGTAAAGCAGCTTTTCCCGAAGCGCACTGATAGTTTTGTTTGATCTCCCTTTCCCATCTCATTTAGTCCTTCCGCCATGGGCCCATTGGCCGTTCGGGACGTTCGTGGGTTTTATGTACACATGAACGTGGAGCATTCGTTCTTTAGGGTGCCGCCCCACCAGTAAAAGGGCGAACAATTCAATTCTGCCATCGATGGCCACCTTCAAAGCTGTAAACCTACTTGTAGTTGATCTACAAACTCTTCCCGCAGCTCTATGCGTCTAATGAACCCAATACGACATGGGAGTGGTGAATGATTACGTTACCGGTGTCGTCGATATCATTCGCCTCGGGTACATAGGAGTATTTGTTAGGTACGAGGCCTGGAGCCATCACGCCAGGAGAAATGACGCTGTCCCGATCATCAAATTCCGTGCTTTCCCCACCTTCCAATTGCTGGAAAGTTTTTCCGTCTCACAGCGAGACCGAAGAGAGGCCTCCTAAGAAACCCATGCCAGAACGCTCACATTCACGAAGAATGCATACCCGATGATTTGGGGGACAGAGCTCCCTGCTCTCTCGCTTAAAGCTTTGAACTGTCACTACGGTCGACTCCGGATCCCTCATGAAGAATGCGACAACGGGTCACACCGCGTTATTGCCGTGTCGATCTCCAGGCCTCAGCCATGATGCGTGAGCCCTCAGAAATCCCTCCATTGATTGTTGAGAATGACTCGAATGGGATTCCTGCCCCTTGGCGTTCTCGCAAGCAGCCCGTGATTTTGGGGGGCTATTGAGATATAATGAATAACAACTCAAACATATATAAGACATGAATAGTCGTTCACCACGTCCCTCACTGCGTGTTCTACCGGGGCCGGTCTAGGTGGTGTTTAAGTTGAGAAACGGCCCACTTGGACACCTGAACGGCGTTGTATGTATACAACGATCTATCGGTTCGAACGGAGGCGTGAGTAAAAAAAAACGCCGTTTCAAACGGGCACCAACAAATTGCGATCCGCTTTGTCATGTTGTTGTCTTTCATGCGTTTCCGACGCATAATTAAGTCTTGCGATCTCTGAACGTCCGCGGAACGTCTCTAGATGTTCCAGGTCCTCTTGGAGGTTCAAGTGGCCCTGGATCGATTGTCCTCGTCACTCTTGGTGAACTGAACTGAACTGAATTGAACTGAATTGAAAATTGGATGCTCTGACATGACTTTAGTTCCATTAATGCCAGATGAGACCTCCAGACTGGTATGTACGAACATTCCCAACGTGTACGTCCATACAGGAAAGTACCATCAGACCCTCATATCTGTTGCGCCAATTTTGAAGTGAACCTAGACTCGTAAACCGAACCGAACCGAACCAAACCAAACCGCGGGGGTTCGGATTCCCCATATATCTATTTTGTCCCCCCCCCCCCCCCCCCAGCATCCACTAAACTCTGGTATTTCACGTGCCAAAATTGTCAGAACGTTGAGCCACGGCGTCGAAGGTCCGCATCTCGCTGCTGCCCGGGTGTTTCATTGGCAATTACTTACTTAGGGCTCTGAACCACAAACTGTGCAATGGTTTGGGTTACAATAAAATGCTTGAACTGGGGGACCGGCAATTCTGTCAGTGGAACACGATAGTTCGGTTTGTGGTTCAAACCGAACCGGCCCTACGGGCCTGGAATGCGCCTTTACATAATTTGACAAGCTTTCGCCAATGCTTTGAAAGACAGGCGGCACAAATACAAAAGTAAGTGGGAGCCGATCATGATTTCTTAAACAGGGACAAACAATTGAGGATTGACATTTGCGTAACCCGTATAAGTACACGCAGGAAGAGGCTAAATTGTCCAAACAGGGAAACAGAGGTTGCATGCAATCAGAACAAGAGTATTAAAATGAAGGAAAACAGAACAAATGATTGACCCCCGAGGTGAAATGAACGGGGGGGGGGAAATAGCTTTACGAAGGTCCTTGTTCAAAGCAAGCAAGCAAGTCCAAACGCTGAGAGCACCGACAGCTACATAGACAATTTTAGATACCACGGTAGGAATACATGGCGATCTTAGCACGAGTTCTTTGCCCAAGAGTGAATTGCGTCCTGCAGACGTCACTGCTGTAATCCATGCTGTGATGGTTTCCATGGAAAGTCAGTTTCTTTGGGAAAATGTTGTGGAATTTTGAATTAAAAAAAAACGTACTAATTGTGAATAGGATCGAGACCTCCACCGCTGCAAGTATCGCGACCAGTAGGGCAGTAGTAAGCTGGGCTGGCCTCGGCCGGAGTGTCGCTCACGTAGTCACCACTCCCCGTGCAGCCACCCTGGAATGGGTGGTACAAACCGGTCCAATCTAATGAGGACACAATCAATTCCCTTTCATCAAGAGGGGACTATCAGATGCTTACGTCCGACTTCGTGAACGAGCGTGCGGCCCAAATTGTAGTAACCACCGTATGCAGTGCTTCCAGTAAGGGCATCGACGATAATGACAACACCATCGAGTTTTGGGTTCGCAGTGTATGCCCAAGGGAAAGAAGAGTACCCAGCAAGGTTTGTTCCACCTACGCTCGCGGAACCGACGCTGTAAATGTTGAGATCACGAACTCCTCCCCTTCTGCGTAACCTCTTCATGGTGATCGCGTTGGAACTTGGGACGATACGAGCATCAGTTAGGGTTGGCAAGAGACAATTAAAAAAAAAAAAAAAAAAGTGAACACTCACCCAGTAACATCACCAAGGTTGAACCATTGAGCACTCGTGACGTAGTAGAGTCCAGCGAGTCTGAAGCTGAATCCCGAAGGCGCATAGTCGGTGTTCAACCTCCTCAACTGCGAGTTGATCACGGAAGTAGTAAGATAACCCTTAGCTCTGGTGTCTTTACAAGCGAATTGTTGTCAATAAAAAATGAAGAAATGGGCAGGGAGATCGAATATCGAGTTTGGTACGTACTTCCGATGTTGATAACATGCCAGTAGACATTGATGACTTTGGGAGCACGCTCTTCCAATCCCCTTTCCTCGACGTCTCTCTTCTGGATTTCCTCGAAAGCAGAGGCAAGTTCACCGAACTGTAGTTCGATGGAAGAAAGATCATCGGCGGGGACGTGGCTGCCGCAAGCAGGAGGGTGAGTACTGTTGGCAGGAGCAGCGAAGACAGTGAGGGAGATGTTGAGGAAGAGTGCGAGCAACGCGGAAAAGAAGGTGGACCGCATGTTTTATTATATATAACAAGCTGATATGAAGCTGAAGCTGGGGTTGCTGGAGGAATGGGTAGCATATTCTTCGAGATCCTTTTATGCATCTCATGAGACCCCTGGGGGTCTAATTCGGGACAAAGGGATTGAATGAATGAACATGTCAAGCGGAAAAAAAGGACAATGATTCAGATTTTTCACAGCCGCAGCCGCATTAGCCAAGCCTGCAGGGAAACCAGTGTCACGCGCGGGGTAAACGTGCGGAAGAAGCATTGATTCCCGCTTCCCCTGAAAATCAGCATGAATACGTTGACGAAAGCTAGAAGCAACAAAGACTAGGAAGAGGACTCGGAATTCGACACAGTGGCTTGGTGTTGGAAGCAAACCAAAAAAAAATTGGAAGGACGGGTAACACATTTGAAACGATGGGGATCAACACAGCATTTTGGGTGTTGAGCAACCAGGCACCCATTATGTGTCGGATCCCGAAAGACACGCAAGACACCAAGACTAGACAACGTAAGCCGGAACAGGCACGTGGTACTTACACGGGTCCGAATTCTACACCGAATATGGTAACATTGAACCCGCGGGGTCACAACGGTGACGGGCTTGGCGTTGCGTGACGTTAGTCACAGCATTGCAGTGCAAGGTCACACGTTTAGGTTTCAACAGAACCTTCATTTTTGATGTTTTGGGTTGCTATTTACATATGTGGTTCTTCCTCGGATATCACACAAGTTGTCACTGTGACCGCGCGGAAGCCGGGTCTAGCTTGGTGCTCGGGAAACCAGTTTGCGTATCCCCATCCCACCCAAACCTAGGTTGAAGACCTCCGACTGACTCAGAAATTGCCGCGCCCAGCTCGAACGGCTCACGCCAACTTCTGGTCAACGTTCTGCGTGGCTGCGATCCAAGTATTTCATATCCAAGCCTTGGACTGATTTGCATTCGCTTGCCCTAATTGTTGTGTCACCCGATTCCTCATCGAGTGTCATTCCGCACGGCAAATGCCAAGACTACGATATTGCCGAGTATGTAATAAGGGCCACTGAGGAGTGTGTCAGCTGTCAAACTATTCGGACCGAAGAGCATTCTACGCGCGGCGAATGCGAATGCGGTGTTAGGCTGTGTCACTGAGGGAGGATAGCTCCATCTCCGGCACTGAGTATGGTTGCCGAGAAATAACCCAGTGTTTGGCGCCACTGGAGGCGTTCTGTCAAATCGGCACCTACTCGTTTTGTGAGCTGTTGTTACAGTTGTTCGTCGTGCCTGCGACGGTTGGAAATACCTCAAGGACAAATATTGTTGGGATGAAATTTCGATCCCCAGCAAGCGCCCAACTAACCCTCGCTTGAACATTTTCCCATCTTGGCAGGTTCAATCAAATCCTTGGAAACCACGTACACTGTGCGTGTTCTTTGTCATGAACTGGGTTACGTTACGTACCAAGAACAATGGGAGGACAAGTACTTTGGTTGTTCTGCCTCCAAAACGGCCAAAGGATCACCGCGGCTCAGGAAGGCTAGACCTTTTTGAGGAATCCCCTGGGTTTGCGTATTGAACACCTGGGGGACACAGGATTTGTCTTTCGGCTCGCGAAGCGAAGCGAGTTTTGGTGACCTCCTTCAGGCTGTAAACGCTCATCAATTTCAAAGCGGGCCGCGGGTGGAGCCTTCCGGCAGGGCGAGATGGTTTCACCCATGACAGAGATTTGTCGGTCATCATGCACCGCCTCACCCTGCAGGCACCAACAAGGCTTGTCATGCTAACGTTCTTTGTCAAAAACTAAGCCGGCTAGATTGATTAGAAATTCGCGCATGCATCCGTCACCGTCACAGGCTGTCCTCCCTAGCGGCAACTCTCGACCGACACGGTAGCCTGTTGACGTCGCTGTCCGGATGGCCTCTCTACCTTCTTATGCGACTCTTCGAGGTGCTTGTACTATAGCGCTCGCGCTCATTTGGACTTTCCCATTGTCTTCGGTCGTCACAGCCAGTTGAAGCATAATTTCCCATGCCGCAAAGGCCTAGCTCACGTCTTCATGAACGCTTGACTAGCTGTTCACGTTGAGAGCAAGACCTCAGGGTCCGGGTACCCGGGATGGACGTTTGAAGGGGGCGAAGGGGTTGAAGCTCTTTTCGGTACTACACCTAAATCGTCTGGATCTGGACTGGATGTCAACTTCTTCCGCCCCTCTGGTAGGCCTGTGTTCAATTGGCAAGTGAGGTGTCACTCTTCGGCACGTTTGCGTACAGAGATTGTGAGTACCGTTTGTCATTATGTTGCTTTTGGAGCTGTTGGGTTTGCGACGATCCCGAACCTGCCAATCGGCTTTGTGTGCCCAACACACACACTCTCTATGATGACGTCGATGCCTTGCGGCGGTTGATCTGAATGGCACCGAACGCAGACGATATCATGGCTTCACGTCCCCATCACAAATGCTTGTATTAATGCGCTGGACAACATGATCAAATGGATTCCATTTATGATGGAGGACGGACTCGGACGTTCACGAATCGATCCCTCTCATACTTGCTACCGCCCTTTATTACCGCGCAGTGATTGGCAATTCGAATCTCCGTTCACCGAACTTGCACCCGATGTATAAATGTCTCTGGAGCAGGGGAGGCAAGGGGGCGGGGGGAGGTGTGTGTGCTCCGAGGAAAGAGTCAAAGGTTTACTGACCGGCGCATCGACTTTGGTGTGTGTGCTGCATAATTGATCTCCCAGTCAGACGTTATCCCCCCCCGTCTTCCATTCTATCCTCCATATGGTTCGGATCCAATTCCCCTAGCTTTGTACCAGTACGTATATGCTTCCCGACGGGCGGCGGACGAACTCATACTGTAGCTATCTTTGAATTTTTTTTTCCCTCTTACTACTTCTATCTTTCTTGCTTGAACTCTAGTTTTCGTCCCTTCGTCCCTCTGGAAGGCGGTTTTGATACCTTTTCCTATTTTCCTTTTTTTTTGGCCGGACATGTGTGATATCAATGCAATATGAGTTCTTTCCGCCGATTGTTTTTCCTAATAAGTGCCAGGCGCGTTGCGTAGTGGGTGCAAGCGTACACTCTATTTGGAATATTGACACCCTGGCGGTGGCCGGTGCACGTGTATGACGCGTCCATCATAATAATGGGGCCACAATCAAGTGGACCAGTGTTGGTCTACTTTAGTAGAGGCTGGGATCCTGCCTACAGTGTTGGCGCCATGGACCCCAGTCGACACTGGAACTTGCTCCACGGCTAAATTGAATGGGTAGAGGCGTTTGTGAGACGCTTGCGGAACGTCAGTAGGGTGCGTACAGTGAAGTCGTGGACTTTGTACAGCTCCAGGGTTCGGGACTGTCGGCGCTTAGCCAATAGGAAAAGAAAATTGGGTTGTAGAGATCGATTTTCGTGGTGGTTGGGGAATGACAAGTCCTTATACTTGTCAGGTCGGCTTTACCGCAGCACCGTAGCTGATACCCGCTTGGTGAAATGGTTCCAATCTCGCTCATCCCGCTTGTAGTTCAAGGGACTTCTCTTACAATAGATATGCTACTGGACTTATTGTGATCCTCCAATCCGCGTCATACCACCTCGCAAGGCTGCTAGAATTCGCCATTGATATCGGATCCGATGTCACTTATGGTCTTTCACTAGACGCATCTATGCTGCACGTCCTCAACCTTCCATAATTGTACAAAGGTCTCGTGGTTCTGGGCGGCGGGTATTAGGGGCTTACACGTGCGCTGCGTATCTAAAGCTCTCTCTCCTCCATCCACTTGTCCGCTATCGACCATGTCATTACGGCAAAAGGCCGAAGCTCTCAAACGAACGATCGACGGCCTCCTCGCAGCCGGAGGCGACATAGCAGTTCCAATCCTCAGAGCCATCGATGCTACGGCTAGTTGGTGTCCCCCTCTAACGAGTGCGACTGGCGGTGCACTCTTCATCCTCGATGAGGTTAAGGTTGGAAATGATCTATGCTTGGCCATGAATGAAAGCTCATGCTAGTTTGCGCCATATAGAAATTCAAGGAGAACAAGAAGGAATGGGCTGATTTTGGTCAATACGTAGTCGACACCGTGGCTGAGGTGATTTCAGCTATCAAATCCTATGATGCGTCAGCGGAAGAGGCAAAGCCTTGGGTGGAGAGTGTCACAAAGCTCGATGGGTGGGTGTAATATCTGTTTTAGGTGTTCCTTAATATCACCGCTTACATAAAATCCTAGCGCGCTACAGAAGATCAAGTCCCAAATCAAACAAAGACTGGAAAGAGTGGGGGAACGACCGGCTTTGATAAATGCATTTTCGCACTTGCGAGACGCGGCAAGGATTGACGGCCTGAAGAAAGATCTCGACAGGGCATTGGCTTCGTTTCAGGTAGTTTCCCCCCATGGCATAGTTCCATAATCATTCTGATCTTCGGCCGATGCAGCTTAGGACGGACTTAACAACTGGTATCAAATTGTCGGCCATGGAAGGTAGTTTGAACCGTCTACAAGGCGACACAATTCTCGGTAGTCTCAGATACCCTCATGTCGGCCATGATGATTCCACTCAGGCATGCCTAGAAGGTACTAGGGTCGATCTCACGGAGCGTATTATGACTTGGTGTCACAGCACTGCGGACAGCGAGAACCGGTTAATGCTGCTGACTGCGGTGGCAGGTGCTGGTAAAACTTCAGTGGCCCTCACGATAGCAGAGAGGTGTGAAAGGGAAGCTATCCTGTTACTCTGCTTCTTCTTTAGGGCGGGTGAACAGTCGCGGCCTGATTGCCTATTCAGTGGCGTGGCTCGAGCTCTAACAATCCGTGATGCAGCTTACCGCACTTCCATCATCTCTGCCCTTCAAAAAGACCCTTCACTCTCAACAGCTTCACTCGCAACGCAATTCAAGGAATTGGTAGCTTTGCCTCTCCTCCATAACCCTCCACTTCCCGACCATCCTATGGTGGTCATCATCGATGCTTTAGACGAATGTGACAGAGAAGCATTTGAACCCCTTGCTAAGATCCTCCGGGAGGAAGTACCCAAGTTACCGTCTTCCATAAAATTTTTTGTCACATCGAGACATATTCATCTTGTCAAACGCTCCTTCTTACACCAATTCCCTATCGATCATCTCACCATTGATCTTATGAATGACACGAACGTGCAGGACTGTGCTGCGTGCATACGTTTCCAGCTGCAAGAGCTGGAGAAGTGGCATCCCGGTTTACGGCATAATCTTCAGGACGAGGATAAAATTGTACGGGGGATCTTGGAACGAGCAAGTGGCTTATTTATTTGGATCAGTACCATCTTTCGCTATATGAAGATGGCCAACAAGGACCCCATGAGGACGCTAGAGAGCCTGCTCGACACCGGTGCCAAACGATCAAAAGTCCCTGCCGAGAAAATGATGGATCGTTTGTATACAAGCATCTTGAAGAAGTGCGATTGGGAGGATGAAGATTTTGTACACGATTACCCAGTTGTAATGGGGGCAATCTTGGTTGCGCGGCAGCCTCTGTCTATCACAGCTTGGGATGCAATTTTGTTGCCTTTCCTCAGGTCTTCTATTCGATGTACCCTGGCTGAACTTGCACCTCTCTTCTCGGGAGTTGAAGATCATCACATTCCAATTCGCATCTTACACCAATCCTTCCGTGACTTCATTGTGGATCGAATCCATCCCCAATTAGTCAACTCTTGCTGCAGTTCAGTAGACCTGAGGAGAGAGAATGACAAAGTCGCTCTGCGATGTGCTGAGATTCTGAACCAGGATCTTTGCTCTGTAGAGGGTCTAGGACTGATTGAGAACTTGTCCGAACAAGATGAAATACCATGCATTCCTCCAGAGGAGTTAGCTGAGCACTTTCATTATGCATGTCGCCACGTCATCCATCACCTCAGTGATGTCCAGGAACCGTCACAGGAGCTTGGTGGGTCAATTGGGGTGTTTCTCAGTCAACAAGCAACTCGGTGGGTGGAAGTCTGTGTGAGAACGGAAGGCTACATTAGTATCTCGTTCCTCCCTGAGCAGGCTGAGGTATGGGTTATCAATTGTGTCAATGAAACTACCTCATGATTGATCCCCAGTCAGCTGTTGACCAAAGGTTAGAAGATGCTGTCCTTGCACTGGCCAATGTGCTTGCCCAGCTTTCATGCAATTTGGTTTTTTTCTCAAGATTCCAAGAGGCATATGATGCAGCAAATGATTCCGTTGTACTCTGGCGTCACCTTGTTTCCGTGGACTCAGGGCTTTACACCCCAAATCTGGCCGGCTCACTCAACAGTTTATATATAGCTCTTTCTAGACTCGGGAAGCACTCCAGGGCGCTCTCATTCATTGAAGAAAGCGTCAAACTCTACCGCCAGCTGGTTGCTGTTCGCCCAGAATTATACACCCCGGGCTTAGCCTTGTCACTCAACAGCCTACGTGTCGCTCTTTCCAATCTGGGACGGCACTCTGAGGCACTCCCATTCATCGAAGAAAGCATCAAACTCTACCGACAGCTAGTTAATGTCCACCCAGGATTATACACCCCGGATTTGGCCATGTCACTCAACAATCTATGTAATGCTCTTTCCAATCTCGGAAGGTACTCCGAGGCACTCCCATTCATTGAGGAAAGTGTCAAACTCTACCGCCAACTAGTTACTGTTTACCCAGGACCATACACCTTTTATTTGGCCATGTCACTCAACAATATATATTCAGCTCTTTCCGATCTTGGACGGCACTCCGAGGCACTTCCATTTATTGAAGAAAGTGTCAAGCTCTGCCGCCAGCTAGTTGCTGTTCACCCGGGACCATACGCCCCGGATTTGGCAATGTCACTCGACAATCTATCTTCAGCTCTTTCCAATCTCGGACGCCACTCCGAGGCATTCCCATTCATTGAAGAAAGCATCAAACTCTCCCGCCAGCTAGTTGCTGATCATCCAGGATCATACACCCCGAATTTGGCCAAGTCGCTCAGTGGTTTGTATTCAGTTCTTTCACATCTCGGACAGCACTCCCATGCACTCCCATTCGCCCAAGAAAGTGTTAAAATCCTGCGCCAGTTAGTTGCTGTCCACCCAGGATCATACACCCCGGATTTGGCCATGTCACTCAACAGTCTATCTTCAGCTTTTTCCAATCTCGGACAGCACTCCCAGGCGCTCCCCTTCGTCGAAGAGAGTGTCAGGATCCGGCGCCAGCTAGCTACTATCCACCCAGGATCATACACCCCGGATTTGGCTAAGTCACTTAGCAATCTATTTTCAACTCTTTCCAATCTTGGACGGCACTCAGAGGCGCTTCCATTCATTGAAGAAAGCATCAAACTCTACCGCCAGCTAGCTGCCATCCACCCAGGATCATTCACACCGGATTTGGCCGTGTCACTCAACCATCTATCTTCAGCTCTTTCCAATCTCGGACAACACTCCGAGGCGCTCCCCTTCGTCGAAGAGAGTGTCAGGATCCGGCGCCAGCTAGTTGCTATTTGCCCAGGATCATACACCCCGGGTTTGGCCAAGTCACTTAGAAATCTATGTTCAATTCTTTCCGATCTTGGACGGCACTCCGAGTCGCTCCCATTCATTGAAGAAAGCAACAAAATCTACCGCCAGCTAGCTGCCATCCACCCAGGATCATACTCCCCGGGTTTGGCTATGTCACTCAACAATCTATCTTCGGTCCTTTCCTATCTCGGACAGCACTCCGAGGCGCTCCCCTTCGTCGAAGAGAGTGTCAGGATCTGGCGCCAGCTAGTTGCTATTTGCCCAGGATCATACACCCCGGGTTTGGCCAAGTCACTTAGAAATCTATGTTCAACTCTTTCCGATCTTGGACGGCACTCCGAGTCGCTCCCATTCATTGAAGAAAGCACCAAAATCTACCGCCAGCTAGCTGCCATCCACCCAGGATCCTACTCCCTGGGTTTGGCTATGTCACTCAACAATCTATCTTCGGTCCTTTCCTATCTCGGACAGCACTCCGAGGCGCTCTTCTTCATCGAAGAGAGTGTCAGGATCCGGCGCCAGCTAGTTGCTATTTGCCCAGGATCATACACCCCGGGTTTGGCCCAGTCACTTAGAAATCTATGTTCAACTCTTTCCGATCTTGGACGGCACTCCGAGTCGCTCCCATTCATTGAAGAAAGCACCAAAATCTACCGCCAGCTAGCTGCCATCCACCCAGGATCATACTCCCCGGATTTGGCCATGTCACTCAACAATCTATCTTCGGTCCTTTCCAATCTCGGACAGCACTCCGAGGCGCTCCCATTCATTGAAGAAAGTATCAAACTCTACCGCCAGCTAGCTGCCATCCACCCAGGATCATACACCCCGGATTTGGCTATGTCACTCAGCAATCTATATTCAGCTCTTTCCAATCTTGGACGACACTCCGAGGCGCTCCCGTTCATTGAAGAAAGTGTCAGAATCTGGCGCCCGCTAGTTGCTGTTCACCCAGGATCATACACCCCCCATTTGGCTATGTCACTCAATAATCTATATTGTGCTCTTTCCAAACTCGGACAGCATGCCAAGGCACTCTCATTCATCGAAGAAAGCGTCAAACTCCAGCGCCAGCTAGTTGCTATTCTCCCGGGAGCATACGCCCCCGATTTAGCCATGTCACTCAACAATCTATATAAGGCTTTTTCCAAACTCGGATGGCACTCGGAAGCGCTCCCATTCATCAAAGAAAGTGTCGAAATCTATCGCCAGCTAGTTACTGTTCACCCGGGATCATACACCCCCAAATTGGCTAGGTCGCTCAAAGGCCTATGTTCAGCTCTTTCCAACCTTGGTCAGTACTCTGAGGCGCTCCCACCTGTTGAAGAAAGTGTCAGAATCTACCGTCAGCTAGTTGCCATCAACCCAGGAGCATACACCCCAAAATTGGCCACATCACTCTACAAACTATATTTAGCTCTTTCCAACCTCGGACGACACTCTGAGGCGCTCCCATTCGCTGAAGAAAGCGTCAAAATCTGCCGCCAGCTAGTTGCCGTCAACCCAGGAGCGCACAACCCAAAATTAGCCACATCGCTCAATAATCTATATTCAGCTCTTTCCAACCTCGGACGGCACTCCGAGGCGCTTCCATTCATTGAAGAAAGTGTCAAAATCCGGCGCCAGTTAGTCGCTGTTAACCCAGGAGCACACACCCCAAAATTGGCCAGGTCACTCAACAGCCTACGTGACGCTCTTGCCAATCTTGGACGTCATTCCGAGGTGCTGATGGTCTGCGATTGAACCGATTGCGCCCATCGCTGCGTTCCCCTGCGTGTGACTGCACGGTAATTCATATGGCGCAGGTTGTTCAGCTCAAAAATACTGACAAATTTAATATCCAATTTTGGTTAGAGACTATTGAAACATCTACGGAGTTCACGTACCAACCACTACACCCATAACAAACATCTCATAATTTTAATATCAAGATCGCTAGTTTCTTCATCCAGAACGTTTTGCCTCCTATCGCTCGTCACTGATGTACTTGTCCATGTTTCTACATTCCATCATACCCATGATGTGGAGGTTTGCTCATGTTGGTGCAATCGAAAAGTGAAATCGACGGATCAGCATCATCCGGCGTGTCGGCGCGAGGTGTGAAAGTTGAGCATATATATACAACTGTGCATGCGGTCCGGTGACTAATACGTCAGATTCGATTCGGTGATATCATTTCGATAAGGGGTACGCATGAATATGCCTCTCGAATCGTCACCATTGCGTTTGAGGAGGTCCAAAGTCTGTGTTATCGATTGGTGCGCGGCGGGTCAGACTTTGACAAATTTCCCGACAAGCTCACAATCCACCATTCTTGGGGCTAGCTACTGCTACCTACTTACTATCTCCACGACTTGATCCTCAGCGCGACCAACCGAGGTAATATCTAGGAACCCAAACCCGCCAGGCACACTGCATCCAATCCATACGCCCCTTCGAACACACGCCCACTTCACTCCGATCACTCACCCAGCCTCTCTCTGGATCCTTAGGAAACTACATCGCCTTTCTCTGACATGATCCTTGCACCTCAGGCCCCATCTTCAACATCAAGTTCTTCCTCGTCTTCTTACCATCCATCTCTAGTTTATCATTCGTTGTGGATTCTGCTATCGCTTAGGGTTTTTACTCCAAAGTGTGAGTGTGTGTAGTGGTGGTTGGGGGTGTATGATGAGAGAGGCCGGTCATTGAGACCAAGCTCTTATAATCAGGATAGGTCCCTTGATCGTTCTATGCGTCCCTTTCCCGGCGCTATGATGTCCCTCTTCCCATTATCATTATCTTTCACAAGGTCATATGCACCGCTATTGCAGGACATTCAGCGATTTTCGGGTCTCAGAATTGAATGTTGGAGCTGCCGTACAACCAGGCCAGATCAGGTGTCTTGACGATTGAAACGGGTCATTATTTACTACGCTATCCTCTGCTGGAGGAAAGCGATCAGTCGTGTTCCCAAAATGTGAAGTACCTAGCTACGTTGATGAACAGGTGGAGTGCCATGCGATGAAAAGGTTGTTGTGCTGAGATAGGATTAGCCACACAGCCATGGCACAACCAGCAGAAGGTCCGATCAGGCTCATCTCCCACGTCGGGTAGGACTTAACTCTCTATTCAGGAGGCTCTGATCTGGATGCCAAGCCTATTGACTCCATAAAAACGTCCATGCCCCATTCAAGGAGCCCTTTGAAATTGCACTGGCTTGACGGTTGTGCATCGAGTCACGGGCGATGCCGGTCCTTCCGGCTTAACATTTCGTGCTCCACCCGTGAGAAGATAGCGACGCGGACTCGCAGCACCTTCAAATGCTCATTCTTCCAACACCAGTGCCATAAGTAAGCGCCTAGAGGCTCTTTCGTCTCAGGAACGAAAGGCACTTCCATTAAGCATGCCTCCGCCGCCGACAACCTTACTTCTCCCACCACCTCAGCATCCGGCACGAATTCCCCGTGAGGATGCTCCCATCTCTGACTTTGGCGATGGGCCAATAACAGGCAACAATTGTACGGACGAGGAACTTCGAATCGCCTACGATGATGAAGAAGTTGAGCGATTTCTTAGACTATTCTCCAAGGTATGTGGCCAGGAGGCCTTCATCGATCTCGCTTATCCATCTGCCTTGGCGATTGGATTTTAGCATGTTACGGAAGTTTATTTGCCTGCCCCCTCCACGCCCCCTTCGAAACCCTCGACGCCTGGGCCTCCAAAACGAAAAATAACCTTGTTGGGTGGTGACCTTTCGGATATGCTTTCGGACCCGGAAATGATGGATGAAGGATTTCAGGCAGACCATTCTGCGGAAGATGAATGGGTGGACATGACCAGTAGTGTGCCGGCGAGGGAGTCGTCCGAGAAAGGTGAACAGCCTAAATTCAATCCGGCAGCCATTCTTGCATCTGTGCGTCTCGTCTTCTTTCATTCCATCTTTGTTAATTCACCGATTATCAGAGCATTGGTCCCTATTTACCACCAGTCCCCGTCAGAACATCCTCACCTTTTACCCTCGCATCCCTTCGACTTGCATTCCAACGGTTATACATTGCCTGCTATCCGACCTATGTCCCCCTCGCCAAGAAACTCTGGAGACTCTCGACATGGCAAGAACCCTTGGTGTCCTTGGCGTATTGCATGCTCTACTTTCTTCTGTGGTGGAACAACGCCATACTCCCTTGCCTCATTCTTTCCATCCTGTTCACCCTGTTCTGGCGGAGACTAATGCCTTATCCAACGGTAAAAGAGCTTAATAGAATGCGCAAACGCGCGGAAGAAGCGGAAGAACTAGGAAACGCCGTTTTTGATACGTCCACCATCACCGTACTTCTCTCAGCCGCAGCGAATGAAAATTTTAGGTTCTCCGATGGATGGAAGATGTTCCGGAATGCATCGAAGCAGCGTAAAGAGAGAATTCAACAAAAAGCTGCTGAGATGGTGAATTCGTCACTGCAAGGGGATGAAGTGGACGATGTTGAGGAAGTGGAGCGATTGCGTAAGGAGGCACTCAAGCAGGCAAAAATTGACGAGAAAGTCCGGGAAACGGAAGAGGATTGGAAGAGGATATGTGTGGTGCTCATGGAGTCGATTGCTGATCTACATGAGAGAATCAAGAAGTATGTGTTTACTTGCATAAAAGTTCTCGGACTCATGCGTTTCGTTGGGAATCATAAAGCATTTTTATTTGGCGAAAACCAGAGGCGTCTTGGAAGTACGGGATGGTGAGAATTACCTTGCTTGATGGTGTGAGGTGGACGGGAGCTGACGTGCGCCAAAGATCCTGACTGGTGCTCTCTTCGCTGTATCCGTGCTGCCTACCCGCATACTTTCCAAGCTCTTCTACCTTGTCGTCGGAATCGTATTCTGGTTTGTTATCCCGGTACTGAATGAACTATCTCCAGAGGAGAGGAAAAGGCTCGTTTATCTCACTGTTACCTATTCCGTGCAGGCTCAACTATACTTTCCTTCACAGAATACCTGCGCTCTTGAGTGATAGTTTAACAGATGCCGAGGTTGCAACGGCCATTATAGCAGAACGCACAGCGCGCGGTGAACGCGTCTTGCCCACTCAGAAGTACAAGATAAAGGAAGGAGATGGAGTTTCCGCTCGCCCCACCCAGGTTCCCTCTGTTGGTGCGTCCATGTCGACAACAACGGACGGATCAGTTTTTGTCGCCGTTAACCCTAGCTCGGCAAGGCCAAAAGACTCTGCCGTTTCTCCGAGCTTCGACAAGTTCAAGAGCATTGTGTCTGGTGGCATCGAGCTAGCCGATCATGGGGTCAAAGTAATAAAAGGAGAACGAAGATTGGGCGAAACGGTGAGTAGCTGTGCCTAACCTCATCGGGAGAAGCACCCCTCAGATGAATATTCGTTGATAGCCGAACGTCTTGAGCTCCCTACGGCACCGTTCGGGGAGCGAGACCTCCTCTCAACTTGGACCAACTTATCTCGCAGAATGTCATGGAAAAGTTGGTGCCATCACACTCACTTCGACCAAGCTTGAGTTTGCCTCTGTGGGTTCATCCAAACCCAAGGCGATCGAACTCTCAGCAATCCGTGGCATTCAAAAGTCGGGTCCGTTTGGAGGTTTGACCATCAAATATGAAGTAGATCCCAGCGCATCTTCGTCCACTGTCAGTTTGCTCTCCACTTTGGGCGAAAAGGGACTGGCTGAGGCAAAGTTTGGCTGGGTTAATGGACGGGATGAATTATTCGCGAAGTTGGTTGGCTGGAGATCCCGGATATGAGGGTGGGGCTGCATTACATACCACATTTTATGTTACAGACGTATACACGAAGGTAATATTACTGGCACCAATACAGCCATTTAACAAATTACAGTAAAAGGTCACTAGTTATTCGTACAGATGAGTTGTAGTTGTACTTTTCCCGTCATCACATTCGCCGCTGTCTGGTGCTGCCTCCAGCTTGTTGTAATCGATATATCCTCAGATCTGCTGTGCGATCTGGTCCACGAACCTGGCCCCACCCAGATAACGGGACAATGATAACCGTGGCGTTGTCCTCTCCCCCAAGTTCCTCTACGAATCGTAGTATCGAGTCTGCAGCTTCACGAGCGTTCGTGGCACCTCGGGCGAGATCGCATATTTCATCGTCCGTCAACTCTGAAGAGATGCCGTCCGACACCATTGCGAGGAACGCCCAATCTCGATCTGAAAATCAGAGGTTAATGTTAGAAGGTGCGTTTGATGTTGCCCTAAAAGAGAAGATTTACTTCTGAGAATGCGTCTCCTAACTTCGGGTTCGGGTGTAACCCCGAAAGGCTTGAAGTCCGTGTCACCCAGCCTGTCAAGAAATACATTCAGCACTGTACGCTGATTCTGCGCGACAACTCATTTTACCCCCTGGTGTTGGCTACGGCTCCCATCCAACTGTGTCATGCGCGTGAACAGACATCCGTTTTGCGCCTATCGATTACATACCGAGCTTCCCCAAACGAGTCGGTCACAAGTCCAGTCCCTATCCTCCGCAGTCGGGCAGCCTCCCCACGAGTGTCGGCATGATGTACTTCAGTCATCGGGAACGCTTTCCCTGTTTCTGTTGAGCATAAAATGGCTCTCGTATCACTGAGATGTTAATGGAATAGAGTAAGGACAACGCGACAAAGAAAATCAGGGTTAGATGATCGTACCCACAATGCGCAACTGTCAGCGCTTGGTACTCAGATGCAAAAAATGGAAAATGGGGTATCTCGAGTGGATGAAGAATGGCTACTGAGGCTGTCGCACCACACCGTTTCATTTCGGGTGATTGACATACATCATAATCGGCCTGTGTCAATTTTCGGAACGTGTATCTTCGTCCGACGGGTGGCAGAAATCCTCACCATGAGGAAAGCTAACGTAGCGCGTGCTTCCATGTCTAGCAGTTGTGTGGAAGGAGCATCTCGAGTCAATTCCTCGAGGCAACCTCCCTTATATCTTCTGAAATATCCGCCTTTTGACGGGCCTATTTATTAGACTACGGCCTTTGACAAGGGGTGATCCTGTCGTACTGTAGCTTTTAAGCCAATTGATCAACTTTGGCGCTTCAGACGCGTCGGCCGTTTCGAATAAAGGATGAAGATGATCCCGCAAATGGTGCGATACGGTCTGCCCTCCGTGCCTAAAACAAGTCGGAGTAAGAAAACAAATGGGACAATTCAGTGCGATAAAGGAAGACGAACCCATCGTACAATCCAACGAATAACAGTTGTCCTGCTAGGTCTAGATCTCGCAATCCAGGGTTCCAAGAAATACCGAAGTTCCGCGTAAGTCCATATTGGAGACCCTCTATAGGCAAATGAACCGATGTAATGGTGTAGGCGTCCTCTTGATAACTGGGTCCATAAGCAACAGCAACAGTGGTCGACATTAGCCGAACGCGTCAGTGGACGGACATGCGAGTAGTTAGCGGAACTTACGGACGCATTCCTCGAGACGAAGCGACCCCAATCAACTTCTCAGATGTGACCGATAGCTTGATCATCCGTCCATCCGCTGTTGGATAACGAATGTAGTCGTGAAATGACCGGCGGGCGGAAATCAATGGCTGATACTTGGTTATATAAGGAGTTCTGGATCGAATGAAAGCAACATTTGTGGGAGTCAAGACCATAAATCGTTGAGGTCAGTGTATGTTAAGGCCGCCCCAATGGAATGAAGTACACGAAGGGGATGTTGACACGGCTGCGACATCCAATTGAAACCTAATTTGAAATTGGATGAATAGGGAAGATCACGTGCGACGAGGTCATGAACCATCGGTATTTCAAACTCCGTTGGGCGAAAGTTTCGAAAACTCTGGGAATTGCGTCGCAAATAACCCTTTGACCCTGCCGTTGCATCCACATGCATCCTCCTTTCACCGTTTGGGAGCAGACGGCTGCTGGCCCTGCTCCCGTTTGTACCTGATGGAACCGCTAGAGTTTATTCCTGAACTTGACGATCACCCCCGCTGTTGGATTTCACCGCCTTCCTTTCATCAGCTCTGGTCAAAGTTCAAATGAAATATAAGGCTGAGCGTTTCCATAACCTCGTGGATGACTTCCCTTCAAACGCCTTCGCCAGATCTTCCTCTTTGGTCTCAAGACCAAGCACCGCAATGCCGAGTATTGCCTCACTCTATGTTCCGTCTCCAAATTATGGTGGTCGTTAGCGCTAGCGCGCGGAACCGCGATTATCTTCATCGGCGTGGCAAGACCGCGGTGGGAAGGGGACGTAATCGGAAAGGAATCCATGAGAGGTTCGGAAAAAGCTGAATCAAGCAGTGCTTCTGTGTGGCTTGTCCGATCAAAAAATGTGCCTCATTGACGTTGAGGAACGTACCAGAGCATTGCATCATCGCTTCAAGGATGTATTGGAGCCTCAATTTCCCCGGTGCCGATCTTTGTCCTTTCAATTTGCTCTCATAGCCCAGGATCGGGTTTGGAGGGTGCAGATACTAATTTGGCTACCTTTTCGTCTCCATTCGGGACCTCAGCATAAACCCGGAACAGGTTCACCGCCGAAACATTGATCTCGGTCCCCCTAGTACCTGGATGTCACATTCTCTGGGCCTCTCTGGTCGCGCGAGGCTCCTATTCTACGACCAAAACTCAATGTTACCGATAGGTTTCTAACCAGGTGAGACCTGAATGATCGAAAGGCTTTGTGAGGAAAACAAACCAATGATCTCATAGCCTCGCACTTGAAATGCCTGGTGTTTGACTCCTTGGAGCCCGGCGTACGCTGTGGCCAACTCATAGTGTTGAGCCTGCGGCATCATGCTATCATTCTCGGTTGTATACCATGCTTGCACGCTATTCAAAGCGCCTCGCTTATAAAGCAAGGATTTTTAAATTCTTTTGCCTCCTTCCTCAGTTCACGTAGCGCGGGACTGAGGTGAGCTCGCTTTCTTGTTTATCTTGTGGTCAACGATCTTGTATCTGACCCATGCACACAAGCTATAGCGTAGTGTCGCTAGGTATATAACCACCAATATTATATTAGTACATACGGGCCGGACTGGGCATAGGATCGCTGGTGTTCTAATACCTGGTGGGCCTGAATGTGTCCTTCTGTCCTTCGCTCCGAAATCAGCGTGGCAAAGTCGATGGGAACACAACGCGATTAACCTATCAGTGCTACGTTCGCTGCAGATCCACACATCAGTTATGGCCAACCCAACGCGAACCACGCATGAAAAACTCAATTGAGGTTGCAATTACGCTGCAGCTAGGAGGGCTTGTGGGAAAGCGGAATTAGGGTAGAGCTTGCATTCATCATAATAGTTCTGGTACAAATACTAGATAAATTCCTTTCCGAGCATCATCATGCAACTCGAAGCGCAGCCTGAGCAAATATGTCTGAATGATTTTGGGACCAAGGTCAAGTTAACGTTATTCGCAGGGTCCGACTTAATGGCTGAGGGCCGATATGGAGACCTAGGATGAAATATGCCTGGGTCCTGTTAACATTAAATCTGTCGATTCGAACACCTGTTATTCATGCCTGCGCTCTGACGGTGCTGCTTACATCGGGGAGCTAGTGGCAAAAATTCGCCTTCTATGTATTTTGTACGACTTCGATGTAAACAGTCTGCAACGGCTCCGATTTCCGGGTAAGGCTGAATCGCGAACTTGTTGCAGCGGGCGCGCGTTAATGACGATGCTGGAGGAACACGGAAAATGGGTAACACGCGCGAAGAGAAGAGAAACGGCCGCCATCCCGATGTATCCCATTGCATCTTCGAACTCCAATGGATTGAGACGTACTTGGGATCTCCAGCATAAGAATCTTGTGGCAGTAACTGGTAGCCGAGACTTGTAAGTGCTTTCTTCAAAATCGTGTTTGTCTGCTTCAGTCACTCTAGTATGATTACTTATCCACGTCCGATTTAGTTCTTATTATATCATCATCAAGTGAGTTGAAGAAGTATACGTCTTTGGAGTCGCTCCCTTGTTATGCAAAGTGCAGCTTCTAACTTGATGGAAACCGACAGCGTCGGTGGACAGCCTTTCAATGTGGCTTTGGATAGCGGCTCTGCAGACTTGGTCCGTTAGCACGCAAATCGAGGGGTTCAGCACGGAACTTTTTACTTCCAAAATCTTTTCCTGTGTGTCGCAGTGGATCGAGTCTTCTAACTGCACGATCCCTGGGTGCTCTGGGGTGCATCAATACTCTGCTTCACCTACTTTATTCTTAACGGTAAAAACTACTCTATCGTGGACCAATATTCAAAAAGCTTCTCACTCACAAGTCTTGTGTGAAGGGTTTGAAGTTCAAGATATCGTACCTCGCTGGTCTCGTCTCCGGGACTATTATCAAGGATACCGTTCGCCTCGCTCAATATGAGGTGTACTCACAAAGCTTAGGTATATCCCTTTCAGATTTCCCCCAAATGCCATGGCTTCAACAAACCTGTTCTCAAGCGTTAGCAACGAACATCACGAATATCGGACTCTCTCAAATGGGCATCAGCGGCATGTTCGGACTAGCTTTTCCGAATATAGCCGCCATCTCGACAGACCTGAGTATTCCTCTGATATTCAATATTCTGAGTAATTTAGACATCGACTCGCGTTTCTTCGCTTTCAAGTTGGGCAGAGATGTTGGTAATATACTTGGTCAATCATCTTTTACCATCGGTAAGGACGGGTTTCTCTCTCTCTACTAACGTTATGGTCGACTTGAGAGGGAACGACGATTGGATTATAACTCCTGATAGGCCAGCATGATCCTGTCGTTTCAGATCCCGCAGCGATTCGTTACATCCCCGTCTATCCGAAAGACCTCTCAACTAACACGTACGATTACTGGAAGATCCCTCTCGATGCCATCATCGTCAACAACCAATCCCTCCCGCTCTCAAGGTCCCGTATCGCTTCGTCACAATCTCCCGTCTGCGTCTTCGATTCCGGAACCTCTCTCATGGTCGGACCTACATCGGACGTCAATCTGTTATATTCAATGTTAACTTTGGGGTCACCCAAGATGGATGCGTCGTCTGGCCAATGGACTTTAGATTGCAATGTTGCTGTGGATGTGATCGTTATTCTCGGAGGACGTGCCTTTCCGGTTCACCCGTTGGATGTCAGTTGGGATAAGCTTTCTGATGGAATGGAGAGGTGTGTAGGTGGGATTCAAGCTAATGATGGTGTTTTATCAGGAGATTGGTTATTCGGTGATACAGTTATGAGAGTGAGGAACCTCGTTCGATCGTCTTCATTATTCCTGATCGCCCATAACCGATCACTAGAATATATACACCGCTCATTACATCGAAACTCATCGCTCGCCTCCCCTTTTGGGCTTGTACAGCCTGACGACACCTTCCGTGTCGTTGCGCGAATTCATCCTCTCAAGAGGACCACATTTTTCTCTCGAACCAAACGCTTTCTTCTCGGATTCAGTCCTTCAAATATCGTATCCATCCTCCCAACTTATGTCATCGCCCCACTCATACTTGCCCTTAAACCTTTTCCCAAATGGATCGATCCCTCTAAACTACTACGAGCATAATAACGGGACTGACATTCATGCTGATGGCTCGGCAGATTCGGTTGGTGGTGCAACGTGGGGTAGGGATGTCTTTATCTTTGTTCTTGCAGCGACAGTGGGGTTTGCGGTCGGTGCGTTGGTGAACGTTCTTCGAACGATCTTCGTGGGTCCGAGCAGAGTTCGGAGGGAGATGGGAGCGGATATCGCTTTTGCTTCTTCTCCATCATCATTTTCTTCCGATAGTGGCCGGCGTCGGTACGCTGAAGCGGGTGGAAGCGGTGAAAGGGGAGGAAATGGCGACCAGGCCGATGGAGATAGGTATACTTCTTTGAGAAGGATGCGTGATTCGAGCTCTAGGTCTAGGTTGAAAGTTGTGAATGCGGGAGGTGTGAGGTCTCCTATACCCTTCCAGAGTTTGACGAAAGGGAGTCTGCGTAGTCAGAAGGGGGAAGGTTGGGAGAGGATCGTGGATAGGGGATGATTCTGTTCACGAGAAGAGAAGATGTTTCTTGATGCCCGAGTCACTCAATTATTGCTTCGGTCATGGAGGGCAATGACCTCCTCTCCACCAAGATAATGAATTTCATTCGATTGGTCCTGTCTAATTGCTGGAATTTTGAGCTTCCTATTGGGATCGACTCGGCATGAGCACGACATATGCCCTTGATGGGAGAGGCATAAAACACCATTGCGATCGGCAAGGCCAAACTTAGCTCAAGTTAATAGCGCTCGAGCGTCGGAATCCCCAAGACCCGGACTCTGCTTGCAAGAGATTGACATAAATGAGGAATTTGATTTTGTACGTCAAACCAGTTACCAGATACGTAAATTAGCTTGGAGTACGTAATCAACTGTAACTTGACCTTCCGGCTTGGCGCTTCATCTTATTCAGCTCAAGGCATGCATGGAGGTGATGGATGCGGCGGTATGTAGGCACATGCTTGCAGCTGTAGCGTACTGCATGGACAAATGGGGATAAGAAAAAGGTGGCCTGATGGTAAAAAAGACACATGCGCCATGATTGCTGTTGCCGACGATGATGCCGTATTGGTAGCGGAGTTTGGCCGAGTATGTTGTGTCATTGTATGATCCGAGTGACGTATTTGACAGAATTTAGCTTTCGGCTGACTGACGGCACACATGTCACGTAATGGGAACTTCCGAAATACGCATTCAATTCGAGAGCTTGGCGATTTCCAAGTCACGCTAGCCCGCGTTCGGGCCTTCTCACGGTCAAGCCGCGCCGTCCTTGTGCAAGCATAAATAAGAGTGAGCATATCGATAACCCTCTCCCTTTACCCCGCCATCTTACTTCTGTTTGCATCCCACAAGCCGGAGGCTATAACAGGAAAAGATGTGCAAACTTAATCTTCGCCTTTATGCCATTCCAGCCTGGTGTTTCTTCTTTGGGCTTCTCTTCAGTGACGTCCTCGCTGCTCCCGCAAACAGTCTCAAGTGCGTAACCCACGCTTCGGGGTACTTGACTACTTCGGAACTCAGCTATGGGAACGACAACAATACGCCTACTGGTAAGACTACCGATCCTCCAACCCCAACTCATGTGTTCGCCTCACCAAAAGGGGGGGAATCTATTTTCTTGTGTAGGTGTTTGGAAACCGTACTCGCTCAACTCAAGGAAGGAACTGGCTTATTGGAACACGACGGGTCATGGAACGATTTGGGCTCAGTTCCAAACGTGTACACCCAACTATGCGGGTGGAACAAATAAACCTGTTCCTGGTTTTCCCTCAGAGTCGACGTATTACGGTACGTACACAGTACAGTACGACCGAGGGCCATTGAGGGCTTGTTTCTATGTTCCATGTTGAGAGGATGGGGTCTCTTATGATGGTGTTGTTCCCCTTGTAGGACGAGTCTATATCCCGAACCTGAATTTGTGTCTTGCCGTGACGGTGCGTGCGATCTCCATCACTTGCAACAACCTCAACGATCTATCACCTGCATAGAATCCCGAAAGTCGAGTTGGACCTTATTATGCCAAAGCACTCCCTTGTCTTAACAGCGCAACTGGAGAGATGAAAGGAAAGAAGTCCATCCCCTACAACTTCTCGTTCAGGACTTTCTCGCAGGATACCAGTAGGAAGCTCATCTTCTGGGTCAGTCTCTTCGTTTCATCCCTCAGGCTCCCCCTGGGGCTTTCCTACTAAATATGCCTACTTTACGTACAGATCGGGAAATCTCGAGCGGATGGAACGAATCCTCAAGGAGAGTGTGAAGGGAGTGTATTTGGATACGAGTGGGATGATCAACATGTTCCTATCACCACAAGTAGGAACAGAGTCTCGTTGGTGTGTTCGACGACAACGTATGGACCTCTTGCTGAGCTGAGGAGTTCAATCAAAAGGGATGAGTGATGACTAGTTGAGAGTGACGGTTCTGTTTGCTTTTATGCCTTTGGATCTTGTAATTGTATAACCCCTTCTGCATGGAATATGCATGAGCATATTATGTAATAACTAATGAACCATCATCGACACATGCAAGAAGCTGAAGAATGTGTAGGCTATTTAGCTCGCTACACTGGTAGCGAGGCACCGTTGACGATTGCCTTGACTACGTAATGAATTTGGTTTTGGTACCTGACAACTCAGTTGCGATTCGACTCCAGCATGGGCGGGAGATTATTCGGAAAGTACCGCTGCCAACCATGCGAAATTTCGAGTATCGACATCGTCCTAGATTGACGTAGAACCACCGGCATTGTTTATGCGTATGGAAAAGCACCCCTCACAAGGTGCAGGAGGGTCTTCAGAGGCTCACTGGGGAGGAGACCTTCCAGTAGTCAAGGAAACACCGAGGATGCTACAAAATACAAAATAAGAAAAAAAAAACAAGATTAGCTAGGCCAGCAACTGTACAGTTGCTACACCAACCGGGTGACCTAAACAATGCGAGCCACAGAAGTGTGACGAATCACGGTGGGACGCGCCACATGCCTGCCCAGGGACCTAGCCCCAACGCAGCCCGTTCCCATCCTTGGCACTTGACGGTGTCCCCATTCTACTTGCTGGCACCAAGAGGAATCGCGGAAGCTCGGGGGCATCTGGAGACGAGAGGCCGATGAAAATAACGCGGACTAGAATAGAATAATACTCAGTCTCGCGGTTGTGAACGCAATGAGAACTGAGGGCGTCAGCGAAGTAAACATCGAGCTTTTAAGCGTCGATTACTCGAATGTAACAGGAGTGAAAGTTATTACAAATGAAGGAAAGTGAAGCGACCAACAGGTCGGAAAAAGGAAGATAAATGCTAAATAAACATGGAATGATCAGACAGTAGAGACCGACTGGAAATAAACCTAACATCAATCATCGGGTGTCTCACCGAGATAATGTAGGTCGGGTATCCTTGCGCTAAGCGTCAAACCAACTGTTGCTGTCTTACAACAGAAGGGAGACTCCCGCACGACCAGAATCTCAGAGGAAGACCCTGAAAGGTTTGCTTACTATTTTGGGGACGGTACGTTCCGTTCCCCCATTCGCCTCAGGCCTCAGTAGGTCCGTCTAAACATAAGCTTTAATGAGCTGTATATTCAACGGGGTAGAGGTAAAAGGCTACCGGGCCTTTACAACTACTCCGAGGTATATATATGTAAATTACATATCTCGGCACAAATAAATAAAGAAATAACCACATCACTATAATGGGAATTATAGCGATGTAACATAATATAAATATCACTATAATCGGAATTATAGTGAAGTAAGGTTAATCCCTTACAGACCCCTTCCAGGAGGTGGCAGACCAAAGAGGAGGCCCGGACGAACCACAAGTAATTAGGGGTGCCGAAGTTCATGGCGAACCGGTTCGAACCATGGACGAACCATGAACCAAACCAGCACGTGCCTGAACCACGGTTTGTCGGAAAATCCCGTATATCATTTAAATGCCCAGGAAACATTTCATGGCGTTTTTTTTACAACAACCAACAGCCAATGAGAATACATTGGTCGGATGTGGTGGTACTTTATGTGTTATATGAGACGGATTTTTGACGATTTTGATGCTGTAGGAAGCATTTATGACACATTTATTAAGTTATTAAAAACATATTCAGAGTGTTTGAGGGGTATAAAAATGCATTCAATAATATCAAAAAATGCCATAAACAATTTATCACAACATTTAGATGCCAAATTTCACGTTTAAATGTCAACTTTTAGTGTTTTAAATGTCAAGTCTCTGTCACGACCCGGCGTTCCCTGGGGTCAGACGACCTCCTCCCTGACCTTCTCCCATGCCCGAACACTCCCTGCACTCTCTGCTCGCCGCCCGTCGCTGTTAGAACGGGGCTGATACAGACGACTCCGGAGTGGAATCGGAGACTTAGTGTGGAGGGACCTTGGCCTCAGCGACTCAAGCGGAGCACTGTGCCATTGCTGTTTGTCCATTTGGTCCTTAATTTCACAGTAGGTGAGCAGGAAGTCTCTAGGGGGCATTTCAGGTCGATTTCGGACTGAACCAAAATGAGTATGTACAAGTGCCGATATATATAATGGAGGGGGCAAAAGCACAAGGAAACAAAGGGGAACCGAATCGGAACGAAGACGTCCAAACGGGAACAAAGGGTAGAAGAAGCGGAGCGGTACCGAAGGTCATAAGGCAGGACCTGTGATACATCCGAAAGGAGGTAGGGAGGGCGAGGCCCAGAGGGGCAGGAGGATGAGGAGAAGTGGGGATGATGACTAACTGGCTAGAATGGGAAGAAGCAGTAGTCCAAATAGGGATGAGGGGTAAATGCGAGAGATACATTACAAGCGGCAAAAGTGCTGAAGGTGATCCGCGAAGCTTGGGGGTTGCAGAGCTTACGGAGGTTACGGAGGCGGGGTTGAAAGTCCGAGGGATATTGGCAATGGTGTTTACGTAGTATGAGGTCACCAATGCAATGGACTAAGACCAAGGTGGAGTCAAAGTCCGAGTAGGGACTATGACGGAGGCTTGGAGCGAAGGTATGAGTGGTGTCTGAGTATGAAGTACGGGACAGCGGTGGAAGGTCGTAACTTGGTGGGAGGGTGGCGGAGGAGTACCAGAGGGAGGAGAGAGGGGAAAGGTAAGGGGGAAGGAGTGGCAGAAAGGAGGGTTGTCAGGTCCGAAGGTGAGTATCGGAGCAGACAGGGGAAGCGTAGGAGGATGACGGGAGGGTGGAGGTATTGTGAAGGGGGAGCGGAGTAGGGGGAGGAGGAGTAGTAGGAGGGTGGCGAGAGGGGCGGTGTTCGGTCCGAGGTGAGTATCGGAGCAGACGGAGATAGGGTCGGAGAGGTAAGGAGGAGTAGAGGTGGCGTGGGGGGGTAGAAGGAGGTGTGTTGCCAGGACCAAAGGTGAGTATCGGAATGGCAGCGGTAGGTTATGACTCCGGAGGTGAAGAGGGTGGAGGTCTGGAAGTTGGGTTGGGGTCGGGTATGCACGGATATGACAGTCGCCGTCTAACCCCTTCCCGCCACCTCTCCACAACCCCTCTCCTAATTGTCGTTGAACGATCTAGCGGCGCAGAGCGCTGCGACCTGTTGTCCCATGTTTCTCCGCACCTTGTTATCTTGCGGTGAAGGTCACGTTTGACCTTCGCTGTCTTGAACACATGCTCCTTGTTTGTTTTCCTCCTTCTTTTCTCCGCCTGCAATCTCTGCGAGATCTGGCGACTTATTCCCTATTCAGTTCCCTAGTGCTTATATACAGCTTGTAACTAATGCTTGTACTGTAGTTCGAAATCAACTAGAATTCAGCCCCTAAGCTTACCTCTGTCCCCCGTGAGACCTCCGACCTTCTGAAGTATCGGGACCGCATCGAGAACGAGGTGCAATGCTCCTCCTCGAGTCGTTGAAGCCGAAATCCCGGCTCACTCGCCTAAGTAGCCTCAGCCTCGAGATCGGTGGGGTTTATCCCTCGCTAAAGCTTGGTCATGTGTAGGACGCCTGTTCCACTAGCGGGCAACGCTTGGTCGCCTACGGCTACCATCGGCGAGAATTCGCACGGTTCTGACAGTCTCGTGTTTTTGATTGATCTCGCAATTTTCCAACATTTGGTTCAGCTCCGGTTCAGGAATGGTTCAGTTCAGGTTCTCCATAATGTTGAGAGTCTGTGAAACAGGTTCAGACTGAGCTGAACTGCCGAACCACCAAACCAACCACTGAACTGCTGAACCGCCAAATGGCTGGGCCTCTTGAACTGGTGAGCCACCAAACCATTCATAAATCAGGTGATGGTATGTCAAGTAATGCACTTCTGGTCGCCAAGTCCACACCCTGACTCACACCAATAAGTATTTGGTTCAGAAAATGTACCGCTATCCCATGCACCTGTCTACTATCAATCAAAAATGTTATTTTGTTCTACCAGTTGAGCGGCCTTGGGTGTACAAGTGTGTAACAAAGAAAAATGGGGATGTCTGAGAAAATAAATGAACTAACTATTTACTCAAATAAAGTTTGCCATTTGAATGTACTCTGGATTTCTGTCAGGGGATGGACCCCGGGTCCCCATGACCCCTCTCTCTATAACCCAGAGCCTGACCTGTAACAGCCCATCTCAGGGCACAATGCTACTGTGGGTAAGAAAGTGATATAAACAAAGGGGCAAGTAGATACACTTGCCTACTGTGGGTAAGAAAGTGAGAAGAAGGTTAACTTCTCACTTTCCCACAGTGGCCCCAATATGGCAAAAACTTCCGGGGATACCCGGAAGTCACATGAGGTGGGATCATGCGGTGCATGGAGTGTGTGGCACAGGAAGTGCATGGGAAGTGGAGCGGGTCCGGATGCGGGTCCGGGTCCGGGCTAAGTCAGGGTATGTGCCCTGACAATTTCCCCTTAGTCTCTATTGGAGATGTCCCCCCTCTTGTGATGACAGCAATGCTGGATGGCAGACTGACCCAGACAATCCCATGCTTGGTCCTGATGGTCAACTATGTGATGCTGCTGAATGGCTGTCATATCCATACAACTCCGGACCTCCACTCCTGTTTCTGGACCTCCATCTCCTCCTCCAGAACTCCACATCCTCCACCTCCACCTCCCCCTGTTGGTTGTTGAGAGCCCACTCTACCTCCGGCTCCAACACAACGTCCAACACTACCTCTGATCCGACTCCGGTTTGCTCCGGGTCCAATCCCAGCCTCGTACCTTCCAGACCAGAGTTTGTGATGCTCCTTACCTCTGGCTCCGGACTCCTGTACCGGAACCCCATCACACCTCCACCTCTGGAACTCCGGTCACATCTCTGCCTCTGGACTTTGACCTCCTCCTCCATCTTATCTCCTTGTATTCCTTATTACATTTCATTTATTATGTCTAGCCAATATTCCAGACTTTGACTTCCGACTCCGGACCCTGCAGTCTCTACTGTATGGTGTCATTTAATTCTCTTGTTGCCTCTTCCTTATTTAGACAGCTGCTTCCTTTCCATATTAGTCAGCTGTCATTCCCCACAACCCCCTCCACTCCTTCCCCTCTTGGCCTTGCCCTTTTGGGAAGCACCATAGAGTTCTGACCCTTGACCCTCGGGGTTGTTCCCTCATCCAGTCCCCCTTTGTCCTCCTTCCAGTCCCCTTTGTCCTCCTTCCAGTTCCCTTTGTCCTCTGACTCCACTCCTGTATTATATATACTCTGTACTTAGTTTCCTGTACCCCCAGTCTGAAATCAACAAGAATAATGACTAGATTGTCCCCCAAAGAGACTCCCCCTGCTAACCTGAAGTTAAGGACCACCTTAGACAACAAGCAGTGGCACAGCGCTCCACTTGAGTCGCTGAGGCCAAGGTCCCTCCACTCCTGAGTCCCTTCTCCGCTTCCGGACAACTCCGCACATTCATCTAACAGGCCAGGCCAA